GCTGAGCTGATGATGTGTACATTGGGACTTTCTCCTTCTGTTTTGTATGCTCATATGGATTTCCAGGTTTAGCACATGGTTTTTGTGTTGGTTCAGGAGGCATGTTTATAGAGATATAGGCTGCATCACTTTACAATAATTTTTTTTATGTTTGTCATAGTCTATACAAACAAATTATGTTCTTTATTGTTCTAATATATGTATAATGTCATATCAGCTTACTATAATTTTCAATCTGACAATGCATATTCCTAACTAGAACCATATGCATTATGCAATATGCATTTCTAGCCCATTTCCCTGCTCCCCAACTGCGTTCCAGCTCAATCTATATGCAAAGTCAGAATTATGCATTTCGACATCATGCATTGTGAGATAGTCAACTGTATGTGGTACTACAGAGATATAGTCAGTCTGTCCAGCATCTGCTTGTGACATACCACTTGTTATTTCAGCCAAGTCAGCAGAATTGCTTACTGCTCAGCCCTGTCTTTTACCTCCTTGATCTTTGTTTCTGGTCTAAGATCTTCTTCCTCCTTCTGTAATTTGTGGATTTGTGCCTGGATGTCTTTTCAAGTACATTTACTCTTCTTCTGTGGGCAGTCTCATGCCATGTGGCTCTTTTAGCCATAATTAAAGCACTTCCTCTCCTTTTTGAGTTGATCCACATCTATTGGCTTATCTGTTTCAGTAAATATTGTGCCCATACTAGTTTTTTTCTCACTGTAAGAGGAAGTTGGAGTGGAGCCACTGAGTTTGGCAGACATGTTCAAGCTAGAGGAGGTCTTCATGCCCTGTCCTTGATGCTTCTGTCCTCCAATGGACAGAGTAATCTGTTCAGCTTTCTGCCTCTGCTGCTCCTTGTACATGGTAGTGATGTGTTCCTTCTATGCATCATACCCTTTCAGGATATTCTGACTGAAGTTAGAGATTATCTTTAGATAGGAGGGTGGCACTCCCATCTTCATGTACTTGACCATCCAGCCAGTATCTGTGACATTGTTCTGGACTCTGACAAGCTTGCTGAGTCATTCCAGCTCATCAAAGTACTTGGTAGCTGGTTTGTCTCCCATCTTGAACTCCTTCATTTTCTGTCTGTGTACCTTCTGGACAGCAAGGTCCATAAACTTGTCAATAATTATTTGTTTGAATACCAGCTACAAGGACATCCAGTGATGCTGTTGTGTGGTCAACCAGAACATGGGGGCTAGAAGCACCTATTATGTTTTTGCCTTATCCTCTATGTGGATAGAGGCAAACATCATCTTATACATGTCAAGAAGAAAGTATAAGATGAAGACCTGGAAGTATTGGTTGCAGTCAGTAAGAAATTGGTTGATATCTTCAGATGCTCCTCTGAATGATCAGGGCTCACATATAAGGACTGGTTTGCAGTTAAAGATAGTGGCATCAGCTGCAAGTGCTGTCATCAGATTTGGAATCCCATCAAATGATGGGACATTCCAAGATATCAGAGGTTCTGGAAAGGAATGTAGAGAGCTATCATTGGTGATGGGACTTTCTTGTGCATGATGTGCCTATTTTGAATAGTGAATCCGAGCTCTAGCACTTCAGAGTCATCCTCCTCAGATGGGGGCACTTTTAGAGCCTTGCCACTTCCCTCAGCTTCATCTGGTGGTGGCTGACCAGCAAAGAATCAGCACATGGGCTGGGCCCACAGATTCTGATAAGAGTTTCTCAGCTTGGGTTGGCTCTGTGTGAGCCAAGAAGCCATGCTACAGATGGCTGAAGTGGTGAATATATACCAGAAAAATGTGGTTTGAATTGATGGTGCTGTATAGATGGCTCAGCTAGGTGCCATGCTTGGCATCCATGGCATAGGTTCAATGTTGAATCTAGACTTGTATGCTGGTAATAGTGCTAGAGGATTTTCTAAATGATTTTTATTATAAATGAAAATGGCCCACTTGATGGCCACATATTACAAAATATCTGCATACTTGACTTTGTTGGTGGCAGTGTACCTTAGTCTCATAGGCAACACCAACCAGATGTCATCCATCCATAATGTAGCTGCCCCTTCCTGGTACAGCTGTAGGAACTCACTCTGGCACTCCTTCTGCACCCTCCTAGCTAATTCCTCCTCTATTGGTCATGTTAAAAATATACTTCCTCAGTCAGAGAGAGGGTCCTTGCCCTCAGACTCTTTCTCATCATCCATCTTGCTCTTGTCCCCCTCAAGGAGAGAACTGTCACACAGCTCATAGATGTCTGGGTCAACCTGACTGCTGCTGCTGGATGCTGGGTCCAGCATCACTAGATCCAGGGTGAGGAGAAGAGTCTCACCTTCACTGCTGCTGCCCCTCAGCATTGTGCCTTGCTGCTTCCACTGCAACTGCTTGGTGATATTGGCAGGAGTTTCTATAGAATTGGGGTTGGAGAAAGAGAGACATGATGCATCTGTCCAAGATCTGCTTGAGATTTCCAGTGGAGTCAATATTCTCTTTATTGCCCTCAAGGTCTCCTCTGTGACTTGGTAGGTCTCTGTCCCAGTCTGGGATATTGTCAGTCCCATAAGATAGCAGGTGGTCATTGTTGAAATTGAGTGATGCCCTTTAGTGGATGTCATCCACATGGATAACACCTTCAGAGGGTACTGCCCATGGGTTGGGCTCAGATAAGATAGGAGTACTGGACTCCCAGAATGAGGTAGGGAAATTGACAAGAGTACAATCAATGGTGGAGGTCTCAAGGCTCTCTGAGCCCCTCCTCCAGTCTGCTCTGTCTTGGGCTCAGAGATACCACCCAAAGAGGGCATCCTCCCTAGCAGTCTCATGCTCAATTCATGCTTGCTTCTGGATGTACTTGGCAAGGGAGTCAGCACATTGTACTTCATTCTCTGGGAGGAGGACTGAGTTGATAGGGTCAGTTGGTTGTACTGAGCTTGATGAGCCTGGTATGCTTCCTGCTCAGTGAGCCTTGTGGCATCTCTAGCACTGCTCCAGTCAGTCTGTGGCTGCTGCTGCAGCCTGCTAATATCTTTTCTCACTGCTGTTGTAGTCAAAATAGGGGTCATCTGTTCTGATGACTCCTGTCCTTCCTCCTTTGCTGTTTGTACTCTGGCTACTGACATAGAGCTCTGCAGGGAAGCTCTCTCCACTCCTCATTGGTGTTGCATATAAGGATCTGTGACTGTCATTTGAAAGGGGACTTTCATTCTCTCAAGCCACCCCAGGGGCATCAAGAGAGTCTCTGGCATGGTGTTCAATGCCAGACTCAGAGGGTGCAGTTAAAGGGGTGCCCCTCATCATAGGGATGCAGCTGGTGACATCTGTGTGCTCAACCTGCAGGATGGGCATATCAGGTCTTGGTCTTTGAAACCCTGTAGCCCAAGGGTTGTCATTATTTTAGATGACAGCTGTCAGGGATTGGAGTGGTGACATGCCCTCTCCATATTCAGGCATGTAAAATTGCAAAAATTGAGAATACATGGACTGCATTTCAGTCCAGTAAGCATGTAACTGAGAATAGAGTAAGAGCACACAGAAACCTAGCCATCATAAGGCTAAACTGAAGTAACAAGGAGTAGAGTGCATGGCCTAGTAGCAGACTAATACCAGAGGGGTTAGACTGCATGTGAGGTCTCAGCACTTGGCCCTAAATGTGCTAATACCATTATAAGAGAGCATGCTAAAAATAAAAAGGATATGATCAAAATATGATCAGCAATTCTGATCACATTGATCAATGATGCACTGATGGAACATGCTTTAGAACAGAGAACTGAGACCCAAGGAAAGATATCTGATTAACTGGATGCTGAACAGAGAAATGACATGATGGCAACAAAGGAATAGATAGAGGAATACTACCCTCAGAGATGAATAGCATGTGTACTGCTCAGAGACTTGCATGCATACTTACCATACCTTAGCATGCTTAACATAGTGAGGGACTCTGCATTGTACCATAGTATGACACATACTATATTGAGTAGGTTAATTAATGCATGTCAGACTAGAAGCAGTGCAATTTATAAGCTGGAGAGAATGTTGAGACATTGGAGAAGAGAACATAACTATTGTGGCTGACTCCAGACATGGGAGATAACTCCAGGGGTCCAGAACAGTTTACTGCTGCCAGAGATGTGTCACCAAGGCAAGAAGAAAGTGAGCAGACTGGGCTAGACCAGCTAGCTGAGGTCAGCTAGTGAGGAAACATTGCACAGTCCTGGCCCAGAAGAGAATAAGCACAGCAACTGCAATATACACACAAATAATACCCATGGGATCCAGCACAGAGTCTCACACTTTGAAGATACCATAGTAGGATTGTATTAGTAAGTATCATAGTAGAGTATTTAAATATAGTATTGTATAAGTAGAGATCAAGTTTCCAACCTCCACAGTTGCAGTGTATTGGGCACAGAAAGCCTTGCACTCTAGCTCTGGGTTTGTGTTTGTAACTTCAGATGAGAGAATAAACATATTATTGAACATCTTAAGAGAGAGCTGTGAGAACTAAGCAAGGCATCAAAGCTCACAAAGGACTTGAGCCTGATTCGATAAGAGGTTTTGGATTGAGCTCTAACCTGAGAATAAGAGAACAGTGTCTGAAGGGCATCATCTTGAGTTTTTGAGGTATTTGTGATGCATGATGCTACAGGTGGCAGAGGTTCAAACCCTTTGGTCTGTCAGATGGGATTTTATTGTGTTTTGTGTCTCTGGATCACATAGGTTTGAATCCTGTGGATCTATGATTGGTTTGGAAGCTTGTAAACAGAGATCTGTGCTCTTTGGCACTTGTGGATGTGTTTGTAATTGGTTTTTGCTTAGAGTGTGAAGCTTTGAGCTGTGTATTGTATGTGTTAAGGATTTTGAGTTGATCTGAGCTGTGCTTAGGACTTTTTAGAGAGTTTTGTGAGAGTGTTTCAATGTATTGTATTGAGCTGCAGTACCCTTTGCCTTGAGGCCTGGCAACACCAGTTGCCACCTCTTGTTCTGATAAAATGAAAAGCTTTGAGGCTTAGAGAGACCTTGGACTGTTGTAAGCACACTATTACTGTTCATGCACTGTGATCTCATTGAAGAGGACAATTATATTTGTTGATTGCTACTTTTATCATATTATAATCCCCCCATGAACTAAGAGTTTTGTGTGTGTGTTAGTGTGAGTGTGGTTAGTGGATAACACTCTACTGTATCTATTTTCACATTGCACATGCAAAGATCCTCTTTAGCAGATATCAATGTTCTTCTTCCTGAGGATGCTGCAAATTCATGTCTCCAGAGTCAGTTTCTGGTATAGTTCCTTCCATGGGCTGAAAGGACTGTCAGGCAGAGGGAGGGATGTCATAGAAGGGGAGGTCAGGAGTGATATTTCATAGAATTCAACAGATATGCTGAAATTCTTGATAGTGGTGGATTGCTCAAGCAGTGATTGATTGGCATCCATGGCACAGCTGTATGATCACCAATAATCCTAATAGTGTTCTGATGATAGAAGCAAGGAGTTTGAAGAACTCATGGGTGAAGTTTGAGTCTGATAGGTTGATTGCAGAGAGCATTTGGTTTCTCAGCACAACTGAGCTTGAGAAAGAGAAGCTAGAAGCTTCAAGCTAATTGTTAAGCCCAAATGACATGTGACTTAAACACATGATAAACTGATGCTGCTTCACATTCAGACAGTCACATCAGAGTCCACTGTATGTGTCTATTTATCTATGTGTCTCAAAGCCTTTACAACTGGCTCAAGATAAGATGGTGAAGAATAAACTTTAGCTTGAAGCTGAGGATACTACAGTGAGAGCTATGCTACTTATATACTAGTCATCATCCATCTAAAGATATAACTATCTAATTGTGCATCCTGACATTATAGAGTGTTTTGTCCAGTGTTGTTAAGCTACCTACAAAAGGGTATTGTCTGCTGTTGAGCAGTTACCATCATGTCAAAGGACAATGACCAACTGGGCATTGTTGTGCTGACTAAGCCCATCCTATGGTCCTAAGCACTAGTCTAAGCACTCTGACTAAGCGAAAATAGGAGTCAATCCTCAAATAAAAGATAAAAATGAGGAAAAATTGTAACAACTCTCAGGTAGAGAGGACATATTCACCTGGCAATCAGCATCAGAACCCCTTTATGACAGCAGCAGCACTGAGTACATCATCTGGTTTCCTGGATCAGAAAGCATATGAACCACCATCTCAGGATCCATTTCTCTCATCATCTGAATGGCCATCTCTAAACAGAGAGAGTCAGTATGAGAGGATAGCAGCTATTACTCTCAGAGGGTGGACTGAACCAACAATCCTGTCACCAGCATGTCCAGTAGCCCCTTGATCCAGGAGCAGAACATCAGTGACTAGTGTATTCTCAGGGTTGATGCATACAGCCTTAGAAGGAGCAAGTCCCAGTCTGCCAAGTCAGAAACAGTGGACCCATATGAGCCAGGAAGGGGATACAAATATATTCTCAACTGGCAGGAACATGTGGTGGCAGAATCTCCCTGGGCACTACCAATAGCTCAAAGAGAAGCAAATGGCAGACACCAGATGGCTAGGGTCAGACAAAGGACTCTGATACTTCACTCTGCTGGAATGCACTAAAGGATTAGTAGGTAGAGTATGGGTGGAGACCAGAGTAGAGGAGATAGTACAGAATGCAACAGAGTACTGGGAGTTCCCTTTTCCTTTCTCACACTGCCCTCCACACCAGCCACCTTTGGCATCAAGCAGTGTAAGCAGCTGAGTCAGCTGAAACTCATTCTGAAGCACTATTCTGGCATTCTCAAGCTGGTTGTTTGCAGGAGTCAGGCCAGAAGATGCCTCATCCTCAGCACTACTGGCAGAACCAAGCAGCAAGGGGAAAGAATGAGAAGAACCCATAGTACTGCTACCAACATACTTTGAAACCCACAGCATATACTTCTCCATGAGTTCCAGTGGGTTTAGCCTGCATCAAGTAATATTCTGCACTATCTGCTTTGAAGGAGCTGCAGACAAATAGTGGGGCCTCCAAGAACCTCATCTCTATGATACAGACACTGGACAATAGTAGTTTCCTTCATACCCACAATTCAAACAAGCTGTAGAAAGATGATTTAAGGAGGATGCAGAAATGAAGCTACAGGTTGTCAAATGGAGGGCTCTGAGACAGGCCAACTTCACCAGCACCAAAGGGTTTTTCTAAGAGTTTGAAGAACTGGCATACCAGGCAGGAAAGATGAATGATGAAACTGCTATGCTTGAGCAGATCAAAAATATGATATGACTCAATCTCTGCAACATGATTGCTCATGGTGATAATGATTTCTCCTCCACCTATACTAAGTGGAAAAGAAGGATGTTACAGATGGACTACAACTATCATATCAACACTATAGAATATGAGGAAACCAAGGCCACCATGCAGGGAGGAAAGGCTGTCACTGCCAGATCAACTCTGAAAGGATTGACTATGAGTGACAAGAAGATGGAAACTGGCACTATGTACAGTGGCCAGAGGCAGCCAATGGACATTGATGCACTCTGCAAAGAAGGAAAGTGTTTCAACTGTGGCAAGAAAGGGCATATGGCTCATATTTGACTGAAGCCATGAAAACCTCAGCCTCAATGACCCATCCCAAATGCCACATTGAGTGGAAGCCAGCCTCCTGCTTCATGCAATATTCATGAAATGAAGTTTTCAGATGATGAGTGGAAGCAGCTGAGCCAGATGTATAAGGAAGAAATGGCTAACCAAAAAGTGCAGGAAGAACTGGATCAAGCCATAGCAGAGAAAAGGAAGAAAGAAGAAGAGGCTGCATTTCAGAAGGATTTTGACAAGTAGTCTCTTGATGCATACACAAGTAAACTCCAAACATTTTCTTGAAACAAGCAGATGATACTAACATAGCATATTCAAACCCAGACACTGTCTCTACTAATACTAAGAAATCCTCTGTAGATACCTATAATAAATATTTGCTGCTTCAAAAACAAGAAGAAAGTACACAAAGCTGTAAGAACTCAAGTGCTCAAAAGAGCTGAACAGTGCACTCAGTATGACATCAATATTATTCCTCCAGACCATAACTTGCTTGGTGACCTTCATATGATTGTTCTACTACCAATGAGCTCCCCAGTTTCTGTACCAGTACACTGCACTCACCAGAATCTCTCCCTTGCAGACAAACAGCATCACATCTCTCTCACTCAGAGGAGTCACCATAGCCCTATCCCTCAAAGCTACAACATTCTTGAATCCCAAGGCCTCAATCTGCAATGTGGCAATCAGTGATGACTCCTTGGTATATATGATCATACTCACTAGGGTATAGGTCCAATTTCAGACCTCTGATACTGATGCCTCCCAGTCCTGTATGCTGTGGGGTGAGTTCATTGGAAGCTGGCAAGCTGGTATGGTCATTATACTAATTTGAAATGACCAGCTCTGAAGATGAGCCTTTATTTTCTTCTCAGACATCTGGCAAACCACAACCAAGTTGTATCCTTCTTCATTCAAGATTAATTGCCCAGGCTGAGTGTTATCTAGTGTTATCTGTTAGGTTGGTATGAATTACTACCTGGTGCATGTACAACAAAATTTCTCCACAATCATATTCTCTCCTCGATTGGTTCACCACACATATACAAATAGGACCATCCTTCTTCCCCACTTTCATGAAGAGTTGGTCTTCATAGTCTTCTCTTTCTCTTGCATTCACACCCACCTACCAGTTGGTCAAATGAAGCTCCATGACAGACCTAGCATCTAATCTTGTGGCACTCGTTTCACATATCCACTGCAAAGGATCAAGGTCAATTTGTTTCATTCTTCCAATAAGTATTTGAAGAGTATTCTGCAGAAAATCCTGGTTTTCTTTGCATGATGCATCCTTGTAGAAAGGACATGAACAATGCCATGCCAGAAAGGATTGACCAGTCCAGTGACCTGAAATTCAGGCCACCATTGTTTGTCTTTTCAGCTCAAATTCAACTCTATAACAGAGACGCCTATATTCAACAGCCATCAAGGTGAATTTTCATGTATATACTGCAAATGGATTGCTTAAAACTGTTCTATAGACAACTTCCAAGGTGAGCTGGATTATTCGTATTTGGCTAGTATATGCAATGATATGTTTCTGAGCAACATGATTGAGGCTGGTTTGCAAATGGAAATTCACTTTGATTTTAGACATTAAATTTTTGTCCCTTGTCTTGTACTCATCTTTCTAGTACCAAAGAGAGCAATGGAACAACTTTGTGATCCTCCCTGCATGCTTGTGAAAACAAACCAAAATTTGAGCACAATGATATTCTCTGGATCCATATCTAGGTGAGAGTCGAACCCATACACATATGCTCATGGATGCACTACCAACCATTCCTTGATGCAACTATCTCTGATTTCAAGCAACTGATGAAAATTTCTCTCTCTTTCATAAGGATAATAAAAGTAAGTAGAATGTGAAAGGTACATGATTTATATAGGTGAATACATAGGATCGAAGCCCTTCAACCATCTGCTTCACATCATCAATAATTGACATGGACATCTAGTAGCCTTCCTGCATCGTGACATCTAGATTTCATCGTAATGGCAGAGCTGCATTTGTAGCACAAGTGAACAATGAAGGAAGGAGCTTGGGCATGATAGAGCTATGGGTGGTATAGACAGAGAACCTCTTCTCATGGCAATGCTCCCGTACAACCTCTGAGCCCAACACAGGTCATGCAAGTTAAAGAATCTGTTCCTCGAATGATTATCTGCCATGTCTCATTCGATACATACCTAAGGTGTATGAAGACCTGATCCCTAGGAAGAGAACAGGTATGTTATTGACCTCGAGGAAGAATTGATAGCACTGATGCCAGCATGAGGCAGTGTGTACTGGAGTCCCATGGTGAAGATATCCTCAGGAAAGCATTCACTTGAAAGGATGGTGATATTATGCTCAAAGCAATTGAGAATGGGTTTCTCCACATGATGGCTGAGAACCAAATAATGGAACTTTATTCACATCAGTGCACTGGAAGTCAATGATACATCTGTCATGGATAGGTTTTTCTGTTATTGAACAATGCAGTCATGTAAAGAACTGGCCTTGTTATTGATGACAGGGATTCACTGAGGATGCTGCAGCACCCTCACCCTTAGAAAAAGCATACAAAGAGCATATATATACATCTCAGTCCATCCTTCCAAGTGCATATATCCACTTTGCAGACACACCATATGCTGACAGAGAATCTGAATTTCTAGTGGGAGTGGCACTGACTAGGTCAGTTCATGCAGAGATTTCGTCATCCATGCTGGAACATTGTGCAGCTCTGACAGATTGAATAGCTTAAAATCTTGGGTGCTAGTGTCAATATTAAATGGATAGTAAAGCAGCAAGGACAATGCATGCTCGCCATCCCAAACCAATAGGTTAGCCAACCCTGAATTTTGTGTTTTGCAGTCCATATGTTAGGTGCCATTACAGACAGACCAAGGAATGAGGAAAGGGAACAAGCATGCTGCTGTTGATAGTCAGCAAAGCAGTAATACAAGGAAGAGGGGAAAACAGAACCATTTTCTGTGCCTGTCCCCACTATTTCCCTTCTTCGATGTCTGGAGAGATAAAGGTTCTGGAAAGAGAGGTGCAATGACAAAAAGAGGAATGCTATTATATGGAGGGCTGCATGGACATTGAGGGGTAAGGAAGGAAAGAGGTTGTGACTTGGAATGTGATGACTCAGATATTGGGTGGGCACATCGAGTGTCACCATTCTTTCTTTTCTTCCATCATGATGATGGCACTCACTCCTCTTCTTGTATCAACTAACACCCATGATTTCTCTCCAGAATAATGGGGATTTCCTTGGTGAACACCTTGGAAGAACAGACTCATACCTACTGATGGAACTCATTCCAAAAAGGCATTAAAAGGATATGGATATGAATCCATTTTCATTGCACATGGAGCTGAAGGAAAAAATTTAGTTATATCTATAGCTTTACTGGGTGTGACCAGCTCCAACCATCCAATTGTCCACACTCATCATCAGTCATATAGAAGGGTAGGACTTTGGGAGAGGTGTCACTGAATCCTAGAAGAGCTGAATGTCTTTGTATTACTCCATTGAGGCCTTCAGTAACTATCACTGGCATGGTCTGTCATCATCGAACATATATGATAGACTGTCCAGTAGCAAGTCATCCTTTTCCGACTGAAAGCAATACCTGAAGAGAGCTTTAAGAGGATGGTGATGTTATGAATGTGACCATTTCACACCTTCACATTCTTCACCCATGTCATTCCTTACATTATCAATGCACCACTCTCATGCCTTTGTTGTGCTGCAACTCCATTCTGCAGTATAACATGCTAATATACTCACATATTTATGTCATTACAGAACTATTACAGGGCGATACTACACTGTCATTACTGCGACACTCATATACCAGATGCCTCTGGTATGACTACTGGCCTCATGCTGCATCGTCTTTACTTATTATTAGCATACACTCTTTTGTATATAAAGTAGCTCAGCTGTGGCCTTAAGCCTCAGCTTCAGACTAAAGTTTATTCTCCCAATACTCTTCTGACTGAACTCTCAGCATCGTCCAACTTGATTGAGATGCTTCCTGCTCTCTCCAGACCTTCTCTTGTGCTGATTGCTCAAATGCAAAGCACAGCCTTGAGTTTTGGTTTGTTTGTAGTAGTTGGTCACTAACAATTAGTCCAAAGCTGAACCTGCCCTTCTCCTGATGACAGTCAGGAGTACCGCATGAACATTCCCCTGCTAATACTCGCTATACTTCTCTTTTCTGTGGTGGTTTTACTGTTCATGCTCTATATCTCTTACATCTACCAATGGGAGATCATCCACTGGTGCTGCCAGCAGACAGCCAGTTGGTTTGGTCCCCATCTCCAAAACCTCCAACTTTGCCAGCCCCAATCATACACCATCCTATGCTGGTATGAATTCCAGTCGATGTGATATGCATTTGACATACTTGAGCAGGTTGAAACAGCCCACATCACAGATATCGAGGAAGTCCAACTTCCTCTCTCAAATGCGTCAATTGAAGAACAAGATATTGGTGCTGAAGGAGAAGTCATCCTCTGAGGGCTTAAGAGTGCTCAAATGCCCGAGATTGAGATCACCAATGACCTCAGCAATGACTCGTCCTCGTTCAATGACAAATGACAAGCTCTGAAAAGAGCAGAGCCTTCTGGCCTCCCAGGAGATCCATGGTGATATGGATCACATGGTGGACAGGCTGACAGCCTGATTATTATCTCCTCAGACTTCGAGTCTGAGTATGATAAGTGGGGAGCCTCTCTCCTACAACCAGAAGTGGCCTGCACTCCCATTTCCATCCAAGCACCTATGCTTGAATACTCCAACCCTACCCCAAGGGTCACCCCCACAGTCTCTGACTGCTTGACACATGGCTCCTGGTGAGCCACACCCCTCTCCCATAGACCAGGTCCACGATGACTACTGGAGGACAACACTCCTCCACCACCCTATTCTCCATCCCACCATGGTGGTAGCACAAATCCTGCTGCCCCCCTCACCTTTGATGACGTTCTTAAAAGGATCTGTCAGCAGCTGGAGGTGCGCTGTGCATGGAGTAGGGAGAGAAGGATCGTACATTGGCTGGAGGCCCACTCTCACCATGAGGCTCTCCTTGCTGATGACCTCTGGGGCCAGCCAGCCCCAGCCTGCACCCCCAGCCCCAAGGAGTTCCCACTCTGCCTCCAGACCAGTCAAGACCCTGGTCCAATGATCTCTGGGCATCTATGTGCCCTGACACCCAGTCTCTCAACCATCTTCTGAGATATCAAGGTTTTCTCAACACAGCAAGAGGAAGATGCCCACCTGGACATCTCCTTTCCCTTGCACCCCTTGGAGGTCTACTACATCCACAACCTCCATGAACAGTGCCAACTCTGTGCTAATCAGGACATTGAGTGAGCACACTGCCTGGCTCACCGAAGAGTATCAGAGGATATGGGAGGAGGCAGTGGCAATGCTGACTGATTCAATCAGTTGGCACAAGGGAGAACTGGGTCACCGCTGAGCAACAACCCTATGAAGTCAAGAACAGGAGGATATTTTCTCTTACAGTGTGCAGGCAACCACAATATTTAATTTCAACTCACTTTATCCCTATTGCCCCTATTTAATGCCAGAACTATACCAATACAAACAGTATGATCCCATACATACCATAGAGGCACCTTAGCCTGAGATGCCGAACCATCTATAGCAGAATGGCTTCCAGTTACTGGCAGCCACCAATCCATTGGCCGATCCATAGGCCAACATTGTCCTGCCAGCACCACCGGTGGACATTGGAAATGCCAAGCCACTCATCATGGATCTGGTAGCTTTACCACCATCACCACCTTTATCAAGCAGCCCAAGTGGGAGTTCAGCAGCAACTGCTGCTGGACGAAGAAGTCTTTGGTCCCTACCTCAGAGACCAAACAAATGGTGATCATCGACACTGTCTCAATGGCTGACTGGATAGATGGGGGATGAAGCCCTCTGGACCCAAATGAGGGTCAAATTCATGAGGGAACCTGCCCCCTTCAAGGGGCACTACAGGGACCTGGTCTGCTTCCTGGTCCAGTGCAGCCTGTACTTCCAAGTATACATGGCCATCTTATTCCTGGACTCGCATAAAATAGCCTTTGTGATGTCCTTATTTGAGGAAAAGGTGCTGGACTGATGGGTCCTTAAATCACAGGAATACTGGTCAGCATCCACCAGCCATTATCAGTTCCCCACATGGACAAAATTTGTGGAGGAACTCTGAATCAAATTCTCTGATCCAGCCATTGAGGAGGTACATCTAGTCAAGATGTATGAGGTCAAACAAGATACTCGAACCATCACTGAGTACTTTGTCAAACTTGAAAAAGAGGTGAAGCTTACTGGTGAAACCACCAACAAGAGCAACAAGGGAAACCTTGTTCACACACTAAAGTCCAGCATCATCTGCCAGCACATCAACATGATCAGTGCAGTCAGCAAATTCATGCTGGCTAATTACAAAGAATGGAAAGAGCATGTTCTGATCATAGATGCTGAATGCCAGCACCAGGCTCAAGAAGTTGCCCATGGTGCTGGGCCATTCAATCGACCAGCCACCAAGAAGGCAAACACAGCTGGTTCCTCTTTCAGATCCTCAGGATCCAAACCCACTGGCTCAACAAGTTTGAGCAGCAATACCACTGGTGACAAGAAGACCACCACCAGTATCACATTCAGTGGCCAGGGGAAACCCATGGACATCGACAAGTTGAAGAAGGAGGGGAAGTGCTTCAGATGCAGAGAGAAGGGCCATCTCCACAAGGACTGCCCCAAGTGATCCAAGCCAAAGTGGAGCACCACCAATATCCAGCACCTGCTCAAGTCGATCATAGAAGTGGATGGGGAAGAATCAAAGCCTGCTAAGGAAAAGAAACCTATGGCAGCTACCTTCAAGGTTGAGGAGGTAAAAGATCCTGTGGAGAAGTAGCCGGCTCAGCTTCTTCATGGAAGGGTAAGTCTGGACTCAGTGGACAAGTAGCTACAAAGGATATTGTCTCTACCTTTACTAATAAATATGCATTGTTAGCTCCCACCAAGACCATGACTGAAGAGCCAAAAACTCAAGTACCCCTCAAGAGGGCCGAACAGGGTGAGAGATGCCCCAAGGTAACTGTTGAAGAGGTTCCCAATGAGGAAGACAACACCTCCTTCCTCCAGAGCCATGCAGAGCCTCCCAAAGCCAAACCGGTAGTCCTACCGGCCAAGCCTAGAGAAGAGCACCTGGCTCTCCTGTCTGAAGTCTGCAAAGCACTTGTGCAGCCAGGAAACCCAATGGTTAACAAATCCAGGTGGATCAAACCCTGGACAGCTGAGTGGATCCTACAGTCCATTCATGAAGCACTCACCCTTGAGGAGAAAATAGTGAAACTCAAGGTGTGGACTCATCCATGTTGCCAAATCGAAGTGGACAAAGAGACTACCCTACTCTTTGCCCAGCCCTCCAAATCCTCCAACTGTCTTGACTTACAGTTGGAATAGTTGCATGAGCTCAAACATGCACTCTATCAAATCTGCAGATGACTTGGTCAAATGATGAATGTCAAGTGTCAGCTCGAGACACTCAACACTCATGAGACGTTCACAGTCTCAGCCCTCCTAGACTTGGACTGTACCACTAGCACCATCAACAAGCGCTTCGTGGACCAGCACAGCCTGAACACTTGGAAGGCAGCAGTTCCATCTCGCATATACAACATGGATAGAACATGGAACAAAAACGAAGACATAACCAACTATGTCAAGGTCTGACTCAAGATCAGCGAGCATAAAGAATGAATCGAGCTTGCTGTCACTGATCTTGGCATGGCTGAAATGTTCCTGGAGTACAACTAGCTTAAATGCCACAACCCCATCATCAATGTTAAGCCCAAATTCCATGTGACTAGTGACACATGATAAACTGACAGAACCTCGCACTTCAGGTTAGACTGTCAGAGTTCACTTTATGTGTGACCAGTGTTGTGTTGTCAAGATGTTTGCAAGTAGCTCGAGATAAGATGGTGAAGAATAAACTTTAGCTTAATGCTGAGCTACCACAGTGAAAGCTGTCTACTTAAATACTGTTTCGTATCGTGCTATAAATAAATGTTCATAAAAGTTATTGTCTGTCGTGAAGCTGTTACCTCTGCTGTTGCCAGGTGCTCCACAAAAGCTGTTGTGCTGTTACTGCTACACTGCAATTTGTTGACAAAAGGAGTATTGTCTCTCCCTTCACAGTGCACAGCAGCGTGTGCTAGTGGGAACCGATTGGGTTGCTGACTAAGCTTCCCATGGCCCTAAGCGCTGGCCCAGGTGCCCTGACTAAGTGAAGATAGAGGTCATTCCGGAAAAAGGAAAGAAAATAAAAAGAAAAATGGAAAAATTGTAACAATCAATTGGCAGGAAGAGACCATAGCACTAGTCCAGTGCCCCTGCCAAAAGATGCCATTCCATCTGCTGGATGATGATCTGAAAGAGCCATGGGGGACAGACCTGGAGGAGGGGGATAGAATGCTTTTTGTGGACATAGAAGAAATGATCCACATTCATGCAATGAGTAGCAAGGCCAATGAATTAGCCACCAAGGCTAATCTGGCAAAGGGGGACAAGGACTTCAATGACCTTGTCCTGGAGCAGTACCAGGGATTCTGAGATGTTTTCACCAAAGAGAACTTCAATGAACTTTCCCCAAGGAAGCCATGGGACCATGCTATCAAACTGGTCCCAAACATGAAAGCTAATTTAGACTGCAAAGTCTATCAGCTTAGCCTGGCTGAGCAAGAGGAGCTTGACAAATTCCTTGACAAAAATCTGGCCTCTGGCCAGATCCAACCCTCTAAATCACCAATGGCATCACCCTTCTTTTTCATCAAAAAGAAGGATGGAAAACTCTGTCCAGTACAAGACTACCAGAAACTCAATGAGATGACAGTCAAAAACTGTTATCCCCTCCCATTAATCGCTGACCTGATGGACAAGCTTCAGGGGGTAAAGTACTTCACCAAGCTGGATGTCTGTTGAGGATACAACAACATCCGGATCAAAGAAGGAGATGAGTGGAAGGCCATGTTCTAAACAAACCACAGCCTGTTTGAACCACTAATCATGTTCTTTGGACTGACTAACTCCCCAGCAACATTCCAGTGGATGATGAATGACATCTTCAAAGACCTCATCACTCATGGCAAGGTAACCATTTACCTTGACGACATTCTCATCTTCACCAAAGACTTGGCAGAGCACTGCAAAATCATTCAAGAGGTCTTGCAAATATTATAGGAGCAAAACCTTTTCCTTAAACTGGAAAAGTGTGAGTTTGAGGTACTCAAAACCAAGTACCTTGGAGTAATCATCAGTGAGAGGGTGGTCCGAATGGACCCAATCAAAGTCACCAGCATTATGGAATGGCTAGTGCCATTGAAAAAATCCAAACTCCAATCATTCCTGGAGTTCACCAACTTCTATTGCCACTTTATTTGTGACTATAGCAAAATCATGTGACTAATGACCACACTCATGAGAAAGGAACTGTGGAGCTGGAGACTGGCTCAGTCAACAGCATTTAATGCCATCAAAGAAAACATTCAGGATGGTGCTGTTCTCGCTATATCAAACAATGACAATCAATTCCACATGGAAGTGGATTCTAGTGAGAGGGCAATTGGCACTGTTCTGTCTCAAAAACAGGATGACAAGTGGTGCCTAGTTGCATTTTTGTCAAAAGCACTCTCCACAACAGAGCAAAATTATGAAATCTATGACAAAGAACTCCTCGCTATTATGCTCATATTGAAAAAATGGCAGCACTACCTCATGGGTGTCAAGCTCAACTTCAAAATCTGGATAGATCACTAAAACCTCTAGTACTTCAAAAAGCCACAGAAACTCAACTGCAGACAAGCATGGTGGGTGACAGAACTCACAGAGTATCAATTTACTCTGCATCACAAACCCAGGATAGCCAACAAGAAGGCTGACCTGCTCAGCTGATGAGCCAACCATGGCATGGGCACAGATGACAACAAAGATGTCATCCTGCTCAAGCCGGAGTTCTTCCAGGCAATGATGTTGCTGATGGAAGAAGAAGTTCATCAGGACATTCAAAACACACTGAAAGAGACATGCCTATAGGACAGGGGTATCCAGGACTCACTCCATCACAAGCAAGGGATTTCAAAGAAAGACGGCCTGCTCATATACAACAGCAGAGTCTACATTTCAAAGGACTGCATGCTCTGAGGGTGCATCATTTCGATGTTGCATGATCATGTTACGGCTGGACACCCAGGAGTGGAGAAAACAAAGGAGCTCATCCTTCAGGAGTTCTGGTGGCTGAAGATGAAGAAGGAAGTCGAAGCCTATGTCTGGGGCTGCCAAGATTGTCAATGAAACAAAACAGACACCTGGAGGCACTGTGTGCCTCTACACTCAAACAAAGTCCCCACATGACCATGGGAAGTCATATCAGTTGATATGATCACAGATCTACCTGAGTCAAGAGGATATAATTCAATTCTCATCATCATGGATCACTTTTCAAAAGCAATCATTCTGATAGCCATGAGCAAGGACTTGACTGCCAAAGGATGGGCCTGCATCCTTCATGATGAAGTCTTTGCCAAACATAGCATAATGCCAAAAAAGATCATCTCAGACTGAGGCCCACAGTTCGTGTCAGGCTTCATAAAAGAATTATACAAGATGCTGGACATCAAAGGAAACCCATCTATGGCCTATCACCTGCAGACCAATGGACAAACCAAGTGGGTCAATCAAGAAGTTGAAAAATACCTCCACCTTTCCATCAATTGGCATCAAGACGATTGGTCTGAATGGTTGGTGCTGGCCGCCTTTCAGCACAACAACAGGGTGCACTCCTCAATGGGGTATGCACCCTTCAAGATCCTCACTGGCTGAAATGCCAAGGTGTGCCCAGTGTGTACAAGTTGAAACCTTCAGCTGGCAATGGCCAACTTTTTATTAGACATGGACAATATTTACAAGATGGCTGAAAAGGTCTTATCTAAAGCATCGAAAGCAATGAAACATGCTTACGACAAGAAAAAGAGTGTGACAGAACAATATGCTGCCAGTGACAAGGTGTGGCTTGATGCCACAAACCTCTCCCTCCCCTGCCCAAAGAAGAAACTTGATGTCAAATGAGTTGGGCCCTTCACTGTAAAAGAGAAGGTCAGGGAGTCAGCATACCAACTCGGTCTTCCACCCATGTGGAAGATCCATGACATCTTCAACAAGTCTCTCCTGACCCGTTACCATCCCCCTGCATTCCCTAACCAGGAACAACCACAACTGCCACTGCCCGATCTGGGTGATGGCCAATATGAACAGGAAGTCAAGTGCATACTTGATGACTGAATCATCTGCCAGAGAAGGAGACTCACAAAGACAGAGTATCTCATCAAATGGCAAGGAATGCCGAACAAGGAGAATGAGTGGATGCACACTGAGAACCTGGAGCACTGCCAGGACCTCATACAGGAATATCTTGATGGGGACAAACAAATTCTCCACACCCTCAAGAGGCACTTCAACAAGTGGGACTACAAATGGTTTGTCCCATGCTGCTACATGCTGTGGCGACACCTCCAGGAGCCTAAAAAGCTCTACCAGTGGAAGGACACCGACTCCAAGGTCGGTGACTTCTTTTAAAATCAAGAGGACCCTCTTGACCATGACCATGACCAGGAGGTCACCATCAAAGACAGCACATAGCAGTCGGGACGACTGCCTTGACTGGGGGGTATTGTTACGAATGTGACCATTTCACACCTTCACATTCTTCATGCGCATCATTCCTTACATCATCAACGCGCCACTCCCATGCCTTTGTTGTGCTGCAACCCCATTCCGCAGCATAACACGCCAATATACTCACATATTTATGTCATTACAGAACCATTACAGGGTGATACTACACCGTCGTTACTGCGACACTCGTATACCAGACGCCTCTGGTATGACTACTGGCCTCACACCGCATCGTCTTTACTTATTATTAGCATACACTCTTTTGTATATAAAGTAGCTCAGCTGTGGCCTTAAGCCTCAGCTTCAGACTAAAGTTTATTCTCCCAATACTCTTCTGACTGAACTCTCAGCATCGCCCGACTTGATTGAGACGCTTCCCGCTCTCTCCAGACCTCCTCTTGTGCTGATTGCTCGAACGCGAAGCACAGCCTTGAGTTTGGGTTTGTTTGTAGTAGTTGGTCGCTAACAGGTGATGGTGATTGCACGACGACGTACCGAGTTTTTCTTTCCACTAGTTAACGGCAATATCATTGTCACCCAGCCAAAAAATTTCCCATTTGTATTATCGCCAACATAGAAAGGACCAGTAGAGAAGAGGCAAAAGAGCCAGATCTACAGAGGCCAGAATGTTCTCCGCCGATCAAGAACAAAGCGATGCCAGTATGTAGCAGAAAGCGCACCATTCCTTATCTTCAGCGCTTTGGACAGCATCCATTGTCTGAAAGGGAAACACTACAGGAAACATTGATAATGCTGAGCGGGACGGGATTATTCACGGACGTGGGGAGACCGTGACTGTGACGGGACGGCAGACCATCGTCCTTCCTTCTTCCCTTCCTTCCACCACGACAGCAGAACTGGCTGCTGGCGACTCTTACGATCTGTCGAGAACGAGCTCAAAGAGCGTTACCCTGTCTTCCCGCTACCGCTGGAAAGGACCGCATATTGCTCTTGGTGCGCCTACCCGATACCTACCGACGGGAAGATGTTGTGCTCATGGTCCTAGGAAGATGTCAATGGTCGGTTTGACACCATTTTCATTGTTGTGAGGAGCTGAATAAAATTTACAGCTACATCTTCTGCCTCGCCGTGCGCTTTCCGAAACCTTCCTCCGTTCTGTAGTCGGATGCATCGATTATCGCGCTGAACGAGCTCGTCAGCGCGGAGGACAGAACCATCGCGAGTATCCAGTGGTCAAGATGAGAGAAGGAGGATGTAGTGTCAGTGACATTTTTGGTCCTGGTGGTGAGGCGACGGCGGGTGGTACGAGTGGTTTGGCATCGTCATCGTCAACCCCGGGCTGACCGATGCCATATTACCGTATATCTTATTCGACGGTTCATCGCTGGGTCTTTTCGTCCTTCTTCTTGTGCATGAAGTCCTCCCAGTCGTCAGGCTCGGTGAGTAGGTCTTGGTCGAAAATGCCGTTACCCTGTATTCCCGCTAGCGATGGAAAAGATCCCAGATTGCTCTTGGAGCGCCTATCCGATACCTACCGACGAGAAGATATCTTGCTCACGGTTCTAGGAAGCTGTCAAAGGTCGGTTCATCGTGGATATAATTACTTGAAGAAAGTGAATAAAACGTTATAGCTACATCGTCTGCCTCGCCGCGCGCTTTTCCAAACCTTCCTCCGTTCTGTAGTCGGACACATCAATTATCAGCTGAACTAGCTCGTCAGAGTGGAGGACCGAACGGTCCTGAGTATCCAGTGGCCAAAATGATAGAAGGTGGCTGTAATGTCAGGGACATTACTGGTGGTGGTGGTGAGGCAGTGGCGGAGGGTACGAGTGGTCTGGCATTGTCGTTGCCATCCCCGATGGGCTAACCGATACCGTATTGTCATATATGGTATTGGGATGTTCATCGCGACTGGCGCGATGGTGCTGGGTCTCATCGTCCCTCTTGCTGCGCATGAAATCCAGCCAGTCGTTGGGCTCGGTGAGTGGGTCATGGTGTATGGCACGCCAGAGCACCTCTCGTTCCTCCGACGCCTTCTTGTCGTCATAGCGTTGCTTGCCGAGGAGCGTCAGAAGGAACCACCTGTCCCACTCACGAGCATTAAGTGTTGGCGCATCGTCTGGGGCCTCGCCGGGAACGTAGGAGTCGTCATTCAGAATCGAGAGCATCGAAGGGGTGCATGGGTGGTGCATGGTTCGGTACGTTATGAATCCTGCTCCTCCAGGCCATAACTTGCTCGGTGACTTTCATATGATTCTTCTACTACCAATGAGCTCCCCAGTTTCGGTACAAGAACGATACACTCACCAAAATCTTTCCCTCGCAGGTAAGCAACATCACACCTCTCTCGCTCCGAGGTGTCGCCAATGCTCTATCCCTCCAAGCTACAACATTCTCCAGGCCGAAAGTGCCTATCTGCAATGTGGCGATCAGTGACAACTCCTCCGTATACGCGATCGTACTCACTAGGGTATAGGTCCAATCCCGGACCTCCGATACTGGTGCCTCCGAGTCCTCAATGCTGTGGGGTGAATTCATTGGAAGCTGACTTGGAAGCTGGCAAGTTGGTATGGTCGTTGTACTAATTTGAAATGACCAGCCCTGAACCTGAAGACGCGCCTTTGTTTTCTTCTCAGACGCCTGGCAAACCACGACCAAGTTGCATCCTCCTTCATTCAAGATTAATTGCCCAGGCTGAACGTTATCTCTTAGTTTGGTATAAATCACTGCCTGGTGCATGTACAACAAAATTTCTCTGCAATCGAGTTCTTTCCTCGATTGGCCTGCGACGCGTATATGAATAAGACCGTTTTCCTTTCCCGGTTTCGCCAAGAGTTGGTCTTCATGGTCTTCTCTTTTGCTCGCATTTGCACCCACCTACCAGTTGGTCAAATGAAGCTCCGCGACGAACCTAACATCTAATCCTGTGGCGCTCGCTTCACACGTCCGCCGCAAAGGATCAAAGTACGTTCAATTTGTTTCGTTCTTCCGATAAGTATTTGAAGGGTATACTGCAGAGACTCCTGGCTTCATCTGCACGATGTATTCTTGTAGGAAGGACACGAACGATGCCGCGCCGGAGAGGATCGACCGGTCCGGTGACATGAAATTCGGGCCACCATTGTTTTTCTTTTCAGCTCAAATTCGACTCTACGGCGGAGATGCCTATATTCGACAGCCATCAAGGTGCGCATTTTCATGCTCATACTGTAACTGGATCGCTTACAACTGTGCTACAGACAACTTCCAAGGCGATGCTGGATTATTCGTATTTGGCTAGTATACGCGATGATGTCTCTTCGAGCAACATGTTTGACGCTGGTTCCTTGCAAATAGAAATTCATTTTGATTTTAGACATTAAATTTTCGTTCTTCGTCTCGTGCTCATTTTCCCGGTACTGAACAGAGCGACGGAACAGTTTTAAGATACTCCCTGTATCGTATCGAAGACAAAAAATGAACCAAGAGTCCCCATATCTGGGTGGGAGTCGAACCCAATACACACGTGCTCAGACGGATGCACTATGTACCAACTTTTCCTTGGCACAACGATCTTCGCAAATTTCGAGCCACTTCCTCTTCTGCAAGGACAATATGGGAAAGAATTGGGTAGCACAAGGTCGGCATTGAAAGTTACATGATTTACATATAAGCGAATACACAAGATCAAAGCTCTCGAACCATCCCCTTCATTGGCGTGAACTTCTCGTAGCCTTCCTGCGTCGTGAAATCTAGATCCCATCTTAACGGCGGAGCCGCATTCGTAGGACGAATGAGTGGCGGAAAGAGGATCTAAGTCTATAGCATAAAAATAATGCTCATCATGAATAACAGGATCTATTGGGTGAGCTTCATTATTGGAAACTTAAGAGCATCTCGAAGCATGCGCTCCTCGGAAAATGTATGGCACGGTTGAAAAGTACATTTGACGCTTCGTCTGGTAAAATTGCAGTGACGAGGAGACGAAGGCCTGCTTTGATGAAATAAGTGTACCGTCGCATCTGCAGAATTCAAAATGTTATTTTACTGCGGTCTCCATGTTAATAATATCGAGACCGTGCCCGAGTTCCGTGAGACAGTACCGCCCGCTGAGAGACAAGGACTGAAAAGAGAATCCGCGAGCCAGGAACATCAGACGTCCTTCAATTCGAAACGCAAAAGTCGATCGATGGTTTCCTTGAGGTCTGGACGACGATCCAAATACATCGCCAACGTGGCAATGAAGACGTTGAAATGGATGGCAAAGGATCGTTAACGAGCTCCCAATACCTGGGTGTAAGGTTAAGGATATTGTCGGCCGTTAGATCTTTTGGTGATGAGTACGTTCAAAGATTGATCGGGAGTATTGATACTTACTGAAATGTTGCACGATAGACTTGCACCTTGCATATGTAAGTTCACTTCGTTCTTCGAGTGGCATATTTTCAGGAAGAATCTGCCACAAAGATGTCATCACCAGCTGGGATGTAGAGCGCATTGAAACAATAGGTTTGTTTACTGGGTGATGAGGCTTAGTCGAAACAGAATGAAAGACAAATATAAATACCAGCCCGTCCGTGTTTCGATGGGATCTGACGTTTACGGAAGTGTCTGGCTAATCCAAGAATGGTTACGCTCAGGTAAGTAAATACAGGCAGAAAGTTGCTTGTATATCGCCGAAAGCATATCAACAAGCCATGACAGTATCAGGTGACGATACAAGCAAAATTAGGTAGCCACTAGAGGTGACTAGGGATCATAACACGAGCGACCCTCACGATTGATAATCAGCACACATATAGCCACCTTGATCCACCTTTACGCTGTCACAATGGCGCACACCGTCGTAAGAGAATACTTCCCGGAGTATGCCATGGATAAGTGAATAGACGAAACTGGAGAGTCTGTCTGGAGAGTGATATCGCATTGTAGCCTCTTTACGCACGTCGTATATCCCCGTCATGATGCCCAGGTAGAGGGAGAAGCATTTAGAATATGACAGAGGCTGACGTGTGGTCTGACAAGGGTGCGGTCATAAAATGTAGGAAGGCCTAGAGAATCGTGTTCCGAGCGGTGATAACCTAGATGTGTGAGGAACGCGAATGCAACCTGTATCGTAATGCGAGAAATGATACCCCGCATATCCAGTCGCGGTGGACCGGCGGTGTCCATTCCGAGAATTCGCCGATCTGACGTTATCATTATGGACAAAGGTGATCTTTCCCAGAAAGAGACGCCCAAGCCGCGTCCAGCGACAATAAACAAGAGCCTCCGTTTGCCTCGTGTCTTCAATCCAAGGGAATAACCGCTGACGGTTCGCAGAGATGTATATGTCAACAACTACCAATTCCAATTCCAATGATCACGTTGGCTCGGCGGTGCTGTTTTCCAACGATATTTGGCATTGATCCTCAGTCCGGAAAGAGACATCGCGTCAGCTTTCGATGCTAGGAGCTACAAGCAAAATTCGCTGTTTGCGTGTCGCCCTATCCGCGTCAAGCTCCATTTAAAGGGGGCGAGCACCGATACGGCAGGAATGTCGAATACGTTAGCCGGCTCGGACGTGGACCCCTGACATAAAAGTACAGGTACACGAAATAGACCTTGGATTTCGCTATCCTCGTTTTCTGATCAGTTTTATTACGATTGAGGACAGGTTAAGATTCCTTACCGCTCCCACCTCATTCATCAAAGTAACCGCAGACGAAATCTGAAACGTCAGTCCAAATCTTGCCCCAAACGATCTTGACCTTATCAGAGCGGTCAGAGTGAGTCATTGCCATGAATATGATTGACACTCACCACTGAGTCCGAGCGGTCCGTATAGCACTTGCTGGGGATATATAAAACGACTCCCACGGTTCAGAGTCAGGAGGAAAAGGCGGGCACGCTACGTCGCATCGAGGTTACGAGCGAACGACGTTGAGGGTCAGCGTGCGAGAATGGTAGTCGACAGCGATCAAGGTGGGTCTGAGATTGGACCGGTGTCTTGTGATATTCCGTACGAACCCAGACGATGCCAGCCATGCTATCTGCGGAATCCGGATTTAGTCAAGTCCACGAATCGTTAAAATGAAGAAAATATATATCAATAGAAATAAATGCAACTGGAGTTGCGAGCCTAAAGAGAATGCCAAAGGTTCTATAGGTTCTTTACTACACTGTAGGAACAGAAGTTGACTCTGTCATTGATAATGTGTGTGTCTTGTTCTGTGTTTGAAAGATAGTCAGTCAGAGATTGGCGAGAGAGAGAAACTCACGAATACCCCACACGTGCGTCGGACAAGATGAATGCATGGAATTCGTACAGGAATCACTGATGGTTGCGTTCCAACATGACCATCGTAAAGACACGAAGACCTTGAACTCCTCTAGTAGGTGAAATGCCGCGAACGAAGAAGCCAGAGAAACCAAAAAGAAACCTGACACTTCTACGAGGACGTCAAGAAACTCTAAAGGAGTAAGGACAATAAAATGCGAATGCACCCGCCGTGGAATCCTCCTACAGGTTTCTTTTCAGGAATACTGTCAACGTCCATTCTGTTTTGTCAAGAGCTCAACCAGAGACGCTATCTCGAGACCTAAATAAATGTGTAAAGACCAGCGGAATAGAAGAATTGAACGAATGGCGCGCCGAGAAGTCGCTCGACGTTGATCTTCTTCGTTACTGGAGCTCCGCCTTCGCCTTTTGGGGTCCAGGACATTGCGAGGGCGGTCAAAGCGCATATACTAAGGGTAGGATTTTGGGAGAGGTGTCACTGAATCCTAGGAGAGCTGGATGCCTTCGTATGACTCCATCGAGGCCCGCGGCAACTATCGCTGGCACGGTCCGTCATCGTCGAACATATATGGTGGACTGTCCAGTAGCAAGTCATCCTTTTGCGACCGAAAGCAATACCTGAAGAGAGCTTTAAGAGGATGGTGATGGTGATTGCACGACGACGTACCGAGTTTTTCTTTCCACTAGTTAACGGCAATATCATTGTCACCCAGCCAAAAAATTTCCCATTTGTATTATCGCCAACATAGAAAGGACCAGTAGAGAAGAGGCAAAAGAGCCAGATCTACAGGAGCCAGAATGTTCTCGCCGGTCAACAAGAAAGCGATGTCAGTATGTAGCAGAAAGCGCACCATTCCTTATCTCGTCCATGTCTGAAAGGGAAGCACTACAGGAAACACTGATAATGCTGAGCGGGATGGGATTATTCACGGACGTGGGGAGCAAGGAAGACCGTGACTGTGACGGGATGGCAGACCATCATCCTTCCTTCTTCCCTTCCTTCCACCAAGACAGCAGAACTCCCTGCTGTCGACTCTTACCATCTGTCGAGAACGACATCAAAAAGCGTTACACCGCATTCCCGCCACCGCTGGAAAGGACTGCAGATTGCCCTTGGAACGCCTACCCGATACCTACCGACGAGAAGATATCTTGCTCACGGTTCTAGGAAGCTGTCAAAGGTTGGTTCATCATGGATATAATTACTTGAAGAAAGTGAATAAAAAGTTATAGCTACATCATCTGCCTCGCCGCACGCTTTTCCAAACTTTCCTCCGTTCTGTAGTCGGACACATCAATTATCAGCTGAACGAGCTCGTCAGCGTGGAGGACCGAATGATCCTGAGTATCCAGTGGCCAAGATGATAGGAGGACGCTGCAATGTCAGAGACATTACTGGTGGTGGTGGTGAGGCAGTGGCGGAGGGTACGAGTGGTCTGGCATCGTCGCCGCCAACGCCGATGGACTGACTAATGTCATATTTCCGTATATGAAATTTGTCTGTTCATCGCGAATGGCGCGATGGTGCTGGGTCTCGTCGTCCCTCTTGCTATGCATGAAGTCCAGCCAGTCGTTGGGCTCGGTGAGTGGGTCGTGGTGTATGGCGCACCAGAGTTGCTCTCGTCCCTCCGACGCTGTAACTTGTTCAGTGACCTTGATGTCATCTCTCTACTACCAATGAGTGCCCCAGTTTCTGTACCAGTACGATGCACTCACCAAGATGTCTCCCTCGCAGACAAGCAGCATCACACCTCTCTCACTCCGAGGAATCACCAAAGCCCTATCCCTCCACAATACAACATTCTCGAGGCCGAAAGCGCCCATCTTCAATGTGGCGATCAGTGACGACTCCTCGGTATATGTGATCGCACTCACTAGGGCATAGGTCCAATCTCGGACCTCCGATACTAGTTCCTCTGAGTCCTGAATGTCGTGGGGTGAGTTCACATTAGAAGCTGACAAGTTAGTGTGGTTGTACTAATTCATTGTCCTTCCTTCCTTCGATCACGACAACGGAACTTGCTGCTGGCGACTCGCGACCTCAATAGGCATTATCCTGTATTCCCACCACCTACGGAAAAGACTGCTCTTGGAGTGCACCCTACACCTACTGACGAGAAGATATCTTGTCAATGGTCGGCTCGATATTATTTTCATTGTTATGGATCTGAATAAATGTTATAGCTACGTCTTCTGCCTCATCGTGCGCTTTCCCAAAACTTGCTCTGCTCTGTAACCGGATGAATCCATTATCGCGCTGAACAAGTCTGTCAGCGTGGAGGACCGAACGGTCCTGAGTATCCAGTGGCCAAGATGATAGAAGGAGGCAGTAATGTCAGAGACATTACTGGTGCTGGTGGTGAGGCAGCGGCAGAGGGTACGAATGGTCTGGCATTGTTGTCGCCAACCCCGATGGGCTAACCGATGCTATATTGTCATATATTGTGTTGGGATGTTCATCGCGACTGGCGCGATGGTTCTGGGTCTTGTCGTCCCTCTTGCTGCGCATGAAGTCCAACCAGTCGTTGGGCTCGGTGAGTGGGTCGTGGTGTATGGCGCACCAGAGTGCCTCCCGTTCCTCCGACGCCTTCCTGTCGTCGTAGCGTTGCTTGCCGAGGAGCGTCAGAAGGAACCACCTGTCCCACTCACGAGCATTAAGTGTTGGCGCATCGTCTGGGGCCTCGCCGGGAACGTAGGAGTCTTCGTTCAGAGTGGAGAGCATATGTCGATGCGAATCGAAGGGATGTATAGGTGGTGCATGGTTCGGTACGTTATGAATCCTGCTCCTCCAGGCCATAACTTGCTCGGTGACTTTCATATGATTCTTCTACTCCCAATGAGCTCTCCAGTTTCGGTACAAGAACAACGCACTCACCAAAATCTCTCCCTCGCAGGTAAGCAACATCACACCTCTCTCGCTCCGAGGAGTCGCCAATGCTCTATCCCTCCAAGCTACAACATTCTCCAGGCCGAACGTGCCTATCTGCAATGTGGCGGTCAGTAGCGACTCGTCGGTATATGTGATCGTGCTCACTAGGGTATAGGTCCAATCTCGGACCTCCGATACTGGTGCCTCCGAGTCCTCGATGCTGTGGGGTGAATTCATTGGAAGCTGACTTGGAAGCTGGCAAGTTGGTATGGTCGTTGTACTAATTTGAAATGACCAGCCCTGAACCTGAAGACGCGCCTTTGTTTTCTTCTCAGACGTCTGGCAAACCACGGCCAAGTTGCATCCTCCTTCATTCAAGATTAATTGCCCAGGCTGAACGTTATCTCTTAGGTTGGCATGAATCACTGCCTGGTGCATGTACAACAAAATTTCTCTGCAATCGAGTTCTCTCCTCGATTGGCCCGCCACGCGAATATGAATAGGACCGTTTTCCTTTCCCGGTTTCGCGAAGAGTTGGTCTTCACGGTTTTCTCTTTTGCTCGCATTTGCACCCACCTACCAGTTGGTCAAATGAAGCTCCGCGACGGACCTAGCGTCTAATCTTGTGGCACTCGTTTCACACGTCCGCCGCAAAGGATCAAGGTCAATTTGTTTCGTTCTTCCGATAAGTATTTGAAGGGTATTCTGCAGAAACTCCTGGTTTCATCTGCACGATGTATCCTTGTAGGAAGGACACGAACGATCCCGCACCAGAGAGGATCGACCGGTCCGGTGACCTGAAACTCGGGCGACCATTGTTTTTCTTTTCAGCTCGAATTCAACTCTACGGCGGACATGCCTATATTCGACAGCCATCAAGGTGCACATGTTCATGCTCATACTGCAAATGGATCGCCTAAAACTGTTCTATAGACAACTTCCAAGGCGAGCTGGATTATTCGTATTTGGCACGCGGTAAATGGAAATTCATTTCGCTTTTAGACATTAAATTTTTGTCCCTTGTCTCGTACTCATCTTTCCGGTACCAAGGAGAGCAACGGAACAACTCTGAGATACTCCCTTGCATGGTTGGAAAACAGCACCGCCGAGTCAACGTGATCATTGTCAATGGAATTGGTAGTTGTTGACATATACATATCTGCGAACCGTCAGCGGTTAAACCCGCTATTCCCCATGGCCGTCGTATCATACTTCCCCCAAAGACCTTGTTCGCGTTCCCTCGTCTATGAGTACGTACCTCGGGAGTGCTGTGTAACGACGTTTGTCCTGACTCGTTGTCGAAGCTGGAATCATGTCAATGGCAATATCGTTTTTCGAATATGAACACACTGGCGGTGGGGGAGGATGATATTCTCTTCGGCGTTCCAGGTCGTACTAACTGGAACAAAGGTTGCATGTCCTCGGATCTCCCCGTCTCAGGCTTGTCAAAAGGGTTGTCTCCTATAGCCCCTGCAGGATCTGTACTATTTCTAGACCTATATGCTCGTCGTGATTCACTGCGACACGCTTCGCTGAGCGATGAGGATATCTTGCATGCCGATTGCCGATTCAGATATGGAGATCGAGTCACGTGATGTTGCGCGATGCGTCCGTACTCGCGTCGAAGAAGAACAGATATTCGTAGCGATATGCTCATCGTAATTCCACAACGTGGGAAGCCAGACATAACTAGCCGCGCTGTCGACCGCGCACTAGAACGAAAATCCACAAAGAAATGCGTACGTGATACATGAGGCATCATTGTTGTCCCGAACAGTACAACAACAACAAAGGCGTTAGGAGTCGGGCCTGACACAAGCGAGAAAGAGCCAAATAACCGGTGGCATCCAATGCTAACATAACAACCCCAACATAGGCGTTTCTCCTGCTCTCACACCCTCCCCAGTACACCGTCGAAATGTCTTTCGATTTGATAACACCATTCCGCGTTGCTGTTGACCAGCAGCCTATGCCCATTCGCAACGAGGGATTCAAGGTTAGTGCTCCGTTTTTTTTCTTTCTCGTGTTACCACCTCGCTCAATGTTATTTAGCCCCTCGCCCTTCCGAGTGAAGAGGAGGACGTGGTCATATACCCACGCACCTTCGCCTCGGACCATCTCCCCGCTGACCCCAGCTTCTCTTCCACCTCTACTCCAAATCCCGACGACGACATAGAGAATGTCGCTCCTTTCCGTTTTACGTTCCTCGGACCAGCTGACGGGTCGTCGAAGGCATCGGACGGCTACCAACAACACAATTATACCCCGAGCTCATCGGTTCTGAACATCCTCGTTCCAGAGCCCAAGGCGCGAGAAGCGCGCGCCCCATTCCGCGTTCTACACGAGAAGCCGACAAAACGAGAGGCAAGTTCGTTGTATACCGTCTCTCAGAACATGCCTCTATTCCCGCTGTCCTCTCTGTCTAAGAGCATATTCAACTCTCCGCGCCGTCGTGCCGTGTTTTCCGCAGAAGAGAAGAGTCTCGTGCATTCCTTGATTCGCTGCTGATGAACCTTGACGAGCGTGGTGGAAGGATTTCTTCCACGCCGCTGTCTGTACGCCCGGGTTCATTTCCTTTTACTGTGTGAAACTACTGAATAGATTATTCACGAACCGGAATTGATAACACGTTGAATGTCAATTTCAATTGTTACAAAAAATTGGTGAAACCGGTAGTAGATCCATGCGAATACTCTCTTTCCCCCTGCACCTCGAGAGCAGTGAAGCGCGCCTTGAATCATCAGCTACAGGTTTCATGGGGAGACGTATCGATGAGAAGGGGATGCATTCGAATGGTGTAAACTGGACGATTCCATCCAAATGGCTTCTGCACTAACAAGACTATAAGTATAAGCTCGTACATGGTGGGATGTTTGACATACGTATGCCCGAGCGGAGGAGCTCATGTCGCAGAGCCTGCTTACAGTAGAAAGATACAGAGAGTGGCTCCCACCCATCACCGCTATCACCCTACTCCTTTGTAGCGGAGACAAAAACCATGTATTACACGGAACAAACTAGGCTTTCTTCCTCGTAAGTGGCAGACAATACCATAAAGAATAAGATCGCCTACCTTGGGCCCAACATTTGGACATGACCCACTCCCCCAAGTACTCGCCACCATGGCGTAAGAAAAAAACTCCTCAGTCTGAAGGGCTCGTAATTTGTCATCCCCCACGGCTTCCACAAGTTGAACTTGTCGCCTTCAAAATTCTGGCATAGACCATGAACTCGTTTCACATTGAAGAGGATGGAGTGCTTCTCTTCGAGTGGCGGAGGCGATAGACCTATTGAATGGTCTGACTGGGATTGCAGTAGAAGAGGTGGAAGATCTGGCCCTCTGCTACATTGGAAGAATTTTGGTGAGCACGTTGACCAACTGTACACGTAAACAGATCCACTCATTCTCAGCAGGCGAACTACGCCGCCACACCACACCAACCAAAGTCAGCGTCTCCCCATAAAACTGTTGACGAGACAGACACACTCTCCCGTCCGATTACAACAGCTGGTATCGCCGACTGACCCCGCTACCTTCGACGCCTGGATCGTCTCTCTATTTCAACGAGAGAGAGTCGACGACAAGGGCCAGCATCCACAGTGGCTATACGAGCGCAAACGCTCCCCGCGCTATGTACCACCCACCGACCCCGTGGAGTTCGATGCATGGATCCTCTCCCTTATACTCAAAAACAAGGCCGACTAAGTCAATCCATAGCTGCAATGAGCTCCGAATCCATTTAGAGAGGAGAGCCGATGGAGAAATTGACGAGGGTAAATGTGTGTTTTGGGTCCGTTGTTGCGTTGCCCTCCTGACGTTGTCCAGACCCTCTTTTTTCCAAACTTGCGTTTCTCTTGGACCTACCCACGGTGATTCGACGTTCTCGGCGTTCTTGTGTGCAGTTTGTCATAGATTTTGGGCGCTCAGCCAACATATTCCTGGGATAGTACACGCGACCCCGAACTAGCCTTGTCGTCTCTTCGTCGTCCATAGGGGAGGCCTGATTGCCTAATATATGGGCTCGACGCTCCCTCAGCTTCGGCGTCCACGGCTTCTGTTCGGAAATGATGACCATGTTGAGGAACGGAGATGTCTCGAGCTCCATATGTGGAGAGGGTGATGCTGCAGGTTTCTCGGGCATCTTCACGATCACGATGCAGGCGTCACGTAAATGCACCTGACGGTACCTCTTGATCGGTATGAAAAATGTAAACGGAGCTCCATTGCTATCCCTGGACCGTATGGTAGCAAGGCAGTTTGGTGCCAAGCAGTCGCAGGGCGTACCTCCGGGATCAACTATCAGGTAGAGGAAAACGCGTACTGTCACACCTGCTCTTCTGGAAATATCAACAGGTGAAAAAAATGCATGGCCTTCTCTGGTACGCGACCGTTCTCTTGATTTAGGTATTCTTGGCTTATTTATAATGCTTCTCGAGCACCTTGTCATCTCGAAGCTTAGGACCAGAAAAGGCTGGTCAGATCGTGTAGCCCAATTCTGGACCCAAGATCAACCTCGGACAACGACGCCTTGCCCATAAAAATTTTGGAACACGACAACGCCGAGCTAACATGATCATTGCCAATCGTCCCCCTTTTGAATCGGCGGTCACTGGCATCCGCATATGTCGTACAAACCGCCAGCGGTTATCAAAGACACGGTACGAACGGTGGCTCCGTCTCTTTTGGGGAAAGATTGCCTTGGAACTCGACTGTGGGTACACGCGCATTTAGGGATGCATAACGTGATGACACGGCATTGTCCAGGATTGCGTACAAGGAAAAAAGAGGGAATCAATCAGTCACTATCACATGTATCGTCGGAGGGCAATAGAAACATCATTAGACCGCATCTGAGGTAATATGTATGGTTGCTCTACAATATTTTCCCAACTTCTTTCAAGTGCGGATCATGTTTTTTTTTTTTGGAAGAATTCTTAATGAAAAATGAAGGATATGTAAGTTACTTCTCTCTCCTTGTCTACCTGCATAATTCTACCAAATTTTCCTCCAGCGACAAGGACAAGTGATCTTTCGTCGCTGAAGTATAACAATGAAGTCTGAGCAACGGTGCAAGATGACCTGCTCCTGAACTTGTCGGCATCCCCAATGCCATGTCGTAACAATGTGAAACGGAGCATTGCTCAGTGTTATTTGGCGATTAGTAAGTGTATTCGCGAGGATGAAGAACTGGACAAGTCTTCTTGGCATGACGATCGTAAGCCGTTCTGTGGCTCAGTTTTACATGGCACGCATTACATCGGAATTTGATGCCATCATGCTTTGACTCTTGGTGTCCTATGTAGCATTAAAAAATCAGTAGGATTATAATCGTCAGGTTGTCAAAGCCGCCCACCTTGAAGCCTATGCTTTACGGTGAAATCGTCACCACAAACTTTGCATACATATTTTCCTGGGCCTTGCGTCTTCCTTCGTTGCCGGCTGGCTTCCATGTCTTTTTTCGAGCATGATTTACCCACCTGTGGGTGGCTCTTTGATGATGATGTCCCGTCTACCGGTAGGAGAGGACAGTTCGGAGAGATGGGGGAAGGCGTCGGGGTCAGCAAAAAAGGCAGGCCATCCGTCACCTCCATCTGTCCTGAAATCAACGGAGCTGTGTTACCATACGACGAAGGACCATCGGTGAAAATCGGCGACCTAGGATCTGAGCTGCTCCCTTGGATTAGCTCCGGTGTTGCAAAGATATTAGTAGTCTCGATTTATAAAGACATTTTCCTAGCACTGTGTGAGATCTGCTGCTCGTAACGACTGTTGAGCGAGGGGGCAGAGGGGCGCCGCCGAAGATCATTTAGGAACTCGACTGAGGAGATCGGGATTCCTGCGAACGAGTCTGACATTCTCCTGCCAGTGAAAGCACGAGTTGAGGGAAGTTCAAGGAAGTTGCCTGACTGTGGTGATGAAGGAGATGGTTCACCACAACTGCTATTGGAGTCACAATCACTGACAGCTGTAATGTTGAAAATCAATGCTCGGTCCAGTGCCAGAAACTATGTCAGACGTACTCAGGCTGACACTCAGTCCTCCGACTGTAGGGCAAGGAGCGGAGCTGGTAAGGATAACGCACATCCAAAGGTATAATGTTGAATATTGACAACATATATTGCAACAGATATGGTCTGTTGAACAACCCTTGAAGGTGATGATCACAGCTTAACGATCGGTGATACCGAGCAACTTCGCGGGCCGGTCTTAACCGGGATTCCCATGCAAAAAACTTGGCCGCGCCCGCACACATCGACCATCGACGGTTACCATTTACAAGGTCAGCGCTTTTTAAAACTGTGAACGCGGCTGCAGGTATGGGAATGTTCACAGATGATCAGCTAGGCTATGAGTGTCTCGCTAACTTTCACGGTGCTGATTGATCAGAAATGATTGCGATCACTACTTAGTAGTAATGAGCGCCCAAAGTGCTGGCGCTACCTCCGATTCATTGTCCTGCAAAATCAGATCCTGGTCCGGCAAACTTGCTTACTGTATGTTGTGCTTCCTAGACCATCATTTCTAACAGTAACTTGCTGCCCCAGAGTTTGATTCCATGTAGACAGTAATTCCAATTCTTCCTCGAAGAAGGCGCCTAGTTTCGCGTTTGAATGGTGTGGGTCTGATGGTCAACAAAGTCCAGTTTTACGTCAACCCTATCCTCGTTTTGTGAGTAGTACTTTCTTGATACCTTTGAGCGTTTCAGACTCTGCATAACTTGGTCCTTCCCTGTAAAGCTGAATAAGCGTTACAAAATCCCGCAGGAGCTGCGTTCCTTGATACTCCTCTCCATCATCTATGTTTGGTGTTGATGGCGTGAGCTATCTGATATGTATATCCCACAGAACTGATGTCCGTTGATTAGGGATCATTATCCTGTCGGCGGGAGAATGCGCAGATGATTAACAGGCCTGGTGCTTAATGAGTACTTCCGCTTCTGATACTGTCGTGCCTTGTTTACGTGCTTCCGGTTATATGCAACCAAGTTCCTGCATGTATCTATTTACCCGGGCGGGCGTCGGATTCCATCGAAAGATCCGAGCCGCTTCGATACGATTCACAGCTCTTGGTTTTCGTATTTATATTTGCCTATCATTCCGTCTCGAACTAAGCATTATCATCCTGTAAACAACGCTATTGTTTCAATGCGCTCTACATCCCAGCTGGCGACGACACCTTTGTGGCAGATTCTTCCAGAGAGTATGTCTTTCGAAGAGCGGATCAAGCTTACATATGCAAGGTGCAAGTCTGTCGTGCAACATTTCAGTAAGTCCCAATGATTCCCGTCCATCTTTGCAAGTACTCATTACCGCCAAAAGGTCTAACAGCTGAGGATATCCTTAATGTCACACCGAGATATTGGGAGTTCCATAACGATCCTTTAATTGTCATGGACGTCTCCGTTGCGACACTCTTGACCATTCACTTCAACCTCTGCATTGGAACGTTGGCGATGTATTTGGATCGCCGTCCAGACCTCAAGGAAACCATCGATCGACTTTTAAGTTTCGAATGGAGGTACGTCTGACGTTCCCATCCAGCGGAGTCTCTTTCTAATCCTTGTCTCTCAGTGGGCAATATTGTCTTACAGAACTTGGGCACGGTCTCGATGTTCTTAACATGGAGACCACAGCAAGATTACTACCAAGTGGAGAATTCGAGCTTGACACTCCGGTAGCCCATGCAGCCAAGTCAGTAGTACAGATTTCCTCTAAAATAACATTTGACTTCTACAGAAGAGAAGGTTCATGCCGCCGACTGCTCCATCCGGAATTCCTTGTGTATCCATCGTACACGCTCGTCTCCTTGTCGAGGAGGAAGACCGTGGACCTAAGGTCTTTCTTGCCAAACTCCATGATGGAAAAGGGATGAACCAAGGAGTCATATCCAAGTTAGCATGACAATATCACAATGCTTTGGACTGAACAAGGGCCCTGATCATGTTTACAGAGTCCTCTCTCCTCGTGGTGGAGCCCGTCCGGTAAAGCACTGCCTGACGTACTTCAAGAACGTATGCCTCCCGGCTTCCGCCTTGCTAGGATCACTCGACCGACCAAAAGATCCCCGTACCGCCTTTTTTTCCAACATATCTCGTGTCATTTCTGGAACATTGTCCATGGGTGCGGTAGGGATTTCGTCGATGAGGATTTCATCGTACATTGCAGCCAAGTACAGTCTCCGGCGTCGAGTGGTTGACTCTTATACTAGACAGCCAAGGGAGATCATGTCGTTTGTCACCCAGTACACGCCCGTCCTCACGGCCATTGCGCAGACCCTTGTGTTGGCCGTATTCGCAGAAACGTCTCGAGAGATGTATGTGATCGCTGAAGACCTGGCCTCGAAGCATTTCATCGCTGCCATCTTCAAGACGATAGTCATGAAACTGACCAGTACCGCGACCCTAACTCTTGGAATACGATGTGGGGCCCAAGGACTTTTCGAAGTGAACCAACTTTCAGTCTTGAATGTGAATTATTATCTTTCCCCGTTTATGTTTGTCTTCACTGACACTGGTGACTCAGGCTGATATGCGAGGCGCCGCCATAGCCGAAGGCGATATTCTAGGCATATCTATACGTGCGTGTATCCAGGATTCTCACTGTACAACATGCATATCTAACCTGTGTTCCTTCCCAGGGTTTGCCATGGAGCTTCTGTTAGGACGCCTTTCCTCCCCTTCGACCCCGTATCCCAGCAGCCTTCTCTACAAACACGAACAGGACTTGTTGATGGCGCTCCGTACTAAACTGGCCTCATTCTCCAATCACAGGAGCACACCCGCAGAAAACGCACTCCTCCCGCACTGCCAGCCCCTGATTGAAGCCATCGGATTCCGCATGGCATATGACGCAGCACGCGAAAGGAGACTGGATCCCGCCATCGTCGACATGTTCGTTGCGAGCGCGATAGCAGCCGACCCGGCTTGGTTCTCGGAGAAAGCGAAACTAGCACGTGAGAAGCAGGTGGAGATGGAGGTTGGCGCGGCGTCGGCTCTGCTTCCGCGGTTGGATCAACTGTTGGAGATGCTCGATGTTGAGCATTATGTGGTGGCTCCCATCGTTTCGGATGAACAATGGGAGAGGTACGTGGAGTCTCTGGAGACACATGGAGGTGTGTGTCCTGGATTTGATACTTACGAGTACTATCAGTAATCATAGAGCCGAGTAATTAGTAGTATTCATGAAAACTCCAAGCATTCCTTCATCGTTTGATTTTGATTTTGATCCTGATCCTGATTTGTTTTTATCTTCCTGTTTTGACACTTTCTGTCGCCAAAGAGAATCGTATCATTGATTGATGCGCTTTGAGGGTTGCCACCAATGAGAGAGATGATCGTACTATGAGTAGACTGCAGATTTGTTGGTATTCCTTACTTTGGTGTAAGGTGACGAAATATCGCGATTTGTCAAGGGAACTTGGCTCTACCAAGTTGCCCTTACTGAAAATAGGGCCCATATAAGGTGTATGATGCGTTAGACGTGGAAAAGCCGTACCGGACCGTCGGGGTCCTTCTCTCGTACAGTTTACGACTACGATAAGGTAAGTGCCCCTATTTCTGGATCACTGCGCTTTATATAACCTCGCTTCTCCACTACCTGATGGACGTAACTCTGTTCAGTGTATGTAAGTGGAAAGTCTGTTGATTCGAGGGCTAGTACTTGGTTTTGCCCACTCGTGTCTTGAATAGAATCCAATTCAACACTGCCAATATCTCATTCACCAGAATAATCTTTCTCTGGCAAAATTGGCGCTTATTTATCATTCTCTCGTACAAAGTCATGAGGTCTATAGCCACAAAAACCCAGTCGGAGATTCAGTTTCTGTATTGCCTGCAATCTCCACCAATCCCTTTCCTTCGTTAACCCTTTCGAAAATCTTGATGCCTCCCCCGTGCACACCTCCAGCAATCAACCACTTGTCATCCGGCCCGCCAAAAGCCATGCCACGGAGATGCTTGAGCCCCGAACGCACTTCGGCGATGAGTTTGGCTTCCGTGGAGAAGATGGAGATGATGTCCCCGTCGTGAGAAGGGTCGTTACGGTTCGAGACATATATATACGGTATTGGAAAAGTCGCGTTTGGATGAGGAAGGAGAATTTCTGCGGCGAGCATGTCGGTGGGAGAGGGCGGTGGTTGAGACATCGTTGCTACGGTGTGGAGGAAGGAAGGCTCCGCTGGCTGAGGTGGGAGGCGATGAGAGGCTACGGTGCTGATGAGCTCGAGAAGGGTGTAGAGAGTACCGTCTGGGGTGGGTCATCGTGTTAGTGAGGGATGTACCGGTTGGAAGGAAGATAGGACGTACTGTGAAATGCGACATGGCGAGGTCCTTCACCAGGCTCGTAAGTGATATGGCTCTGAGCCATCCACGATCCTTCCGCATTTTGCTTAAATCGGTAGACGCGGTCACCGCCCAGGTCAGGTACGAGGACTTCATCATACTCTGCATTGAGATACACTTGATGAGGATGCGCCGATCGTTGTCTGTCTTTATTAGGTCCGGAGCCCGTGAGCGTTATAGTAGTCGGGGTCTGCTTGAGAATATACGGCGGCTCTGGGGAAATCGGAAGAACGGAGACGTGTCCAGAAGAGTACTATTTGAAGTTGATTAGTGAAACGTGTAAAGAACACGTTGAATTACACGTACATTCGCGATCAGCAGTTGGTCTTTGGTCGCAAGAAGAGAGCAAGGATCGTCTCCTCCGCTGGACGATTCAGCTACGATGGCACCGTTGGCTTCATTGTCGTATTTGAGCACGATTATCTTTCCATTTGCCTGCTCCAAAGATGCGAAGACAAGAGAGGTATCCCCGGGATAATGAGTGATCCATGATGGATGGAAGCCAGCTTCAATGGAGGAAGTGCGAGTCAACGAGGGCGTCGAGGGGTCGAATAAAAGGGAATAAACGTTGTTGCTGTACGATGCTACGAGGATACGATAACTATTAGTCATGATATGCGCAGTTGAGGATTACAGGCGAGTATCGCTCCAAGTTATACGCAGATAACTAATCTTCCGAGCTGAGTTCAAATTCCCGATAATTTGCCGTTCCGAGTTGAATTAGGGGCCATCTTGACCATATATGAGAATTTCGAGTATTGTTTATCCTGGGCTAGGCGCAATATTTGGAATGCGAATCTGTTTATAGGCTTAAAGAACAGAATTCCGATGTTTCTCCGTCTCCACGTGAATCGTATCTCATCTTTCAACTTCAAGCTGAACTACGAAGCCTCCTCGCATATAACACGTCTCCCATTCGTTCCGCGTCTCTGTCCGAGTATTCTCCTCATCATAGTAAGATAACGGCTCGGAGAAAGGCAGTCCAGTTATTGCGCGATCTATCAAACTGCAGACGCAAGGCGATGGCTTGGCGTTGTGCCGATAATAAACAATCAATTTATGACTTGCTCATGAATGAATCACCACCATACAACACCCCTCATAAGTCTTCTACCCGTTCTCACCACTTTGGCGCTTTTTACGTGACCATCCGGCGAAAGTTCTGCTCCTACATCAACGGTCCCACTGGGATGGCGTATCCGCACCAACTTGCTGTCTCCAGGTTGACGGTTTTGTCGTGACTCAGAAACAATGTCCCAAGCAATGGTGCCCGGAATATTGGCCGCGACACCGAGGCAAAGTCCGACTGTCATTGGAATGGCTTTGTGGAGGACGTCCATTGATAGGGCATGGACAACGATATCGACAGACTGGGCATGGTCATTGCTGGTGTTCGGAGCACTGAGGATGGCAATTTTTGGCTGAGCTTGAGCGAGCGGATCCAGTCCCATTTTCATGGCACCACTCTGGCGGATGGATTCGAGGACCTACCTGCGCATCATGACGGGGATGTACGATGTGCGTAAAGAGGCTGCAATGCGATCTCACTCTCCAGACAGACTCCCCAGCTTCCTCTATTCACTTGTGTACCACCCATTCCCGTTCAACTCGATTATCCCCACGCGCTCTATAGTTGTCAACCTCTTCGGTACCATCACTGCCGGAAGCACAAACCACCGTCCAAGGCAGGAAAGTACTACGGTTCCTATGTTCCCTGAAAACCTTTCTGGGCCTGGCCAGGGACGAACGAGCACTGTCCAACAATGCCCGGAGTATTGTTCTTGTCGGGCCCTGTACGTTTACCCTTGTTCTTCTCTCTTCCGATTCTGATTAGCTTTGAACAGCCTATCTACGGATTCAGATGGCCATTCCCAATGACTCTACAGCATCGAGAAGAAAATAGCATTGATGTCCAAACCGAGAAGACATCAACTGTGATCCTCCACGCATCATCTTCGTTCTCAGAGTTGGTTCCGAGGTTACATGTACTTTCAATCACCCCTTCGGCTGACGGTAGCTTCCTTCATTCTTCGGGAAATGATTTCGAGTCCTACCAATTTGTTCACAAGTCACCTGTTTAACGAAGTGCAGTACAATGAAGATCTAGCGAATTTAAGTCTATCACCTTTATAGCCGTCTCCCGTATGCCTTTTTTTTTCTTTTCGGAACGTGCATGCTTTTCGTCCTTCCTGAAACCCATCGTATCACCGGTACCTCTGAATTACTGAGCAGGTCATTATCTCCACCTCATTCAATAGTGGATGCGCGGTACGTACGACTACTACTATATAACAAGGTGTGACTTGGCAACCAGAGGCAATAGCCCTTCCTTGTTTGTATCATGATCGCTAGAACATATCCCGAGACAGCTATACCAGAGCTGACCGATAGCCAGATCAAAGACATTTTCCTCGCTCTAGATACACAATTCAACCAGGCAATGATTGGTGCTTAGGGTTACAGCGACCCTGATGAATTTCACTCTTCTGTCTTTTTGCCACCATTTGCACTGTATATCTTCCTTACACTTTACGACCATCATCCATCTTACTCTCAATCTCCTTGCACTACTTTCAATGGAGCGAATCTCCGCCACGATTCCACTCCGGTGTCCTCAGACGGGACGGTTTCCTGCAGGAGGGCCCACCGTATAGACTTGATGATTCGATGATGAACCATCACAATAACGGTCGCTGAAGGAAGGCCCTCATGAAATCCTCACGGCGTCCACGGGCCTGTGATACGAAGGATCCAAGCTCGGTACAACAGCGCGTCATGACCGACCCCAGACAATCCAACAGCGCCATATCTTATGAAGTCGTAGGCCAGGATTTCATAAATAAAAATATTAAATCCCGTACCAAGGTAGCATCAGCAAGAAGCGTGCTCGAAATTGCATCAATCCTCACAGTCAATATGACCAGAATGGGGGTATTACTTTTGTACACCATCCAAAAGCTTTTCCCATTAGTGATAAAGGTGAAGACATCATTCCATTCGCGGAAGAGCTCTAAAGTCGCCAGGAGAAACAAAAGCAAGATGACAAAAACAAGAAAATGTGGCCTTCTGTTCTGGTAGTTTTTTCGAGACAAAGCTAGACATACCAGTCAGAGAGATGAGCATCGAAAGAAGTGAAAAGCATGGATCGATAGCCCATAAGGTGATTTCGCGTCGTATCATGTACCGTTTCTGAACACTGCCCACCCCTTGCGGGGTAGTGCTGGGTATAGTGTCTGGAGTCACTCCAAGAAGATAGAGACAACGATTTTCACGAACGACATACGAGTATTTGTTTCGCGAGCCAACAGAAATATCTTTGTCACCCAGTCAAAGTATATGCGCCGGGAATTCTCACCAGCGTGAAAATGAACAGTAGAGATGAGGCAAAAGAGGCAGATCTATATGATGCTCTCGCTGGTGAACAACAGGTGACAGCAAGAGAAGGGGGGACGCAATTCCGTGCTCCGTGCGCTTAACGTCGTAGACAAGCATACGTGATAGTCTGGAAGGGAGGCGCAACAGGAAACGACGTCAATGTTGAACAGAATGGAATTATTCATGTCGGGAGCAACGACGGTGTAACGGACAGGCCCGTTCTACTTCCTTTTTCGTAACATAAACCCGGACTTTATTTGAACTATGCTTATCTATGCACTCCACTCTTATCTACGTATAAATACTTGGTCATGCCTAGAATTATGCCAGTCTTTCTTGCCTTTTCCCCCCGAATTGAGGTGTCTTTAACCCGGTCCTTGATTCGCCCTTGTGTGCCTGTGATGTTAGTGATGATAGTCAGTAGCGGCACACAAGGACAAATCAAGGACCGGGTTGAAGACACCTCAATTCGGGGGGAAAAGGCAAGAAAGACTGGCATAATTCTAGGCACGACCAAGTATTTATACGTAGATAAGAGTGGAGTGCATAGATAAGCATAGTTCAAATAAAGTCCGGGTTTATGTTACGAAAAAGGAAGTAGAACGGGCCCGTCCGTTACAGTGCCGCTACCGACTGTCATCGCTAACGTCACAGACGGAAAGCCGTGACTGTGACGGAATGGCAGAGCATCGTCCTTCCTTCTTCCCTTCCTTCCACCACGACAGCAGAACTCTCTGCTGGCGACTCTTACCATCTGGTGAGAACGAACTCAACGAGCGTTACCCCTTATTCCTGCTACTGCTGGAAAGGACTGCAGATTGCACTTGGAGCGACTACCCGATACCTACCGACGGGAAGATATCTTGCTCACGGTCCTAGGAAGCTGTCAAAGGTCGGTTCATCACGTATATCATTGCTTCAAGAAAGTGAATAAAATTTTATAGCTACATCTTCTGCCTCGCCGCGCGTTTTCCCAAACCTTCCTCTCCTCTGTAGATAGGTATTACGCAGCCTGAACGAACAAGCCTATGAACTTGAGGATTGAGCTGGATATCCATCATCGAAGGCGAGAGACGGAGGCGGCGAGGCTGAATATGTTGTTTGGTGTGCCTCTTGCTGGTGGTGAGGCAGTGGTGGAGGATACGAATGGTCTGGCATTGTCGTTGCCAACCCCGATGGGCTAACCGATGTCATATTGTCATATATGTTGTTGGGGTGTTCATCGCGACTGGTGCGATGGTGCTGGGTCTCGTCGTCCCTCTTGCTGCACATGAAGTCCAGCCAGTCATTGGGCTCGGTGAGAGGGTCGTGGTGTATGGCGTGCCAGAGCACCTCTCGTTCCTCCGATGCCTTCCTGTCGTCATAGCGTTGCTTTCCGAGGAGCGTCAGAAGGAACCACCTGTCCCACTCACGAGCATTAAGTGTCGGCGCGTCGTCTGGGGCCTCGCCGGGAACGTAGGAACCGTCGTTCAGAATCGACAGCCTACGTTGATCTGAATCGAAGGGGTGCATAGGTGGTGCATGGCTCGGTACGACATCAATATTACTCCTCCAGGCCATCACCTGTTCGGTGACCTTGATGTGATTGCTCTACTACCAATGAGTTCCCCAGTTTCCGTACCAGAGCGATGCACTCACCAAAATTTCACCCTCGCAGGTAAGCAGCATCACACCTCTCTCACTCCGAGGTGTCGCCAAAGCCCTATCCTTCCATGCTACAACATTCTCCAGGCCAAAAGTGCCTATCTGCAATGTGGCGGTCAGCGACGACTCGTCGGTATATGCGATCGTGCTCACTAGGGTATAGGTCCAATCTCGGACCTCCGATACTGGTGCCTCCGAGTCCTCGATGCCGTGGGGTGAGTTCACTGGAAACTGGCTTGGAAGCTGGCAAGTTGGTATGGTTGTTGTACTAATTTGAAATGACCAGCCCTGAAGACGCGCCTTTGTTTTCTTGTCAGACGTCTGGCAAACCACGCCCAAGTTGCATCCTTCTTCATTCAAGATTAATTGCCGAAGCTGAGCGTTATCTCTTAGGTTGGCATGAATCACTACCTGGTGCATGTATGACAAAATTTCTCTGCAATCGTGTTATCTCCCCGATTGGCCTGCGACGCGTATATGAATAGGACCGTCCTCCTTCCCCACTTTCGCCGAGACTCGGTCTTCATGGTCTTCTCTTTTTCTCGCATTCGCATCCACCTACCAGTTGGTCAAATGAGGCTCCTGGCGTCTAATCCTGTGGCGCTCGCTTCACACGTCCGCCGCAAAGGATCAAGGTACGTTCAATTTTTTTCGTTCTTCCGATAAGTATTTGAGGGGTATTCTGCAGAAACTCCTGGTTTCATCGGCACGATGTATCCTTGTAGAAAGGATGCTAACCATGCCGCGCCGGAGAGGATCGACCGGTCCGGTGACCTGAAATTCGGGCGACATTTGTTTTTCTTTTCAGCTGAAATTCGAGACGCTTATATTCGACAGCCATCAAGGTGCGCATTTACATGCTCGTACTGCAAATGGATCGCTTAAAACTGTTCTATAGACAACTTCCAAGGCGAGATGGATTATTCGTATTTGGCTAGTATACGCGATGATATGTTTCTGAGCAACACGATTGAGGCTGGTTACTTGCAAATGGAAATTCATTTTGATTTTAGACATTAAAGTTTTGTCCCTTGTCTCGTACTCATCTTTCCGGTACCAAAGAGAGCAACGGAACAACTTTGAGATCCTCCCTGCATGCTTGCGAAAATGAAATAACAGTTGAGCACGATGATGTACTCTGGATCCATATTTGGGTGGGAGTCGAACCCATACACGCATGCTCAGACGGATGCACTACCAACCATTCCTTGATGCAACGATCTTTGCAACTATCTCTGATTTCAAGCAACTAATGAAAATTTCTCCCTCTTTCGTGAGGATAATATAGGAAGAAAGCGGGTAGGACGTGAAAGGTACATGATTTACATAGGCGAATACATAGGATCAAAGCCCTTGAACCATCCGCTTCACATCATCAATAATTGACATGGACCTCTAGTAGCCTTCCTGCGTCGTGACATCTAGATCCTGTCGTAATGGCGGAGCCGCATTTGTAGCACGAGTGAACGACGAAGGAAGGAGCTCGGGCGTGATAGAGCCATGAGTGGTATAGACAGACAGAGAGCCTCTTCTCATGGCAATGCTCCCGTACAACCTCTGAGCACAACACAGGCCGTGCGAGTTAAAGAATCTGTTCCTCGAATGGTTATCTATCGCGTCTCCTCGATACATGCCCAAAGTGTACGGAGGCTTGATCTCTAGGAAGAGAACGGGTATGTCGTTGACCTCGAGGCCGAATTGATAGCACCGATGCCGGCACGACGCAGCACGTACTGGGGTCCCACGGTGAAGATATCCTCAGGAAAGCGTTCATTTGAAAGGATGGTGAATACGCTCAAAGCGATTGAGAATGGGTTTCTCCACATGACGGCTGAGAACCGAATAACGGAACCTCATTCACGTCGGCGCACTGGAAGTCAATGGTACATTTGTTATGGATAGGTTTTTCTGTTATTGAACGATGCGGTCGCGTAAAGAACTGGCATTGTTATTGATGACAGGGATTCACTGAGGATGCTGCGGCACCCTCGCCCTTAGAAAAAGCATACGAAGAGCGTATATATGCATCCCAGTCCGTCCTTCGAAGCGCATATATCCGCTTTGCAGACACGCCGTGCGCTGATAGAGAATCTGAATTTCCGGCGGGAGTGGCGCTGACTAGGTCAGTTCATGGGGAGATTTCATCGTCCATGCTAAGAACGTTGTGCCGCTCTGACAGAATGAATAGCTTAAAATCCTGGGCGCCAGTGTCAATATTGAATGGACAGTAAAGCAGCAAGGACGACGCACGCTCGCCATCCCAAACCAATAGATTAGCCAACCCTGAATTTTGCTTATGACTTGCTCATGAATGAATCACCACCATACAACACCCTTCATAAGTCTTCTACCCGTTCTCACCACTTTGGCGCTTTTTACGTGACCATCCGGCGAAAGTTCTGCTCCTACGTCAACGGTCCCACTGGGATGGCGTATCCGCACCAACTTGCTGTCTCCAGATTGACGGTTTTGTCGTGACTCAGAAACAATATCCCAAGCAATGGTGCCCGGAATATTGGCTGCGACACCGAGGCAAAGTCCGACTGTCATTGGAACGGCTTTGTGGAGGACGCCCATTGATAGGGCATGGACGACGATATCGACAGACTGGGCATGGTCATCGCTGGTGTTCGGAGCGCTGAGGATGGCAATTTTTGGCTGAGCTTGAGCGAGCGGATCCAGTCCCATTTTCACGGCACCCCTCTGGCGGATGGATTCGAGGACCTGAGGAACTTCGGTTGGGATGTGTTTCAGATAGTCGGATAGTGGGAGGAACGAGGAAAGTTCGTCTGCGCGAATAAATACTGTGGGATTCGTAGCGTCGACCAATGATACAGAGACGTTGGGAGAAGTCAGGGAGTCGATAGGATGATCGGTTGGGAGCAGCTTTCCTGTCCTGGCTCCTCCGGGATTCACGAAGTCCATGACGATCTGGGAAGCATCGCCTGGAACTCCAGCGATAGAAGTCTCCGGAAGATCAAGGACAGGAACCAACGCGTTGCTCACGGGGAAGGTGGTGTCGATAATCTTTTGGGTGTTGGTGTTGAAGGAACGGATAGTTATGCGAGAGCCGTCCAGAGTGGTGGTGGGATCACAACATATTCCTTCGTCCAAGGCATATGCACCGATTATACTCGAAAGGTTGCCGCAGTTTCCGGAGTAGTCTATGCTGGTATCCCGGATTCCTACTTGAACGAAGGTGTATTCTACTTGGATACCCTGGGACTGCTGGGCGAGGGAGGGGGTACCAACGACGCATATTTTGGAGAGGCTGGATACCCCTCCACCCATACCGTTCAGTTGCCGCCCGTGAACCGGATCGGGGGAGCCCATTATTCCAAGAAAGATGCGATCCCATGCAGAACGGTCGGAAGGAAGATGATCACGGTTGATGAATATACCTTTGGAGGTACCACCTCGCAGGAAAGTAGCGGGAAGGGGATTCAGAGTTTCGCTCGTTCTGCTACTTGAACTGAAAGACCTAGAGAAAAGCAATTTTCGGAACGACGCAGCAGAGAGCATTGCATTCGCGCGATTTCCAGCCGATGCAAACATCCGGTGCTGTTACCAGTACTGGTTAAAAAATAATGTGAATAACACTTCAAACTTTATTCCACATACCTTTATAGTTCTGTGCTTTAGGACCGGGTGATGGTCGTCGGACGGAAGGTTCAACTTGCCCAGAGAAGCAGCTCCGATGTTTGGCACTAGCATGTTCCTTTATGCAGGGTGTTGCCAAACATCCCGGCTTTTTTCCCCCAACCACGGAACCGTACTGTGACTCGTGTCGGTAACGATATCTCATTCCTACTAGCGTGAAATCTAGTCGATCTGCCTCGCAAGAACACGTTTTCGCGGCTCAAGTCTCGCGACGAAGACTTGGGTGCGATGAGCAAGTCGGATATTCAGTCGTGGCTGTCTTCAGCCAGCACGGAACGCGATGAAAGTGAATCCACTGGTCTGCCATGGCAGAGAGACATGGTACTGAAAGACTGGTCGACGTCTATGGAACATGCCCAACATCGGTTATTAGAAAGCAAAACTTCGTTCAGGGTACGGTTCTTACAGGAAGAACTGCTTCCTCTCGTTCGGCATGCTGGTACGTGCCCTTTTTGTGGCCTGTATATGATCTCTGATTCTCAGATAGAGCTCTCTTTATCTCAAAATCTTGACATTTTCAAGCTGTTGACGCTCACATACCCCAGATACGCTGATTCAATATCGAAGGATGCTGTCGAAATGGTAGGAACGGAGATGATAAAGAGGGACGAACTCCGGGGGACAATGGATAGCGATGAACAAAGGCTGGGAGTAACGGAGCAAATCCTGGGTTGGCTGTCGCACGAGGTGGCGCGCTATTCGAAGCTCAGTTCATCAAGGTAAGCATCGTTTTATCTTGTCTTCGGTCCCAGCTTAGCCTATCCAAGCGCTTGTGCTCCTTCAGATCTCTTCACGCTTCTTAGCTGGTGCTGTGGGATATATACCATATGCATCCAATATAATTCGACGTTCTCAGAAACGCAGTCTTGGAGCGTCTTGCTCGGATCCATGGCTCTTCTCCTGGATATGATCAGCGACTCGTCACGGGCGAAGGAATCTCTCAAACATGCTGCATTAGTTCATACGAGGCGCGCATTCCGTTCAGTGCGTTTTCGTATCTCTCATGTGGCTTCATCGTCTGATAGATCATCAGGCTGGCGGAAAACTGGGTCTCGTCGTCGGGGCTCTTCTCAGGCAAGCTAAGGCCACTCAGCATCCTCAACGGTTGATACCTTTGATCGGTGTTGCCATAGGCGTGCTTGTACGATTAAGGAACATCCCGGAATCACCATCATCCAGGTTATCCGGCGCGGTGAAGGTATGTCATTTTTTTCGCGTTCAGTCGCGTAAAATTTCTCATGCGAAATCAAGAGCCACATACTCACTTTATACTCAAGTTCACTACTTATGTCCAAACATGCTGTTCCTGCCCATGTATTGGTGAGTCTTGTTTGTTCTCGTGGCAGGTCTTAGATTGACCGACGAAATAGGATGCAACCTATGATTTCATTCATCATTTCGTTACGGAAGTTGACTTTGCCAACACACTATGGCCCGCCTGTGAAAAAGCTGCCCTCAGGTCCCCAGAATACTCGCTCAATGGTATGTCCATTTCATAGACTCGATGTCACAGTCGGTAACAGCTCGAAGTTATAAGGCATTTTTTCACGGCATACTCGTGTCCCCTCAGCGACGATTCTGTCCGCTGTGTAATCACACAGGCCGTAAATTGCTCGAAGTTAAGTAACGCTGCGGTTCGCACAAATTCAATCCAATTGTTCAAGACCATCGTCGGCACACACCAGACACCATCGATTTTGGAGACCACTGTGAACGAGCTGTTAACACTTCCACAGACAGGGAAGACGATAGGACCAGATCATCGCATCGCGCTCTATACCATGCTTGCATCAATACCCGCTTGTGCTGTTTCCGCCTATGTCGTTCAAACCACTACTCCTCTCCTTGCAAAAGAAAGTCATGATGCAGCTGTATCCGCTCTTGCCTATGCTCTCCATCCCCATATACTCCATCTCCTCCAGTCGGACCTTCCTCTTCGTGAAGACACATTGTCTTTGATAGCCAAAGAGATGAACAGCCTCAAGCCTCCGATCCGGAGGGCATTTTGTGCTTTGGCGGGTAATGTTCTATGGTCATCGGAGACTTTGGATACGCCTGCGTGGTTAGCTTTCGCTGCTGCAGTCTTACCCTCCTTCGAGAGCAGCCTAAAGACGGTTTCGAACAATCTAAATGCTGGCGCATTCGAGGGGTATATTGCGGTGGCAGTTCTCCTTGGGCCTTTGGCGCAGGCCGGAAAGTTTGGTACGTCGACAGCCGGTGGTGGGCGTTATGTAGTATTGAGGCCCTATCGTAGATGAATCTGTGGCCCGGAACCCTGTGATTCAGGCTATTACGTCCAGTTCTGCGAAGCCCTCGTTCCTTCTCTCCGAGCGGGTTTATCAGAAGCTCACTGACTCTGAGGACGAGCTGTGGCTTTTGCGCGCCATTGAGGCCGTGATACGGTTTTTTAGCCAGGAAATATCCACCAATGACGCCATCAGGTCCCTTTTTTTGTAATCCATTGTCGTCTGTTCGCTTACCATCACATAGGCTGCAAGTTGGAAACGTCTTCCTGCATCTTTCTGTCAATGGCTCTGCAGATATCCGAAGAGACGTGAACCGAGCGATTGAGTTGTCTGCTTCAAAATTCCCGGAATTGACGTCTCATCTTGTCCGTGATGCACTGGTGGCATTCACTGCTCGCGGGCCACCTTCGGTGGCCAAGGTTGACAATGTGTTAGTTCCGTGGAACAAGCACTCACGACTTGCTGCGTTGCTTCTCAGTTCCGTCGCTTCTCCTGCCGACTGTGGTGTTTCAGTCAAGGAACGAGAGGTTGTAGAGGCGCTGATTGTAGCCCATCATGAACTCATCTGTCTGTGTATAATCTTCAGTGTTATCTGTACTTGTCTAACGTATTCTATTTAGGTGCTCCGGCTCGTCAAACATGGATTGATCTTTGCCAAAGGGCTGGGACAGATCCCCACGATCTTGTTAACAGTCACGTTGATCGGCTTCTCTACTTGGTATCCATCAATGCCTTCAGCGAAGCAGTGAGTTCCGATCTATGCACATCCTTGCTCATGTTGAAGTTGGCTTAGTTTGGCTTCAAAGAGGCCAGCTATCGTGCGGTGACAACATTGGCTTTCGTGTGTCCAGAGAGTGCGGTACCACGAATAGTGGACCAGGTCCGAGAAGATATAGACGCAAATGCCATCAATGGACTATCCGAAGACGACCTAGGGATTTGGGCAACCCCAGAGGGTATAACCTATGTTGATGGCGAGACTTCTTCAGTTTGTATCTATGCGCGATTCAACTGACAGCCATTCTTAGTCTTATCATCGTCTAGCAAGACCGTGGAAACCAGAAAAGGCAAAGATGCTGATATCGCCAGGTGGGAAGCCGATTTGCGTAAATCGCTAGCCAACAAGAAGACTGCCACCCCTACATTGACGAAACAACAGCAAGCTCTTGTCAGCGCTCAACTGGAGAAGGAGTCCTTGGTACGGCGCCATGTACAATCTGTCAAAATCAATCTAGAACGTGGACTACATTTCGTTCGCAGCTTAGTGAGGGCAGGCGTTCCGCAATTCAGCGCCTACATATCGTCGGTAGTCACATTATTGTTGGACGGAGGTGGATCCCACTTGGTTGGACAGATTACTGTCAATATTTATCTGGTCAGTTCCGGAGGTTTTTCACTCATATTTCTATTAATGATGAGCTGTTAGGAACTGGCCCAATGTTGTTCGGAACGTTTGGACATGTTCAGGAAGTGGGTTGGGGTGGCAACTCTCCGCGGATTAAAAGGGAGTATCGTTCCGGAGGAGCTGCAAGCTGAGGCTTTGAATTGTACGTATATGGTTGGTTTCCGCTCATTGCTTGCACTTACTGAATGTGATGTAGCTTTGGTCACGAGAGTATTGCACCGTTTGCGATACCTCTCTGAGCAGTCGCCGTTCGACCCTGCTACGTTCTCCTACGTCTTTCCTCTCATCCGTCATGTATTGGCTCACGGGGGAGTCTGCACTGAAGATGTCGAAGAAAGGGAAGAGCAGCTTGCATTGGCGCTGGACACGATCAAATTCCATTGCGGAGAATGTAACGCCTTGGTCTGATATCATATCGATTAGACTAATGTTCATCTCCTTTTAGTCGCTGATCTTGACTACCCGCGACAACAAACGTTAGAAATTCTCATATTAACGACCCGTCAACAACCCAAGCTCAGTAAGGAAGCGTCGTCAGCGCTTATTGACCTCAGCGAGGCTATATATCGGACAGCTTCAAAAAGCGAAGTTGATATTCTGTTGCAGGGGACGCTGTTGCAAGAAGCATATGTCCGAAACTCATGTCTTCAATCCCTTCAGGTGAGCCGCTTGTTCTGAAAGTGTCATAGTAGTATTATGACACTTCCTGCTGTAGCCTTTCGATTTGACGGACTCAGACTGGTCACTGGAACTTTGGATAGCTTGCCACGATGACGACGAGCAAAACTCTTTCCTGGCAAAGCATGTGTGGGAGGATAACGGGCTGGATGTTCCAGAGACATTCCTTGGTGCACTATTGCCTTACCTTAGTAAGCCTGTTAAACGAATAAGTCTATCGCAAGTGTTAATTATGTACAGATCACGATCATGCATATGTTCGTTCCAGCACTGCTGCTGCTATTGCAGAAGCTGTCGAACCTTGGCCTCAATCAATCAAAGATACTGTCATTGCGTTACAGGAATACTACCGCGAAAAGGTCTGTCGCGTAATAGTTTAGTGATCTGATACTTATCTTCTTGCATCGTAGGCAAAGATTCTGGCGCCAGAATATGACCAATATGTGAGCGTCGCTGCCGTCTCCTTCGTGCCCAGTGTTGATTTTGTTTCAGGGCATGGTTATAGCGCAGAGTCTTGATCGCTCTGACCCTTGGCCGTCCCGAGTAGCAACAGCGCGCGCTTTCGAGTTGCTAGCATCATCATTTACGAAAGCAGAAGTCGAACCATTCTTCAAGTTCCTCATTCAGGACGAGGCACTGGGTGATCGCGAGCCGGATGTTCGTCGAGGGATGCTCTCTGCTGGGACAACAATCATCGATCTCCATGGCGCCTCGTGTATATCGAGTCTTATTGCCATGTTTGAAGGCCACTTGAGCAGTCCTAGTCTATCCACGGAAGCGGGCGATCATATAAAGGAAGCGGTCGTCATCCTTTTCGGTCGTGTCGCACGCCATCTTGATCGCGCTGATCTACGCATCCCTAAAATTGTTGACAGACTTATCGGGGCCCTCAAAACTCCGGCCGAACAAGTGCAGATAGCTGTTTCGGATTGCCTTTCACCTCTCGTCAGATTAATGCGACCGAAACTACCGTTTTTGGTTGACAGTCTCATCGAGGATTTGGCGAATGCTTCGAAATACGCAGCTCGTCGTGGTGCAGCGTATGGTTTGGCGGGTGTTATCAAGGGTACGGGGATTGCAGGGATGAAGGAGTTCAATGTGATCAGTCGTTTGCGGGCAGCTACGGAGGACAAGAAGAGATATGAGCCTCGCCAGGGCACGATGTTTGCCTTCGAAACGCTGTCCAGTTCATTGGGGCGGCTTTTTGAACCTTACATCACATACGTTCTTCCGCTGCTGCTCTCCTTATTTGGAGATGCTATTCCGGATGTCAGGGAAGCTACTCAGGATGCAGCTCGGGTCATTATGGCGAATATGTCCGGCTATGGCGTCAAGCTCATCTTGCCATCCTTACTTTCTGGTCTTGATGAAAAGCAGTGGCGAACGAAGAAGGGATCTATAGAACTTCTTGGGATGATGGCGTATTGTTCACCTAGGCAGCTCTCCCTCTCTCTTCCTATTGTCATACCACGTCTCACAGGTGTCTTGACGGACTCCCATACTCAAGTGCGGACAGCCGCCAACAAGAGTTTGAAACAGTTTGGGGAAGTTATCAGCAATCCCGAGATCCAGTCGCTGGTCCCTGTCCTCCTGAAAGCCCTTGTCGATCCTGCGAAGACGCCAAATGCGTTGTCTTCGCTGCTCAAGACCTCCTTCATGCACTACATCGACCACTCTTCGTTGGCGTTGGTACGTCGTGTCCACGTTATGTCCCTCTAAAACGTTGCTGACAGTAACCAGGTGGTTCCTATTCTCGAACGAGGTCTACGCGAGCGTGGTGCGGATACCAAGAAGAAAGCGGTACAGATCGTAGGTAACCTGGCGTCGTTGACAGACTCGCGAGACTTTGTCCCATATCTCTCCGAATTACTACCGATGGTGCATATGGTACTTGTAGACCCCGTACCGGAAGCGAGGGCTACAGCTGCCAAAGCGTTGGGAACCTTGGTAGAACGTCTGGGTGAGGGCCACTTCCCCGACCTCGTACCTGGACTTCTGCGGACTCTCAAAACGGATACATCTGGTGTGGATCGACAAGGCGCCGCTCAGGGACTGAGTGAAGTTTTGTCCGGTCTCGGAATGGAGCGTCTCGAAGGGTTACTTCCGGATATCATCGCGAACGCGCAATCTCCTAGAGCTACCGTTCGAGAAGGCTTCATGTCGTTGTTGGTGTACCTACCGGCCACTTTCGGAACGCGCTTCCAGCCTCATCTACCGAAGATCATTACTCCGATACTGAGCGGTCTGTCTGATGTAGAAGAATATGTTCGGGATGCGGCGATGAGGGCCGGAAGAATGATCATAACCAACTATTCGAACAGGGCAATCGATCTTCTTCTTCCTGAGCTTGAGCACGGAATGTTTGATCCTGGTTGGCGCATCCGGGTATGAATCTCGCCACCTTGTTTGTTCTCGCTAACCGCCTTTCCCCTAGCAATCATCTATTACCCTTGTGGGAGAGCTTTTGTTCAAAGTTTCCGGCATCTCGGGAAAAACTTCTAATCTTGATGAGGAAGACGTCGCCGATGCCAGCACTGCAGAGAGCTCTCGCCGCGCTTTAGTTGAAGTACTTGGAGTCGAAAGACGCGATAGACTTCTCGCCACGCTTTATCTTGTTCGTCAAGATGGTGTCGCTGTTGTTCGTCAATCGTCGATACAAATCTGGAAGGCATTGGTGAACAATACTCCCCGGACAGGTACGATGAATCCGTTTGGTAATTTAGAGGTATACTCATTGCTCTCTTATGTAGTCCGAGACATACTTCCCGAACTGATCAGTCAGACAATTGTTCTTATATCTAGTGATGAGTTTGAGCAACAAGAGGTATGTGGGTGTCTTTGGTGTTCAGAACAATCCACTCACGATGTTACAGACTTCTGGTCGTACAATAGCAGAGCTCTGCCGCAAGTTTGGTGAAAAGATCGTTGGCGAAATCATGGCTATTCTCAAAGTCAAGGTGACGTCGACCGACTCGCGGACAAGGGAAGGCGTCTGCTTGGTCTTGAGTGAAATCATGTGAGCCACCCTCGATCCGAGAGAGAGATTAATTTTATATTCGTTGTCCAGGGAAAATTCCACCGCCTCTCAACGGGAAGACCACGAAGATGGCATCATATCCATGGTTCGCGTATCCTTGGTCGACGACCAGGCTAATGTTCGATCCGCGGCGGCTAAAGCGTTCGATATGTTGCAAGAATATATGGGACCCAAGGCCATCGACGAAACCATCCCTACGCTTCTGGAAGCCCTTCGGCAGCCTGGAGAGAGTTCTGGCACCGCATTGCAAGCGCTTAAGGAGGTCATGAATGTCAGCAGTCTCCACTCCATTTCTCATTGTAACGTCAATCTAACATTTGATGACAGGTACGAGCGGCGACTGTGTTCCCGGTCCTAATTCCAACATTAACGGCTACGCCTATGACCGTGTTCAATGCCCACGCTCTTGCTTCACTGGTCACTGTCGCTGGAAATGCGCTGAGCAAGCGGCTGACGGTCATTACCAGTGCCTTTGTCAAAGTTATCGAAGACGAGAAGGATGAAGAGCTTTTATCTGCAGCGGATGAGGCGACTCGTGCATTGTTCAGGTCAATCAATGACGTTGAAGGGCTGAACACTCTCATGATGGTGCTCTTGGGATGGTCGGTGTATCATCATCAGTATATTATGTGTTAGTTCTAACGGTTATTTTAGGTCGAAGCACGATACCCCCAGACGGCGAAAGAGCGCATACAAGTTCTTCTCCATCTTCTGCGAAGAGACTGAACTGGATACTTCGCTATATCGTGTAGACTGGATCAGACAGCTTATCTCTGCGATGGAAGACCATTACGAGGATGTTTACGCAAGTGCCGTACAAACCATCGACGTCTTCCTGAGATCCGTTCCCAAAGACGAACTTGAATCGCTCGTGGTCCCCTTGCGGCGGAGCATCGAGTCTACAGGTGCTCCGGGTCACTTTGTCCCTGGTTTCAGTGTCCCCAAGGCAGTCGCGCCTCTCGTTCCGGTGATTATCGCCGGTCTGACTACGGGTAGTAACGAGCAGCGGGAACAAGCAGCGTATGCTATCGGTAATCTCGTGGAACGTACGGAAGCCACTGCGATCAAACCATATGTGGTATCTTTCACCGGCCCGCTGATTCGCGTGGCGACACAAGCGACGACGTACCCCCCAGCGGTCAAGACGGCCATTCTGAGTGCGCTGACATCGATGTTGGAACGTATACCTGCGTTCGTGAAACCGTTCTACCCTCAGCTGCAGAGGACGTTTGTCAAGGGCATGAGCGACCCCGCAAGTATCGTCGTCAGGAATAAAGCGGCCAAGGCGTTGGGCGTGCTGATGAAGAGCCAGCCCAGGGTGGATCCAGTCGTGGCGGAGCTTATCGCAGGAGCCAAAAGCAACTTTGACGACGGTATTGGCAGCAGCGCCGTGGTGGCGCTCACGCATGTGGTGAGGAGTGCGAAGGAGAACGTAGGTGAAAAGGCGAGGGAAGCGTGTGTCGACCTTGCGATCGATGCATACAGGGGAAGCTCTGATGGTAAGCCTTTTTCTGATATAACGTGCTTTTTTACGGGGGTAAAGTCGTAATTTTTCTATCCTCTAGAATCATATATACAAGCTATTGCTTCGTTAGTGGCAGCATTGGCCATCTTCCCAGACATCCTCCAACCTGTTGTAGAGTGCGTATTGTTCCCTGTCCTCGGTTTCTGGGTTTCCCTAAAGCAGTCCTCTCCTGGTTATATAGGTCGTACTTGGTCGCTGGTACACCCGCATCGGTCATTTCTTCGCAGACGCTGCGTGCTGTCCTATCCGCAGATGAGGAGGAGGAGGATGGGGGCGAGGGCGAGAATCTCTTCCAGAAGCTGGGACTGATGCGCAGCGTGGCGCAAAAGGTGATAGAAAGTGCCGGGAACGAAAAGCCGTCCATCGCTAGACCTGCGCGGGAGGCGCGGGAGGCGCTGAGACGTGTCGATGACGAGAACTTGCAAGGGTTGCTGTAGATCTGATGGTGCATCTCTTTGATTTAAAGAGCTATTCAGAAGCTTATCGTCCTGGAGGTTGCATAGAGATACCGAAGCTTTTTTTTAAAAAAAAATCATGTTTCGTTGAATCTGGCTTTATATTTTTGCTCTTTGCCAAGAAAAACTCTCCAAACTTTCCTTTAATCATCAGGGGGTGTGTCTCAGTCTGGATCGTATCGTCGGCTTTAACGATCAAGATTTCGGGAGGGGGTAGGCCTCGAATCTAAATAACTCTATACTCTATCAAAGGGTCCAGTCCCCCATACAGGGAAGGGATTATTTGAGGAAGGGCAGGAACGGGAAACGATGTTAGTGCGACTGGGCGCACCGTCGCTTCGTCCTACCAACCTTCTCGGGTGGCCCCCTCCGCATAATAATATGCTCGGCCACGATCACGCCTTCCTCTCTTCCCAGTTCGTTCCCCGCTTTCTCTCTCTCTCGAGTGAGGATTCACCGAGCGGAGAACATCAATGCGCCCTCTCTGGGTTAAATGAATATCGATGATCCTATTCCTCTCCGTCCACGTTCCTTCGTCTGACGGCTACGTCGTCGATTCATTCCTAGGTAAATGCCCTCTGTCATTGAATACTTTACATCTGAACTGAGCGCACTAGTTCACCCCAACCCAGCTCAGCTAGAAGCAGCGCATTGCCACTCTAAGAAACGCACTCCATCCTCTCTCGTGCAACGTCATATCTGTTCCATTTCATTTCGCTGCAATATCACGCTCGAAAAAAACTCGGTCGAACCAATCAATCACAAATGACCGGACTTCTCCGCCCGGGCCCCGATCAATTGTATTTCAATGAGATGTTAGCCACTCAGTTTGCATTTGTTCTCCCCATTCCATCACAGTCACATCACCGGGTTTTCCTCAATCTCTGGTGAGCCTCAGCCCTTGACTTTCTCATTTTCATAAAAGCTATATTCTGACTTCTGACTTCAGAGACATAAAGCATCCTTTCCATCACTCTGGCTCCCAACCACCCACACCACAAATCATGTCAATGTCTTTTCGTTCAATCAGTGATTGGCGAGAACTGTTTATGGACCATGCATGGAGTTCCAGCATGACTGCCAGTGTCCACTTGGTCACATTCCAGCCAACTCCCAGTGCCAGGAACAAAGACTGGTTAGTCATGCAGGAATGGCTCATCAATGGCTGATGGTTGGTAAGCCCTTTGATTACACACAACCTTTGTTCTATCTGACTAAAACCATTAATTCCAGGCCATGGTTGGTGCTGTATCTTGATGATATGATGATTCTTCAGTATGAACTGGTGTGAGTGGCCAATCTTGTTCTATAGCCATCACATTCTTATTCTGATTTTTCTGTTTCCTCATTTAACAGCTATACCATTTCCACTGCTGGGAATCACAGTGCAATGATGTTGAATCATAGATTGTAAACACATGGTACATGAACTCTAATAAAGTCATATTAGACTTGTAGCCTAATACTACCTACCTACCTACCTACCTACCTAAGATAATCACACAGTGCATGAATATCTCCTTTGAGCTCCCAGCCAGTGAATTTCCCCACACATCCATCACACATTTAGCATCATCACCCATCCATGATGTCAAGATCACCTCAAATCACATCATCCATCATTGAAATGGCCAGGTGTGCAACAGATGACATACCAATGAGATCATCTTGAAAACACAAATAAATAGGCTGAATGCATGACCACAGAATCATCTATTCTGGCCACTCATGGATTATTAGCAATAGTTATGGTGCCAGAACAGTGGCCATACAGTCACTGAAAATAGTGAAATTTGCAAATCTACCTAGTCCCTCTGTAGCTGGTCTGCCCTAGAGTACAGTAGAGAAGAAGCACCATGTGTGCCACAAGGTCCCAGTGGGTGCATGGGTAAGGGTCTGTTAAATCCAACCCAGTGTCGGCAGAAAGAGAAGGAGAAAGAGAAGAGAGAGTGCGTGATGCTAACTAATCAACCAACCAACCAAACTCACGCATTGGCGTTCTCCATAGACACTCGTAGGCTCTTCTTCTTCTTCTTCTCCGGTGCTGACAGTGACGAGGTCGAGGTCGAGAGACGTGCTCGTGTTGAAAAACTCGACTCGAGGCAGAACAGAACAGAACAGAACAGAAGAGGAGCTCACCTCGACGTGGATGGCTTCACGCGGTGTGATCGATTCGAAGAACACCCGTCTCGAGCGCTCCGATGTGATGAGAGAGAGAGAGAGAGAGAGAGAGAGAGAGAGAGAAGAGCGGTAGGTCCGTACGTGGAAATCTTGTATGGCGAGAGGAGGAGCTTTTGGCAGGGAGGAACCCAAGACGGTGGATGTGGTCGCGGTCGCGGTCGCTACTGCGGGATAGAGGAATTATGATTCATAAGCGAAGCTTCACATCGAGAGAGCGAGAGACACATACGGGCGCACACAATGCCATTCTCGCTCCTGCGCGGCTGACCTGACACACCTCGACCATCTCGAGCGCGCGATCGATCGATCGTCTTGGGGGGGCTTGGGTGTGTAAACCTTCCACCTTTGCCCATATCCAAAGCGACGTCCTCCGATGGGCCTACGTGTACCCGTCCGTTCGGTTCGTTGTACGACCCGACAGTAAGGCAAGGAGGAGGAAGAGCCTGTCTGAATCCAGAGGCGGGTCAAACGACACCGCACCGCAGCAGATTTGTTTTTCTCCGTTTCGAGAATATTCCTTGCTCTTGGAACTCAGCGCAGTGATCAATGATGTTCCAGGTGCGTGGGGGGGATAGGCCATTCGTAACCGAGAATGTTTAGCAATGAAAGGATAAACCGCACCTCTCCTCCTCCTCCTCCTCCTCCTCCTCCTCCTCAGAATCGAGTGAGAGTCGGCCGGAGCGACCAACGCACGTCCGACGAAGAACAAGAGGATGTTCGGGATGAGGCAGCGCGGCCGCCACTCGGGTGAACACGCAGGGCAGGTGTCTGAGACTTCCACATGAGGCTCTTCGTCGTCGATATCTTTCCCGTACATGGGTGGGGGTGGTTGCAATGTATGCCGGGCTGCGGCAGGATTATACGATGATCCCATGTCTGTGGTTGTTTTTAGCATACTTGCCAAGAGATTCTGCCCAGGAGAGACCAAATAAGTTTCCAAGTCCTCCGTTGCCCTAATAAAATAAGATAACCCACTTGTCTAGTTGCGACGCCCATCATCTGAAAAGAGAGAGCTCCCTCCTTCACACCATCCATCCCCACCATTTTCTCAAGGGACATGTATATTTACGCTCTCAGCCTTCTGTGGACGCTTCATCTATACAAACGGAACGCTCAGAAGCCCTGTTTTCAGCAGCAAAACGCATCTTTGACGAAGGCTTCCTTTTTCCTCAAATCGCGACACAGCCCCGTCCCCGTCGTTAAAATAGGGGAGGGGGGGAGCCTGGCCTGGCCTTTGCATGCGCGTCGCGGGTGCAAATCCTTTTGATCCGAACAGAAGCGAGAGCGAGAGCGAGAGCCGGTACCGGTGATCACTCTTGCCCCCCCCCCCCCCCCCCCCCCGCTCCTCTTTCACCGAGCAGAGCCAGCCAGCTCTTCGGCATTATTTTCCCCATCTTCTCAGCTCTCAGCCACATCTGCGGATCTGGCCAATTTATTTATTTAATAATCATCACGGATCTTCTTCCCTCCCCGTGTCGCGGATCCGAACTCCTAACCCTGCTTGTTCTTTCGTATCAAGGTATCAAGAAGAGGGAGACTCGCACTCGCAAGAACCGGATTACGACGTCTTCTCGCCGCGTCACTACCAAGAGCTCCTTTCTGTCATAGACCCGACTAGCTCGCATCTGTGGTCGTGCTTGCGGTTACAGTTTGTGGATCGCGGGGCCATTATTCGGACCCGCGATCCACTCGTTGCAGGCATTGGTACCTCTAAACCAAAAGTCATAGATCTGAGGTCGGCTCATCCTATCCTCCTGTTAAAGATGCTGTGACGGCATCAACTCGGTATCAATTTTGGTCGCTCGCTGATGATGATGATGATGCTCCGAGTCCGCGGGGGTGGGGGAGCTCTACAACCCAACGCCTTATCGTCTCCGCATTGGCGATACTGCGGATCAAGGAGTACTGGTTATGGTTCGTGGCGTGCTATGTGGGCTTGCATACAATACATACTCTATTGGCGACCCAGGGGTGTGCCGTGCTCTTTGGGGCATGTGTGTGAGACTGACAGCTCCGAGGTGGTAGATGGGGCGGGGCCGAATTTGCTTTTGCGGGGGGCGCGCAGATGCATATGGAAGGTAGCTTGACCCTCGGATATGTCAAGACCCTTCATGAGTCACCCGCCGCCGGGCGAAAGGCCTTTTGATCCGCACACACAAAGTCCGCCTTCCCTCCCATCCCACCATCTTCAGTATATAATAATAATAATAAGTCCGATTCCGTACTCCCAGCGCCCATCCAATCTTTCTTCGCATCTGCGTTTTCTTAGCTTCACCGTATCTTTCGCACTTTTTTTTTTTTTTTCTTTTCCCAGCGATCCGTTTTTTTAAAAATTTCCCAGGTTCATATCGATGTCAATAAAACATCGCCGAATTGCCGTTAATTGTTAATCTACGGCTACGGACTTGTTGTAACTTGAAGTGCAAGTAGCTCCGATAACGCCGAGGTTAATTTGCTTCGTGATCGGTGTTCTATTCCAGGTGGCGCATTCGATGAGACCCCCTCTCTCTATTAATTGAGGACATGGTAGGACCTAATGTTCCCCCCACTGACATACATCTCATAGTTTACAGCTTTCGCAGTTGAAAGAAAAGTGATCCGAGCTACCTACGCTTCCCCGTGATGCCCGGTAGGATAAATGCACGACCTACTAGTAACTCCGAGCGCAAATGACGCACGTCTGGATAATTTTCAATGTTTCTGTTGACGCGGAACCGTCCAACGGTCTCGGATGCGAACTAGCCAGTCCAGTTGTCGAATAACGCTAGTTTGACGCTAACCTGGTTTTTTTTTAAAAATTACAACTTATGATTGTACATCAGGTTAGCGGATGAGACTTTCTGGACTGGATTGTGGTAGGTTCTTTGAGACTGTGTGGAGCGCCTTTGGTTCTCGTCGTTCAGCCGCTCTAAATGTCTCTTACTTGCCGTTCTCGGAGGAGGAATAGACACGCCCGAACCTGCTTAAAGGTCGCAGCTATGCACTGCCAAACACAGCATAATATTCTCATGTATGAGTGTTGTCTTAGTTTTCCACCCCGAGACGACTGTCGAGACAGCGCGGAGAGAGCTTGGCGTGGATGTTGCCAGCCCAAAAGTGGCCATGGCACCTCCCCGGCACGTGTTTTATTCTGGTTTTTTTTTTTTTTTGCCTCCATGAGACCTGACTCTTACTGGCTCTCGAGATAACAAAATTCCGGTTTGCTACGATGAAACCGACCGACCGTCTACGAGACGGCCACTGGTCACCTTTCATTTCTCTACTTAATAGGGTCCCCGGGCATATGGGTTCATATCCCACAACCTAAATCATGTCTTCCGACAACGAGCATGAGCACAAGCCGCGTGATCATGTCATCGACAGCCATGATCCAACTGGCGAGCACCCTCTGGCGTCTTCCAATGCCGTCGTCGACTACGAGAATGAGCAAGACCACAGTCCCCCCCACCGGCCTGCCTTGGACAACCAAGATACATCTAGCCTGGTTTCTCTAGATTCTATCCACTACAAGCACGAACAAGACACAAATCCCGTCCGCCAGCGTTTCCTTTACAATCAGGAACCAACTGGCCAGCGCTCTCTACGTTGTGTCGACTACGAGCACGAGGATGAGCAAGACCCAAGATCCGCCCTCCCGCCCGTATTTGACGATCAGGATACATCTGACATGCGCTCTCTACGTTCTATCAGCTACGAGCATGAGCAACGCCCGCCCCTCTCTGACGATCGGGATGCATCTGACATGCCCTCTCTACGTTCTGACAGCTTCGACCATGAGCTACGTGAGCTAGGCCTTGTTCCCCCCCGCCCGCCTCTCTCTGACAATCAGAGTCCAACTGATGAGCGCCCTCTACCTTCTGTCAACCACGAGCACGAGCAAGTCCCTCATCCCTCCCGCCCGCCTCTCTTTGACAATCAAGATACATCTGACGAGCTCTCTCTACGTTCTGTCAACTACGAGCACGAGCCAGGCTTCTTCAGACCCCCCCGCTCACGTTTCATGGGAAATCGCGAACAAACCACCAACCGCTACTCTCTCCGTTCTTCCCGCTCCCGCGCCGTCAACTACGAGAACGGGAACGCCTTCCTCAGACCCCCCCACGCACGCTATCACAATCTAACCATCCAGCCTGAGCACCTTCCACCTCCCTCATCCCCTGCCATCAACTCCTCGCACTTGCAACAAGACCGCAGCAATCCCCCCCACCCATCGTCCTTCTTCGACACCCCAAATCCAACAACAACCAACAAGCGCCCCCTCCGTTCCTCCCACGCCGTCGACTACAAGTCCTCGCCCGACTTCCTCCAGCCCCTCCCCCGCACGTCCTTCCTCCACACCCCGGACCCACCAAGCCAACACACCCTCGTCGCCCCCTCCTCCTCCACCCCCAACACCACCACCTCTGCGCCCCTCCTATACGCATCGATCCCCACGCGCAAAAGCCCCAAGCCCGCACAGCACGGCCGATCCCCGACCCAGCGCGGCCTCGTCTTCTGGCTCGCAGGGTTCCTGGTGTTCAGCAGCATCGTGCTCGCCGTTGTCCTCCCCGTGTACTTTACCGTCGTCAAGCCGAATGAAAACAATGCGAACGGCAGTAGGGGGGGCTCTATCGCGGGGAAAGGATCCGCTACGCCGGGGGCTCCGAACGGAGATGGGACCACCAGCGACCAGCCATCGCCGACCGGTGATGCCATTACGGGAGGAGATGGATCAGTCGTAACGCAAGAAGACGGTACCACGTTTATTTATAACAACTCGTTCGGAGGGTATTGTGCGTTCCTTGTGTTTTTTTGTTGATTTTCCGCACGGTTTGCTGATACTGTCTTCTTTCTAGGGGTGGCTGATCCGAACGATCCCTTCAGTGGTGCAGCCCGATCTAACAGCTGGACCCCGCCGCTCAATGAGAGTTGGAAATTCGGACAAGACCATGTCTATGGGTGACACCCCGTTTCTCCGTTCTCATACCGCCTCCCCCATGCTCACTCACACACTCTCTCCCACCTAGTGTAAACCTTGGCGGATGGCTCGTCTTGGAACCCTTTATCACGCCTGCCTTGTATGAAAAGTACGACGGTGCCATCGATGAATGGACGCTGAGCCAGGCTATGGCAGCCGATACGGCCAACGGCGGGCTAAACCAACTAGAGGAGCACTACCGGACCTTCATCGTCAGTCCTCCCCCTCCCCCTTCGCGTCCGGCCACCGCCGCTAAACTCCCCATTTTAGACCGAGAAGGACTTTGCTGAAATCGCTAGTGCCGGACTGAATTGGGTCCGGCTGCCCATTCCTTACTGGGCGATCGATACATGGGATAGGGAACCGTTCCTCGCAAAGACGGCGTGGAAGCAAGCTTTTCTCTGTTCTTTCCTGTGCAAGTGCCGACGTTCTAATCTTTGTTTTTTTTTTTTTCTCCCAGGTACGCTCTCAAGGCCTTCGAATGGGCGCGCAAGTACGGTTTGAGGATCAACCTCGATCTCCACACTGTCCCTGGCTCACAGAATGGTACGCCCTCCCCCTCGTTCTCGTTCCATACCGACAAGAATAACACCTTTTTCAGCATATAACCACTCTGGCAAAAAGGGCCAAGTCAACTTTTTGCATGGCGTCATGGGATATGCCAACGCCCAAAGAACTCTGAATTATATCCGGATCATCACCGAGTTTATCAGCCAGCCTCAGTACAGGGACGTCGTCCTGATGTTCGGAATCGTCAACGAGCCGCTCCTTTCGTCGATTGGAAAAACCCAGCTATCAAGCTTGTTCGTCCCCCCTTCCCTCTCCTACACACACACAGGATGGGTTGCTAACATAAATTTCTAGCTATTACGAAGTGTACAATATGATCCGAAGCATCACCGGATTGGGAGCGGGGCACGGGCCGATGATCTCGATACATGATGGATTTGCGGGCGCGGCTGATTGGGCGGACTTTCTTCCGGGGTCGGATCGGATCGCGCTGGATGTCCATTCGTATTTGGCGTTTCGGGGCGGTCCTGCGGCGGCGCCGTTCGTTGTTGGTACTGGGGATGATGCTGGGGGTATGTGGCCTGCTAAGGCATGCGAGTGGGGATCGGATATGAACGCTAGGTGTGTATCTTTTTTTCGTTAGAACCTTTCCTATGTGTTAAACGCCCCCTCCCCTCCCCTCCCCTCAGCCAAACCGCATTCGGCGTGACCATGGCCGGCGAGTTCAGCAACGGGTGGAACGACTGTGGATATTTGCTCAATGGCGTTGGGGGCGAAGCCACTTTTGGCGGGAACTGTCACAAGTGGGAGGACGCCTCGACTTGGGACGAGCAGACCAAAGCGGCAGTGGCGAACTTTGCCCTGGCGAGCATGGACGCGTTGCGGGATTGGTTCTTCTGGACGTGGAAGATTGGCGCGTCGCCGGAGCTGGGAGGGGTGGTGGGCGCCCCGCTGTGGTCGTACCAGTTGGGGTTGCAGGGGGGGTGGATGCCTAGGGACCCGCGGGTCGCTTTGGGGAAATGCGAGGCTGTGGGGGTCAAGCCTGACCCGACGCCGTTTGGGGGGACGTACGAGGCGTGGATGACGGGTGGGGAGGGGGCGGGGGCGGGGCGCGTCGCGACCAGTATGATGTGGCCGCCGGAGACGATTCGGGGCGCGGACGTGGCAGTGACGCGCTTGCCGGCGTATACGTCTGCTGCTAGCGTGGTGGCCCTCCCCCCTCTTCCTCCTCCTCCCGAGACGTTAACGGTGACGAGGAGCGTGGATGGGGGGAACGGGTGGTACGACGCGCAGGATACGGGGGCGGGGCCGATGGAGGTGGAGGGGTGTGTGTATCCTGATGCGTGGGGTGCGAGTGGGGTGGGTGTGCCTACTGTTTGTGGGGTTGGGGCTACCAGTAGTGGTAGCAGTAGTAAGAGTGGTAGTGGGGGAGCTACGCGCGTGTTGGGGCATACGAAGACGCATACGCATACGAGTACGAGGACGACAATGGGGAATAAGGCGACTGCGACTGCGACTACTAAGGGTTGAGCGCAGTGATATTAGATATTCTTTCTTTCTTTCTGTTTTTTTTACCTCCCCCCCCTCTCCCCCCCTTGGACATGGTTGCTCGAATCCGGGCCCGGACCGTTTTTTTTTTCCTTTTTGCTTTTTCTCTTACTCTTTCTCTTTCTCTTAGTTGTTGTTATTCGTTATTCATATGCATACGCACGGACTTTTGACTTATGACTATGTATGTATGTATGTATCGCATGTTGGGATTTTGTTTTTTTTGTATGATTTTTTGTGTGTTTTTTTTGGATAGTTTGGAATTTATGTGATGTGGTGGGTGTTTGAGGTGGCTTGTGTGTGTGATGATTCGGGGAGGATTGAGGATGGAAAGTTATGAGTTTATGCGTAAATGCATGGTATATCTGGAAAAGGCTTACCATTAGAGCTTTCCCTATGTGCATCGAGCGCAAGGTCGACACATGCTTTCCTCGCTTTTTCACCTGGCACTCCTCACCCAAATGCGCAAGTGCCACCACTGCCAATACCATCCCATCGTCAAAGTCGCTTTTTTGGCTCCTGGGATGAGCTCCGTCATGACTGGATCCCACCCTAGGCAGGATACGGGCGCGGCGCCGATGGCGATGGAGGTGGAGGGGTGCACGTACACTGATGCGTGGGGTGCGAGTGGGGTGGCTGTCCCCGTCCCTGCTGCTTCTGGGGGGGCTAGGGCTAGTAGTAGTGGGGATGGGGGGACTGAGCGCGTGTTTGTGCATACGGGGACGAGGACGAGGAATAAGGCGCATGCGACTGCTGGGTGATATGTTTTTTTGCTTTTTTTTTTCCCCCCTCTCCCACTGGACATGGTTGCTCGAACTCGAACTCGGACTATTTCTTTTTTTTTCTTATTTGTTGTTATCCATATGCATACGCACGGACTATGTATGTATGTATCGCGTACTGGGATTTTTTTGTATGATTTTGTGCTTGAATAGTTTGGAATTTATGTGATGGATGTTTGAGATGGCTAACGCTAACGCTGGCACTGACGAAGCAATGGCTTGTATGTGTGATTCTAGAGGATAGAAAATTACAACTTTACCCCGTAAATGCACGTTATATCTAGAAAAGGCTTACCATCAGAGCTTCCCCTATATGCATCGAGCGCAAGGTCGACACACTTCCCTCGCCTTTTCACCTACGTTCTCCTTCGCACTCCTCGCCCACATGCGCAAGCACCACCACTGCGCTGCTACCCATACCGTCATCAAAGCTCTTCATCAACACACCCAACGCCTTGGCCGCTCTATTCCTGACGACATGAGGCTATCTATCTCCTTTATATCGCCTTACGGACGGACAGTCGTGCCGTGAGCAGGGACTATTTTTCTCCTCCCCCCACAGATAAGGTGTCAGCAACAGATATAGTCAAGGAAAGGTACATTACGAACGAAGGGGGGCCAATCTCTGATCCCACCGGAATGACGAGCGCCCAGCGTCAGCATCAGCGCGCGCGCTCAAGAGAGTCCATCACATCACCCGGATCTGAAGGGTGCCTTGTGAAAGTCAGTCACTCGCAGGGGATCTGATGATTCGATTCCGTCACTTGTCCATGTCCAACTTGTCCCGTACGATGATTATTGCTCATACCCTGTCGTTGGTGCCACAGCCTCTGTTTTTAATTTTAAAAAAATCGAAACACAGCAGAGCCCTGCGAGGGATATCATCTCAATCGCTGTACTGCCCCCGAGGTTGGGTGCGGGCTTGGGCTGGACTTGGGTCGGTCGGTCGTACGCCATCGGAGCCGTGAAATTCGAATCTCGAGCCCATCGCACACATCACATCGGGATTCCGGATTTCGGATACGAAAATCAGAATTTACTTCCGGGACTTGATAAATATAGCCCGGCTCTTCCCACGCGTTCATCTTCCCGCAGTCGCGAGTCCTAGATTATCGGCTTTCAGACGCTATCGCTATCGAATCTTTGCCGGTGTCCATATCGTTCGGACCAAGGTGCGAGGGGGATGGGGGAAGGAAGGAAGGAAGGAAGGAAGGAAGGAAGGAAGGAAAGAAAAGTGAAGCCGGCATCATGCGGTGCGGTGTATTCGACTTTGCAGAGTTCTTCCTTTTTTTTTTTGGCGCCCGTGGACCTCGAAGTTGAGAGATCTTTGTTTTCGAATCGAAGCGAATCATGGATCTCGCGAACCGTTACGCTGTTTGATAATTTCCGTATCTCATCTGGGGGTTGGGTGGGTGGGGGGGGGGGGGGGGGCGGTCACGCTTCTCAAAGTGCCTCTAATATGCCTTGCCGGTCGGACAACGTCATGGGACCCCCCGTGTTCTTCGAAGATGGGTTGCCGACCTGTAAGCGCCCAAAAACTCTATGTGTGCGCTATTCAATGTTTCCCATTAAATCGGTCGGTCGAAGCCAGATCTTGCAATGTCAGGCCCCATTATAACCCCGAAGGCAAACATGCTGGCAGCGGTGGATGGGCCTTCGCCATTTGTCCACTACGGAAGCTTTACCGGATCTGGTGTGTGTGAACATTCCCTCCCACATTGGCGGCAAACACATCCTGTCCTGATCATCTCCATCCATAAAAAAACCACACATAAGCGCCTGTATATGAAAGGCATCCATACGTCTGGTTTGATCGAGGATGTTTTAGAAACCTGCTACAATGTTTTTGAACCTCTTGACTTCCATCATGTCCCAAAGCTCACGATGATTCATAAGATGCAAATCTGTATCTCACCACGTCTTCTTGAACGTGTGGTCTCAATCACTTCCCGTGGGTCCGGTACCTCAAGGCGTATTCCCAGACCCAGAGTGTCGCGCCCAGCTCGATAGCCCCCAACTGCACGCGTACGGCGACTATATCGAAGGCACGCGTCGCCCTCCTTCCCCCCATGAAGTCCTAAGTTACCGGATACGATTGCTGATCGACTGATGATCGATTGGACACCTAATGTCGGAAAACATTAGTGCATCAGCGCGGAAGAAGATAAAACAAACAGTCACACCACCTTCATTCCATGCCGAATTTGTCTTGTTTGCTGATGTGATTTCAGGGATTTGTCCATCACCGGAGCTGTGCACGAGGTTTTGCAATGTTGGGACCTGCTCACGTATCGCTCGCGGGTCCTCCCGGGTTTTCCACCTTATTCTGCCTACTATACCATGACGGAGTGGGGGAAAGCAAGCCAAGCCCCCCGGGGGGGGGTAAAGCATACTCGAAACAGCGAGGAGCATCAGTGGTAAGGGGGAGCGAGGTCGAACTTGACGGGCTGATTTTGTTAGGCTTTGATTTGCAACAGTTTGCCACGTTTTTGGCAACGCCTCTAAATGGACACCTTCCTGATCAGAATGCCTATGCTCGGCAAGAGAAATTTAGCTCCCCTCCCCCCAGTCACTTTACTCCTGTAGGACAAGCGCTGGATGTTTACGAGATCTCGGACGTCCCGATGCGGTACACTGATGTGAACCGAGAAAGCTTGGTATTAAAGAGCCTTCAACTATCACTATGACGCTCCTTGCGAAGATCAATCTGCGGCCTTTGTTCTTCCTTCAAAAGGCCCAACACTCACACTCCTTTCCTCCCTCGTTCACTCGTTACATACACCACCGTTATAATGCGGTCGTCTACGCCCGTCTGGCCTTCTCACGCAAGGGCTTCGTCCTCTTCACCTACCACCCGATACGCTCGAGCTAATATGAACGACTGTGTCAAGGCCGGCTCTAACACCGGTGCCCAGGAGGTCTTCCAGACGATCTATAACGGACGAAAGAGCTGGAAGACATTGCGAGGGGGGGAGATGGTTTGGCCCGCAGAGCTCGAGGCCGCTTTAATAGAAGGTAGTCAGCTGCTCTAACGCCGCCCGGTTGCAAATTGCACTAACAAACGATGTGCGTTCGTTTAGGCTTGGAGCAGTACCAACCAGACGATTCGAGGGAGACGCGACTCCTAGGTCGTTTCCCCATGCGCAACCGCTTCATATCTGAATACATCTTCCGGAAGACTGGGAGACGGAGGACGGCCAAGCAAGTTGGGAGCCGCCTCCAACAGCTCAGGGAGACCTGCACAGGCAAGCGTCGTACGTGTAGCAGTCACTCCATGCAAATTCTCCAACTGATGCATTCTCAAGTCATGGATCTCCTCTCTCCGTGTCGTCGACTGGTCTCGTCTTCACTGATTCGCTCTCAGTATGGCTCTCACCACGGTCTCCCCTCGCTTAATTGCGACTCTGCTTCATCGAGTGGAAGCGCGAGCGTGCCAATCACGCCTACAGATGAGGTAGCCTCTTTCGGGTTCCCGTCCAGCGAGAAGCAGAACGGCACCGCCGCCGGTAGTGCTGGGCGGCAGCACACTTACTGCATCGACATCCTCCCCGACCATGCCACCCACAGGCACGGCTCCGCCCCTGCATCTGCATCTGCATCCGCATCCGCCATCACGGACAACGCAAGACGGATCTCCGACGACCCTAGGCCCATCCGCGCCATCGACCCTACGCTCACCTTCCTGTCCCGCTCTCCGATCGAAGCGAACTCGAACTTTACAGTCGTTGCAGACGGGATTGTTGTCTTTTCAGAGATGACAAACCTGACTTTACGCGATACGCCACCTATAGAAGCCGCACCCGGTACCGATGGTGCTCTTCTCTATACCACTCCGCTAGCACCAGGCTACTGGAAGACCATATCCGACAGCTCCGGTAGGTTTCAAACCTCTCTTCTTCTGTTCGCTTTAGTATCCCTTCTAAAACACGCTCATATACAGACCCCACGAAATACACTATCTGCCAAGACATAGTGGAAACCACCACCACCCACTCTTCTAGAACTCTCTATTCGGCGATATACAAGTTCAGCTATCCCGCCGCCGGACATTCCGCGAGCGATCCCGCACTACTCTCTGCTCCGCACTTTGCATTCACTTTCGATACCGTGCCGACCGATTGCTTCGGTACCGACGACTCGACAGAAATGATGGAGTATGGCAAGCATGAGAGCCACCCTGTGTACGACTTTGCCCCCTTCGACGACGCTGCCTGGGGCTTCTCCTCCACTCCCCCTCACTCTGACAGAAGCTCAGTCGAGAAGACCGCACCCAGTCCCCGTGAAGTCTTCGATAATCATTCCACCCCTGGATCAAGTTCGCCAACATCTGTTTGTTTCCCAACGGAGTTATCAAATTACATGAGCCAGACTTACCAAATGCAATTGTGAGTCGCCCCTTCCCTCTTCATTACTCGCCGCCGTCGCTGATCTGCGATTGACTTGTTTTCAAGGTAAAATCAAATGTATTAATCCATTGTAAACTTGTCGGATTTTCATTCCACATCTTGCTGTAATAGCGTAAGTTGGGTCGCCGCTTGATTAATGTATCAAATTGTGAATCTCTTTTACCCCTGCAGATATCTCTCTATCATCATCGCCGCTTTTTTGTTTTTTTTTGCTATTGGAGTTATTATTTTTCTAATTTAACTGGGATCTTAGCCATCGTATTTACACTATCATCACTTTCTCGTAACAGCAAGTCATTTATTGTACATATATACCATAACCTCGTGTGTACGGAGCTCAATTTAGATGAACTTGGAGCTCAATGATGCCTCTGCCCGACGCGCTTCCTCGCTTCCCACCCCATAAACCCTGGTAATGACTAATAATACGCAACCGTCAGGACCGTGGAAATCTCTCCTCGAAAATAAAAAATAAAAAATAAAAAAAAGCACCCACGAGATTTCAAACAAGTTATGATCTGAATCTTTGCCGTAAACTCCTTGGTCATCAGCGACACATCTGCGTTTTGGTTAATCCCTCTAGTGATCCCCTTGGCGATCGTGGCCTTCCTCAGCGATCCATCATCGTCTCCAATCCTAGCATAGGCGCCCCCGAGCGCGTCTACCCAAGTCTTCATCGCCATTCCTCCTGCCATGCCCTCCCATCTGCTCATCTCGAGAACCATGCTCGTGACGCCTCCGACGACAATGGCGACCTCACTCTCCGTGTTCCCAAGCGAATCGATTCCAATCTTCGTGTCAGGGAAGTGCTTCTGGATCGTAGCTAGTACAGCCCCGTATGACATCCCATCCCCAGGCAAGCTTCCTCCTCCCTTCCCACCAGCCAGCCACGAACTCGCCTGATCAACGGCTGTGTATATATCGGACCGGAGGGTCGGAGACATCGTCTTTTTGTCTCCATCGCTATTCTTGTTGTTTCCCACGGCCGCAGCGGCCAGTTGGCTGGAAAAATTGCGAAACATGAATTATAGTAGTTCGATGTAGAATGTGAGCGAGGAGGGAGGAGGGGGAGGGGAGACTTACGTGCCCCCATCATCGTCTTGTTGGCCCTTAATAGGCCATCATGCGCTTCGGACTCATGTTGACCTCGAGGCAGTCCGAGGGCCGCATTTAGACCAGTCATAACGTGTATAAGAAGCAGAAAGGTAACAAATCGATAACACCGTACACTATACATAAAAGACATGCAGGACATCAAGGTCGATACTCAACAACACTTATGAGACCGTAAAGGTCGACGAGATCCCGGAAAATGAGGAAATAGCGCCAATCAGCGGTTTCGAATCGCCATAATAAACGATACGGTACGTTCCAGCTGGAATGAGGTCAATTAGGAGTTCGATCAATAAAAAAGCATGCTAGAGCCTTACCGGGCGTCCCACTTTCAATGGTCCTAACGTAAACAAAAAAAAAATAATCGATCAGTCATGGAGTTCACCACGATCAGCAGGGTCGTACCATGAAATGTCCACCGTGCTCGTGCCAAGGATCTAACAAAACAGCCAAAAAAACCATCCATCTCAATTGCGTCTATTTCGATACACGGAACTCACGGTACTCGTTCTATTCCACTTGAGCGTCGTCGAAGGATGAGCATCAGACTTCACAGTCACCCATTGACCCGAGACCTGTTGATCAACCGTGAGGAACGTGCTTCCAAGTCGCAAGTTGTTCTACGATAAAACAGTGATGAACTTCCCAGTCGATATCACGAGGAGAAAGTGGCATTCATGTCTTACTTACCCTTGGATCAGCGCCTACGAATTGGGCCGTGACAGTATCCCCAACCACATATGAAGCGCCCACGTCAGCCAAGACATCACCGAACTGCTTTCCAATCGGGGCGGCGTCAAAAACGACACCGGTCTACAATAGAGTTGATAGATAAATAACATAAACGGGGATACCGTCAATCTAGAAAAAAAAAAACACCACACACACCTGCAGGGAAATAGCCTTGGAGGTCTGTTCGGCGGGGGCTGCATCGGAGGCTGGCGTTCCCGACGGCGACTCGCCCAAGAATGGAACTAGACTCGTGTACCTGTCGATATAGGCCTCGAGTGTATCTGGGGGCCAACGTAACCGCGTCAGATCGATCCACTTATACAAAACTAAGAAAAGAGCTCAAACGGCCCCCCCCCCCAACTCACATTGTCCAAAAATCGTCGAAGCGCCTTCATACCGCTGTGCGCCATACTCTTCTCGCGTAGCCACATAGTGCGCATACGTATTAGCGGGCCCAGCGATGACCACATACGCGTCCTCGCCCAGAATGCCCAAGGCGATCAGTTCCGCCCGGATGGCCTCCCTAAAATTAAACACACCCATATCAAAAAAAAGAACCCCAGCAATAATAATTCATTGATGAATTGTTGCGAACCGAATTCTTCTTCCGGACATAGTTGTCAATTCACCTGTGATATGTCTTTATCAGCAACAATAGCATAAGGTTTAACATCGGTGGCGGGTGAATTTTTCTTTACCTGGCATGATGAGCATCACTAAATTGATTTCGACGCGATTTTGATCAGTTATGGCTGCTGTTATCGCTTCGAAAGGGGAGAAGCAGCTCACCAAAATTCCCTACGCGAAGCATCTGAATGTCGACGGTGCTAGGAGACCATTCATACGGAAAATGAGCGTAACCCTGCAAACTGATATTTAGTAAAAAAAGATCCGACCGCATCGCATTACTTGGGGAAAGCCCATATTATTCACCGTGTTCAATAGAATTGGCTTAGGATCCTGACAATCAATTTGGGCCTGCGATGGTGCAGGTGTCACGAAATCTACAATTCAAAAAAAAAAAAAAAAGCACCCCCCGTCAATCGAACTCATCTCACAAACGCTTAGCGAAGAAGCCACAAGTTAACCTTTTACGAGCTCCCAGAATGGATTCCTAAATAGATGCCAGGCAGGATAAATCTCGACTTTTGACTGCATCAATGACCGGACGTACTGCGTATTTGACGAGTTATCTCCTTGGATAAAGTCGAAAGCGCCGGGTCCGTCGCTAGACCATACCATACCTAGTGAGCAGATAACTAAGTTAAGATCTCGCATTACGCCGCTCACGTAGTGCCTCCCGCAAAAGAGAATCCTGTGATTGACAGCCAATTATAACTCTGTCCACAATAGTGGGAAGACCAGCAGACGCACCCATAGCAGCGGGACACGTTTGTACAGTGGTCCCATTTGGCAAGGTAAATGTATGGTTTGCCCTCAAGAAAGCACATCAGAACCAGTCGGAGGAAAAAAAAAAGAAAAGAAAAGATGCACGCATACATATCCATGTAGACATGCACACTCCTCACGGAACCGCTGACGGGCGCCAAAGTGCCTCCATCCATGATGGTGAGAGCTCCCTCAAACTGCTTTTCGCCGATGATTCTATTGGACTCAAAGTCAGACACGCGAAATCCCGGTCCCCTAAGCGCTCAGATGTGTTAGTATGGAACCTCTTCGAGGGATGATGATAATGATGCATTTTTCAGAGAGCGCTTACCGTCCATGACAGTCTTCCACGGTCCCACCGCAGGTCGAGTGATCAAAGTCGCAAGGCAAACCATCATAGTCTTCTCCTGGGCTTTCGCAGAAGGCGCCGAGCCTGCATGGAACACGTCTAGCAGGGGGGTGGGAACGAAAAATGCGACAGAGAAGAACGCACGTGTTGGGGCTGGTGTCGCCCACGTTGGCCTGTGTGAACCCAGCAACAAACGTCGCGTTGCCCGGCATGGCATCAGGTTCCACCATAGATTCGTACAGGTATGCAGCCATTCCCTTGTTATCTGAGCTGACAAGGGTGTTGTTCTATGAACGTGGGAAAGAAATGAATACACGACCGAGATAAATCCGGAATTGGGCCAGACATACTTCATAGAGACTCGTGCCGTGGACAGCAAAGAAGCTGAGAAAACCTCTCGCTGTACCCGAATCATCATCGAAACGCAGGAGGGTGAGATCCTTGTCCTGGTCGTACTCATACCTCGCTCTTTCCTCCGCGGGGTTGAACAGATATGCAGAAGGCGATCGATTGATGTTAGCATCCAAAACCGTGGTGTTTCCCAGGCTTAAACTGCCGGGCGCCAAACTATCATGAGCACGCTGCGCCGCGAGGACAGTACCGGTCACGATAGCGTCCGCTGTCTGAGGAACGTAACCCAAGGACGTTATCTGAGGCAGGAGGTTTTCCAGATACCCCCCGACGCCGGAGTGTTGATGAGTACCTATCATCGCTATGTTCTCGTTGGTGTAAACGCCCGGATACAAGTCAGTCAACTCCGCGACGATCGAGCGTCTAACGCCAGAATCTCCCATGGCTATATCTGTTATTACGAAATGAAAATCAGGTTAGATTTGCTGCGCAGATCTCTTCAAACAGGAAAAGCTAGGGCTTTGGTTTTCTTTGGGGGGGGGTGGGGGGGAGATATCATCAATGATCCGTGCTTCACGCAATAGCAAGACAGTTTGAAAATCCATCGAAGCACGGAGGCAAAACTAGATGATGGTACCTCCACCCATCTGCTTCCTCGATCCGGTGACCACGAAATTACCCAGGCACTTAATGGGACACCTCCGTGCTACTGTATCATCGCTGGCAATCATCGCCCGGCAATTCAGCCAACCAAGGGGCCGTATATACCCGCCCAGCACGCAGTTGAAGTGATAGTAACTCACCGGAATTAATGAACAGAATTCGACTGGAAGGATCCGATGCATCGGCTACGATAAACACACGGCTGAACTGACGCATGTGGAGCCCAGTGTCCGTTTGCGCTAGAGACGCATAACCCTACAATCAATTTCCCGCTCAGCTAGATGGACGGATAACGACTTGAAGAGCTTCCCCCCCCCCTGCTTACCATCATATTGGTTTCCACAATAGGACTGTCCCCACGATCAGCCCAGTCCAACATGAGCAGCCCGAGAGCCAGCCAGCGACGTACCCAGTGATATCAGCAATGCCTACACATTCATTTTAGCCAGCGAAAAAAGAGAGAAGAGAAAGGAAAGAGAGACGCACCTAGACCCAGAAGGTACTGACCCGCCACGACATCGCCACTCCTCCCAGAAACTGCCAGCAACGCAGCCAAATACCACAAAAACCCAACCATAGCGTTCCACAACGAGTTCAGGGTGTCCAGCAAGTCTGCCTGGGAGCTGATAACGGCCATTTGGGTGCGTGTCTGAGGTCGAATTCTTATAGCGCTGTGAACGTGATGGTGATGATTTGTGGAAAACCGCGCGGATGCTTGGCTTCGAAAACCGCGTGAGCAACGAATCACACGATAAGGGCCCCCTTGGACATCATATATGAACCATACGTGACAGCATTTTCATCAGAGAAACGCCAGTGTTTGGTGTGGCTAAGGAGCAAGAGGCGAATTATTGTCTATTGACAAATTCGGGGAGACTCGGTCTAGACCATCACTACTACTACTACTACTACTACTACTACTACTACTAAAAGCCCTATGCAACTCGAGGGCGGGGCTGTAACTCGAGCTTCGGTTTTCCCCAACACATACAGAGTACGATATCCTGGTATCCTGGAAAGGATCAAGGAGGAGAAGTGATATTCGGGCTGTTGTCACAGCAGATAAAATGGCAACCCAAAAATAGCCGAACACTTATGACGAGACAGAGGGAGAATGGAAGGAGAGGAAGGAATAAAAGTGCAACTGAGGTCTAGGAGAGAAAAGAATATCCATCATCTGACATGATCAGGCTTCTTGGCCTGACATGACCCTATTTCCCTCTGATGCTGGAAGAAGAGAGCGGTCGGTTACGGTCCCCCCCTTTCCTCCCCCTTCGTGGCGTCGATACTATAGTAACCATTGTGATAACGTCTTGACATAGCTTGGGGTTAGGTTGAGGAATGATAGCACTTCGATACTAATCATAGCAAACGTCAGGCATGATGAACTTGGAAGAAGCATACCCGCGGTGGGCCAGGTTCACCGCTTTGCCCATGCTAGTGATGATAGGGTTGGATGGCGGTAAAAGCAACAACGTCATCGCTGCCGAGTTGCCGATTTGGCGCACAAGAAAAGGAAATTTGAAGAAATGGCCGGGCCCGGTTGTATCCGAGTATGGAGAGTTGGAAGTTATTGTAAGCTGGGGTTCCAAGTTGGCGCCATTCAGGAGTATACGGCCCTTCAAGATCTGGTAAATTGCGAGCTGAGCTTTCAGAGGTACCGGGTTATCCTCTTATCACCTGAGCTTGCAATGGTCCGCATCTTGACTGCCAACTAGTATGAAGGAAGCCAAAAACGTCGAGATCGAAAATGTCCTGCCTATGTTCAGGGAAGCAGATAACGCGACTACACCTCAAGAAGGGCAAGTGTCAAGTAACGTCATCCAGAAAACGCGTCAGAAATAACAACTCGCCCATGCCGTATGACAGCCAAGACCACCACAATCACGCTTTTCTCTGTCTGTTCCCGAGTTCCACACAATCTCTTCAGCTTTCCTCATGGGTACATCGAGCAAGATTTAACACATCCCGTTCGTCTTGTTCACGCCTTGTCATAACTACGTCCCAGATAGCCAAGGCGGCGAACCAGTATCCCGCCCTGTCGTAATAACTGCGGAACAGATATGTGGGGCCATCTGCAAAAACGCATATACCCGCTTAACTCCTGAAGAGGAGAAATAGTGCGTAGGGGTGACGGATCCTGTCGTCAAAGAAGAAGAAGGTAAAGTTTTCAACGGCCATCACGGGGGTTTTGAGATCGACATAGATACAGATACAGCAACGAACGTGCGAGAAGGTGCTGTATGTGTGGAACACAATAGTGAATAGCGCCACACACACACAGCAGGACTGGGTGGCGCCAGGAATGCCAAAGTCGGTTTTTCGATGATGATGGTGGTGGTGGGTGGGCAAGAATCCATCAAAGTGGGTGCTGTGAGGAGAAGAAAACTTATTTCCTTTACGACATGCAGAAAAGATGCTCTCACTGCTGTGAACCTGTGCGAGAATCCATGAACCGAGTGTTTATCCAAGAAGAAGGGGTAGATACGTTTTCTCCGCTCCTGGAAGCTTTACTCAAAACACTCGCGTGCCAAAGAACGAGTCCAACATTTGCTGTGATCTGTAAGCCAATCAAGACAAAAATAGTCCGCCCTGCTAGCAACGTGTTAGGTTGGGTTGAAACTAGTCTTGGTCCCAAGAAAGTGTAGCATATTCGATGCGTCACAAGACCACCGAGAAGTAACCACCAAGCTGTGGCTCTGTCTTGCTCGCGGCCTAATGTAGGTCTATAAAAAAAATAGCAAGTTATTAACATTAGTTTATTATGAATAAATGTGAATAAATCAAGCACTTTTCGGAGACATGCCAACTCATACTAGATCTTTCACAGAATCTCCTCTTTCTCATCACATCCAGCTACGTGTTCAGACTTGTTAAGAGGGGAGTTTCTCTGCCTCACGCTCAGGTGGTACATGAGTATTTGCAGAATTGGTGGACTTTCTACATAGAGAGGCATTAGATGCCAGTGAGCCACTATGAGCGGGCCGGATTTTACAAAATATTTATTAACCTACTGAAGCAGTACCCTTTCATGACCAGAACACGTTATTAGCGGGATCAGGAATTATTAGCCCTACTTTGTTGAAGCTCCAGATCTCTAGTCCTATTTTACATGAGAAACTTATCAGTGGTGCTATGGTGTAGTGGTAGCACTTGGGATTTTGATGCGTTGTTCAGCTGTTCGAATTTCTTCCCACAACCCAGGTTCGAACCCTGGTAGTGCCTTATGCAATTCTTCTTAGTACAACCCTTCATTTTGCTGTCGGTTTTTTGTATTCACGTCATGAAAGGCTGGCGAAAAGATAGGTCCTGCCGAACGCCCGAGTTTCATTCTGTATCCAGGTTGCCTATCGGAAAGTCACGTAATATTAATTTACTGGGGATGGATGCCAGCAATGGGATAGTTGACGGTAGCAGCCAGTCGTAACAAGAAAAAGAGTTCCTCCCAGCGGCTCGCTGCAAAATAAGGTGCCTCGATGGAAATATAAATTATTTAAATCTGCCCCGATGCGATGAACAAGTAATATTGAATGAAACAAGAAAGCAAGATGGCAAACGAAAGCGACAATGCAAGTGAAGGGTAACAATAAATCCGGTCATAAAAATCATAAATTAGTCCCCTCATCATAAACGGGCAAGTAGAGCGGCAGGGTCACTGATCACTGCCTGAGGTATCTATCTTCGTTTCCATACGCATACGCCGGAGGAGGCAGCACGCTCGGGTCGGGCTCGAACTCGTATGCGTCAAAAGCGCCCTTCCGGAATCCCTTCGTATCGCGGGACCAGAGCGCCTGATCCAGGTCCCCGACGCCTCGAGGTGTGAACGGCGCTCGAGGGTCAGAGAACGTCCACACCCCGTCAGATCTCCGGTTTGCGATGCGCATGTTCGCGCCCGGTGTATGCACTGCAGCAGCCCTCCTTCTCAGTCAACAAGGCCGACAACGCGGGGGGTTTAGTACGCACCAAACTGTGGCGTCTCCCCGCCTGGTGAGCCAAAAGGTGTTATCCGCGAGGCAATGTGGGAGCGGTCGACGACGGTGGCGGCGCGGCTGGAGAAGACGTAGCCGTCTGAGTCTGTGCCAGGGGATTTGCGTCGGAAAGTGAGGAAGATGATTATCATGATGACGCAAACGCCGATGGCAGCTAGTGTTACGCCTGCGATAAGCGGCCGGTGGTCCGTGGATGATGTGCTCGTGCTCGTGCTTGTAGGCGTCGCGGACAACGTCGATACTATTGACGACATGACGGGGGCTGTGTCCGGTCAGTCAGTATTCGGGGACGCAATATAGGAACAGAAAGACAACGACGCACGTATTTCCAGCCCCACAAAGCACAGAAAGGTCAATACTTCCTCCAACAACAACTACGAGAACGACTCCGGGAGCCCAGAAGAAAGAAAGTGGCCTGTGAAAAGATGGTCCTTGGAACAACATGAGGCCATTGGTCAGATCAAGGCATATAGAGCGTACCTGATACGAGATGGGATCAGTCAAGCGGCAGGAACAACTGGAGATGGCACGGAGATGAGGAGGGAGAGAAAGGGAGAGGAGCCAGTCGTTCTGGAGGAGGGAGGAGGAAGGGTCACCGTCCAAGCACAAAAAAGAACCGCCCATATGCCAGGCACCGCTTTGGAATCGAAGACTCAGGGAAATGCCGAGATCACGTGTGGGTCGCGTCGCATTCGCAGAGCGCGATAACCGTCTGACCTTAGAGAGCACTACGCAATGCATCCTGTTAGCCAACGAGGCTTCGACACCAGATGTACCACGCATCGACGCATACTGACATCAGAATCTACGCACCCTCTCTTCGCATCCAGTGACGCCGGTCCGGGGTTTTGACGTCATTCTCTTCCCATGTGTTTCTCGAGCACTTCAGCCTCTACACGCTCCAGGCAATCTCACATTTAAAAAGTAGCAATTGAAGGAGAGCAGAACAGCATCAAGGAATCGAACCAGGTTCAGCGGGCCCAGTGTTCCAGCCACTTGCACCACGATGCAGTTGGTTTCACCTGTCGACTCCGAGCTGATGATACATTCAAGCAAACGTTCAAAAAAAAAATATCAAGCCAGGATGGAGCACGTTCTCTGGATTCTTTTACTGAATACCATATGGTTACCATGCAGTGTATGCTACGACTGCAGTACCACCCACCCATGACACAATGAAGAAAAGTCGAACTCAAATCTGTCTTGGCCGTCTACGCTGGTGTCCTGCCGTTGTCTCCACCGCTCTTAGCAACTACTTTGCTGTAGAGGACCCAGGAGATCAACAAGTGGAAGATACGCTCAACGCGAACTGGCGGTTCCTGATGCCGACAAGGGCGAGCACCCTGACCGTGCCGTCGTTATCAAGTACGTTCCGTTGGCGATTCCAAGAGGGGCCATCGACAAGTTGTACTCTGTGGTGCCGTCCAACAAATATCCTCAACGAATGCGAGGTAGGCCCTTGCGTGCACACTCTTCTCTTTCACTTTCTAACTTGCTCTGCAGGGTTCCTCCTGGAACTCGGAGCTCGGAATTCAAGACCTCCGAGTTCAAGCCGTTCCCTATCATTGTCTTCGTCTCACATACCTCTCGTGCGTAGGTTTTGAACGAGCTAACCACTTTTCCCGTACGCGCTCGATTCGTTCCTCAAAGCTTTGGAGGCCTGTTTCTCGACACCAAGATTTAGGGTATAACATTAGATTTATTTTATCATCCGTCCATTCAACTAGCCTCGATCGACCAAACATATCCCCGTTTCTGCGCAGTGTGGCTAACGTTATGAATCAACGTGTTTCACGTCTAAATTTGAAATCCAATTTTCCAAAGTTGAATTACCTCGAGTACACGACTGCGATCCAACGCTGCAAAAATGCACCCGCTAGACTGCATTATGTGAGGGAAAAGAAACCCAAACACCTGTTTAAGCCTGCCACCAGGACTCGAACCCGGAATACATAGTAGACACCTAAACCATGCAAACGACACATATAAGACACAGTATATGAACCTAACAACCCTATTTTATTGCATTGTAAACTCGGGTAAAAATTTCATTCGTGTCCAAGATCGATTCCACATAACAAGTAACTCGGAGGCAATAACGAGACTTGGAGTTGTAACGAAAGGAGTACCTCTAAACGAGGATTCTGCGTGCTGTCATTCTGGCATTCGACAGCGGTACCAGGCCTGACCAGTTGAGAGGGAGTCGGCTCTGTGACTAGACGAACTCGGCTCGGACACGTAGGATGTCAGCCATCGCTCCATGTACGAGCTGATTCTGACACCGTTGTCAAAGCAGAAGCCATTCATATGGAAATGTCTTCAGCAGCTTACGCCACTGAAATGTATCATCTTCCTATTCATACAGCTCCAGGACCGTAACCCGTACCTAATGACGCGACTTACTTCATCGCTCGCCAGGCGCAGGAGAGATGACCGCTTTCTCCCCTTCCTCTCCCGGATGACTTTCCCAGCGAATTTCTCACGCTTCTTCATCTCGTATCTTCAACGGTGTGGGAAAAGGCACACCGTAGCTGTACTAACCCTCATGTATCCTGACCCCAAAACACAATTTCTATGCCAATTTTTTTTTCTTTTGTGACAGATACCAAGTTGTCAGTGTACTGGATATTACCCAGGATTTACAGATCGATGATATAACTACTGCCTCAGAGGAAATGGGTGCCCACCCACTAGCCTACAACATGATCCCCATCTCCGTACCCAGCCTAGAGTACATGTTTTCACATACGATCTTTCGACACACCTTGGATCAGACTTCCAGGGATGGCTTACCGGGCCGAACTTAGACCTGTATGAAAAAACCTGTTTCAAATAGATTAAATGTTTCAGGGGTCAGTCAAAAAGGACCGTCGTCTCACGAGGGTTAGGAGGCCTCGCTGTTCCAAACCACCATCACTCGCCTCTCATCACCATCCTTATTGCGAATCCTTGAGTGCTTGTCCCCAAATCGTATCTACTCAAATATTTCACATATCATGGTCGTTCAAACAAGGCGAATGAAGCAAGAGCTTGAGGCAGCGTCGACGTTGACAACACTCCCCAATGAACTCCTTTACATGATATTCGACCACGTCGAGAAGACGGACTTGGTAGCTCTCGCATGCCTTTCTCGTGGACTGAATCATGTAGCAACCCATCACTTACTTGGTCCATGGGATGAAATCCCAAACAAGTACAGCGAATTCGGGTCCTTTGCCACAGATGCTTCTAGCACCTTCTCCGGCCTACGATACCTTGCGCTTGCCCTACAAAAGCCATACATCCCATCAATGACCCTGATGTTCACCATAGACTTCATGGAAGACCTTGACAATGTCCTACGATACCACAGGAGTATTCCCCGAACACAGCATCCTCGCCTGCACATTGTCTTCCCATCCTGTACTCAGCTAAATATTACATGGAGTATCATGCGTTCCGAGGATTGGGCAAGAAGCTTTCACAGATTCTGTGAACAGCTTGTCAGGTTACGATGTGTGTCCTTCAAGCACAGCACCAGCTGGAAATGTCCCACCTCATTCAATCCGCCACCATTCACCACTCTCACTTCTATGAACATCTCCCATGGATCTGCATCCTTCATGGACTGGCTTGTCCGCTCAGCTTGTGCATCACCCCTTGAATCATTGACACTAAAACATAACTATGATTTCAAGAAACGATGGGATGATTTCATTGTGCTACGCTTCCCTCGCCTTAAGCGAGTAGCATTCAGATCATGTTCGTTTACAGCAGAGCAGTTATCTTTATTTCTCTCCCGTCATACATTGATAACCGATTTGACATTCCTCTGTGGTGAAGTCAACCCACCCCGTTCGTATTTACGTGCTGTTCACGTACGACTTCCACATCTGCATACTATCACTATGGGCATCCATACTTTGGAGAATATGCTGTCCTCTCTGAGGCCAAAGTCCCTCCGCGGCCTAAAATCAGTCATCATACATGGCTGTCATCCATGCATTAGCAAATCTTGCTGGAACACCACACTTAAACAACCGGATACTCATCGTGTTCTATATTGGATATCACGATTACTGAATGTGTCCTGTGTGCAGCTCCCATTCGAATATGAATGGGAAACCATTTCAGGACTGATTTTACCAGGTGTTACCAAAATGGTGGCAATGCGAGATTCAGTGGGTTTGAACTTGGAGAGGATCACACCGATTTCAGTGCTCTTTCCAAATGTGAGGGAGTTTGAGGTCGTGCAGTTATGTGTGGAGGATAACAGAACATTGATGACAGAGATAAATGAGCACTGGCCGGGGCTACGATGCGTGACAATTACTACAGAGTGAACAGATACTTCAGGACAATTCTAGTTACCTATGTCACAATTTTTTCAGTTACCTTTCCTAACCATGTTTCCCAAAGGCTTAATTTATGTTCTTCACTGGTCTTTTGCAAACAGTGCACTTTATCTTGTCTGTCCTCAATACCTGTCCCATACAACAGGACTTAAGCTTCAGCTGAGTGCAAAGGCTTTATACATATTCAATGAATAAATGGATATTCCATCATGATGAGATCCCTCAACACATTTTGCATCCAAAAAGATCAAACTTTAGAAAGTGATTGAATGCTGCAAAAATGCACTCCTTAGACTGCATTGTCTGAGGAAAACAACTGACTTCCTCAAACAAGGCTACCACCAGGGCTCAAACCCAGAATTCTTAGTGGACACTTAGGTCACCCAGTGACACTTAAGACAGTGTATATAGAATGAATAACCATATTTTATTGTAAGCTCAGATAAAGATCTCATTCATGTCAAGATCCCAAGTAACTCAGAAGCAGCAATGAGACTTGGAGTTGGAATGAAAAGAGAACTTCCAAATAAGAAATCTGCATGCTGTTGTTTTGGCATTGGACAGTGGTACCATGCCAGAGCTGTTGAGATGGAGCTAGGGCACATATTTAATGGCCTTTCTGTCAGTTACAGAGAAGGGCACAATCATTTGTGTCAATGGGGATGCTCTGGCAGATACATTGTCTTGCAAGGTCACTGTCATTATAATGAGAGTACTATTGATGAGTGTTAATCTGAGATCTTCTGCAGGGCATTGGTTGATATTCATGTCTCCAATGAATGCTATGTACAGTTGACTATCTCACAATGCATATGGTTGGGAGACACCAAAACTGTATGCATTTATAGATTTATGCAGAACCAAAATAGCATGTGATGTGACATGTGACATTATATGACAACATCATCATTGCCCCAAAATGCTGTCAGTGGCTTTTAGGTCAGCTTTCTATGCATCTCCTTGAATAATGCTCCTCTCAACTTTCTCAGCTGTGGTACTAATCCACCCTGGTCACCTTGTGAAACACAAAATGCCTCCAGCTTTTGAATAAGCTCAAATCCTTCCCTTGTAGTTATCAAGGTCTGTTCTTCCTCACCCTCCTCTTCCTCTTCTTCCTCCTCATCATTGTCAATGACAGTTATTTCCTCATTTTCTACTGCAATATCATGCTTGACAGCAGCAACAATCTCCTCATCTTTTGGCATTGCCTCAAGATCTTCAGTATACTTTTCTGCAATAGAGTTAACCATTTCTTCAATGGTTGGAATGGGACCAAACATGCAATTTCATTGTTTCAATTCAACAAGATGGTCCTTCAACATTATCTCTGCTGTCTGAAGCTGTTGAATGAGGGCAATTTGGGTGAGAGGTGTGTTTATTTTTGACTGTGACAAAGAAGCCAACTGATTGACTGCCTCCAGTGCTTTACCAACATTGTTCTCTACATTCATAACAGCCATAAGAGCAGGACACCAGTCAGCATCAGCATATTGGTTTCCAAGCAGATCCTGTAATGCCTGTTCGATCCCTGAAAGCATGTATTTGTCTGTTGAGGCAAAGTCATGAACAAGGTTCTATGCAGACTTGAGAAGTGAGGCATCTTGGAAATCATTGGATGGTGTGGTAGACTGTGACTTGGGTGCATTGTCAGGCATTATACCAGTGTGTTTCCAGCAGTTTGCTATCATTTCACTGCTGACATTTGCCTAAGCATCATGAGCAATAGTCATAGCTTCAAGGAGATCAAGCTTGAAGATCTCAGACTCTCCAAGATCATCAAGATCAAGTGCACAGATACACAGGGCATTCCAATAATATGCCTTGAAGCAGCAGATAATACCAGCATCTAGCGGCTGAACATATAGAGTCATATTGGGCTCAAAGAACCCCAGCTTTGTGTTATGAGGTGTATAAGTGATGGAATGCCCTTGAAAGTTGTCCAAGGTCAGCAGAACCTGCCACATCTCCCTCTTCATCTTTAAATCAAACATCTTCACCCACTCTGTAAATATTTCACTCATCATCCAGGCCTTCTTGTTATTCTGATAATAGAATCCCATTGCTATTGGACTCTTTTTCTTGAAACACCATGGTTGCTTTGACTTGCTAATGAAAACAACTGGCATCCACTCACTCCCATCTGCATTCACAGCAAAACACATGGTGATGCAGAACTTATCCTGTTTTCATCCACTCATAGGACCAGATGCCAAGGTACAATCTGGAATGGCAAAGATGACAAGACCAGATTCATCAATATTCCATCTGTCCCACATCATATATTTCACCATAATACTATAAAGACACACATGTTCTTTTTCCACTGCCATTATATCCACTGAGCCTGCTTCTCCATGCCACCAAACCTCCTGAATCTTCCATGTCTTGCAGAATGACCTCAACCATCCCTCTCCTTTCAAACACTGAGCCTCTAGAATATTCATCAGATTTTCAATCCAATTTCATTTCTCTATCAGCATTGCATCAGTCACAGTCTCATCTCAGAGCTGCATGTTCTGATACCAGGATGCAACAGCACACTCCACATCAGGTCAGGTGACAATATAAGACTTTTTGGATGATAGTGCATTAGGGTTCTTATTTGCATGCTGTTTGATTTTTGTATGAGATGCCAGTTTCCATGAAAGAGTTGATTGGGTAAAGAGCAGTGCACCTTCCTTTTGGTTTGCAAAATGTGCCACAATGTCAGCATGTCAATAGGAAGGATGGTTATCAACATGTTTGAATACTACAAGCCAGTCTTCTGTTGTGAGGTGTGGGTGGGAGATCTGCTTTGGAGGCTGAGCTGATGATGTGTACATTGGGACTTTCTCCTTCTGTTTTGTACACTCATATGGATTTCCAGGTTTAGCACATGGTTTTTGTGTTGGTTCAGGAGGCATGTTTATAGAGATATAGACTGTGTCACTTTACAATAATTTTTTTTGTGTTTGTCATAGTCCATACAAACAAATTATGTTCTTTATTGTTTTAATATATGCATAATGTCATATCAGCTTACTATAATTTTCGATCTGACAATGCATATTCCTAACTAGAACTGTATGCATTATGTGATATGCATTTCTAGCCCATTTCCCTGCTCCCCAACTGCATTCCAGCCCAATCCATATGCAAAGTCAGAATTATGCATTTCAATATCATGCATTGTGAGATAGTCAACTGTATATCAAATAAACCCATATCTTTTTTGCTTTGTAACTCATTTTGTAGGATTCTCCCTTTGCTTCTCCTTAGATCCTTGACCTCATAGAGGTTCTCACTAGCATCAGATACCTCAAGACCAGGATTAGTGAGTTCAAGATTCCTCATGTCCATCTCAAACATGGTTCTGACATTGTGATGAGTCACTCAAAAGGACTATCTGATGCTGTCACTACTTTTTTTTAAATGAATATCAAGAACAAATTTGAGCCAATTGATGAGAGGGGTCTCTTCATACTTGCTGTCCATTCTTTATTCAATCTTTGATCATATCCATACAAAGTGATGGGGCAGAACTTGCTGGTATTGTCACAGAGGCCTGCCTGTATGGTACACTATCATATTAGAGCATCTTTATAGGGGCTTAACCTTTCCTTCTCTCCATCTAGGAATCACTATCACTGTCAAAATTGGAACCATCTATGATCTGATGCAGCACGGTTTTCATTGCCATGACAATAGTCAGTGAAGCTATTGTGGTGAGCAATCTAGGCTAGAAATTCTGAGAATATGTTTCATATGTCCAGTGAGAAATATTTTTAAGTGATTGTAACTCAATCACACAATGTCAGCCATTCATCATGGGTCTGGCAGCAAGGATCACCCTACTAGATGCAGGCATTGAGGGCAGACATGATAGAGTGCACTGCTCACAAAAGACCAGTGAAGAACATAAATTAAGCCTTTGGGAAACATGGTTAGGAAAAGCAACTGAAAAAATTGTGACATAGGTAACTAGAATTGTCCTGAAGTATCTGTTCACTCTGTTGTAATTATCACACATTGTAGCCCCAGCCAGTGCTCATTTATCTCTGTCATCAATGTTCTGTTATCCTCCACACACAACTGCACGACCTTGAACTCCCTCACATTTGGAAAGAGCACTGAAATCAATGTGATCCTCTCCAAGTTCAAAGCCACTGAATCTCGCATTGCCACCATTTTGGTAACACCTGATAAAGTGAGTCCTGAAATGGTTTCCCATTTGTATTTGAATGGGAGCTGCACACAGGACACATTTGGTAATTGTGATATCCAATGTAGAACATGATCAATATCCAGTTGTTTAAGTGTGGTCTTCCGGCAAGATTTGCTAATGCATGGATGGCGGCCATGTATGATGACTGATTTTAGGCCATGGAGGGACTTTGGCCTCAGAGAGGACAGCATATTCTCCAAATTATGGATGCCCATAGTGATAGTATGCAGATGTGGAAGTCGTACGTGAACAGCACGTAAATACCAATGCGGCGGGTTGACTTCACCACAGAAGAATGTCAAATCGGTTATCAATGTATGACGGGAGAGAAATAAAGATAACTGCTCTGCTGTAAACGAACATGATATGAATGCTACTCGTTTAAGGTGAGGGAAGCGTAGCACAATGAAACCATCCCATCGTTTATTGAAATCATAGTTATGTCTTAGTGTCAATGATTCAAGGGGTGATGCACAAGCTGAGCGGACAAGCCAGTCCATGAAGGATGCAGATCCACGGGAGATGTTCATAGAAGTGAGAGTGGTGAACGGTGGCAAGTTGAATAAGGTGGGAACATGCCAGGCAGTGCTGTACTCGAAAGACACACATTGTAACCTGACAAGTTGTTCACAGAATCTGTGAAAGCATCTTGCCCAATCCTCAGAACGCATGATACTCCATGTAATATTTAGCTGAGTACAGGGTGGGAAGACAATGTGCAGGCGAGGATGCTGTTTTTGGGGGATACTCCTGTGGTATCGTAGGACATTGTCAAGGTCTCCCATGAAGTCTAAGGTGAACATCAGGGTCATTGATGGGATGTATGGTTTTTGTAGGGCAAGCGCAAGGTAGCGTAGGGCAGAGAAGGTGCTAGAAGCACCGGTGGCAAAGGACCCGAATTCGCTGTACTTGTTTGGGATTTCATCCCATGGACCAAGTAAGTGACGGGTTGCTACATGATTCAGTCCACGAGAAAGGCATGCGAGAGCTATCAAGTCCGTCTCCTTGATGTGGTCGAATATCATGTAAAGGAGTTCATTGGGGAGTGTAGTCAACGTCGGCGCCACCTGGAGCTCTTGCTCCATTTGCCTTGTTTGAACGACCATGATATGTGAAATATTTGAGTAGATACGATTTGGGGACAAGCACTCAAGGATTCGCAATAAGGATGGTGATGAGAGGCGAGTGATGGTGGTTTGGAACAGCGAGGCCTTCTAACCCTCGTGAGACGACGGTCCTTTTTGGCTGACCCCTGAAACATTTAATCGATTTGAAACAGGATTTTTCATACAGGTCTAAGTTCGGCTCCGTAAGCCATCCCTGGAAGTCTGATCCAACGTCTGTGGAAAGATCGTATGTGAAAACATGTACTCTAGGCTGGGTACGGAGATGGGGGTCATGTTGTAAGCTAGTGGGTGGGCACCCATCTCCCCTGAGGTAGTAGTTATATCATCGATCTGTAAATCCTGGGTAATATCCAGTACACTGACAACTTGGTATCCGTCACAAACAAAAAAAAAATTGGCATAGAAATTGTGTTTTGGGGTCAGGATACATGAGGGTTAGTACAGCTACGGTGTGCATTTTGCCACACCGTTGAAGATGTGAGATGGAGAAGCATGAGAAATTCGCTGGAGAAGTCATCCGGGAGAGGAAGGGGAGAAAGCGGTGCATCATTTCCGAGGCAGCAGGTAATCGTATTCTATCTGCGATGTACACTGTGACATTAGCCATCGAGTAGAGGACTTCATAGCTGTATGAGGCGACTATCGACGTGTAAGATCCCGAACTCTAGTGATGCACCGAAAGCTCTAGAGCTTATTATTCTACTGCGAACATATTAGCAACACGAAACGCGGAGCAAGCGTACACCAACCATGCTTTAAAGCACCGAGAGAAAATACATTCAAAGCTAAGGCAGAAATACGTTTCCCATTTATCGGAAACTTCTTCATCTAATGTGGAGAGCAGGCGAGGATGGCACACATAAGCGTGCTAGATTGCCCAAGAAGTTATATCTATCTCTCTACCTTGGCGTTATCATCCTTTTAGAACCTCATTAAAGAAGAAAATAAGCCGTCGAGAAATAACAATAAGCTAGTCCTATGATGGTGGAGGAAAAAAACTGTCGCCGCGGCGGTCCGAAATCCAAATGGAATCAACAGGATCACGTGCAACATAAAGAATTTCGTAGAGAATGTTGTCCTCGCGACCACCTTACTGCCAGATCGCGCCAAATGCATTTTCATTATTCGGTTTCCTGAAAACATGCTTGCCGATCCAGATTCCAACGTTCCATCTGCGATCATCAACAACGGTGCAACAAATGTCCCTTAAATAAAGTACAACAACCAATAATCAAATACACGAGAACACCTAATGCGAATGACATTAAGCTAAAACGACCACCTCTGGACCTCCTTGGCGCAATTCATTCCAATGCTTCATATTTCTTGCGGCAGTCTGGGCTTCCGTATTTATGTCTCTTCATCATTTTTCCCCCGTTTTTCTTGCCATACCCAGCGAGGAGTGTTTCTGTTTTTATTCCATATTTTAGCTACGGTGTACCATTCTGAGGCGCCAAAAAAGCGTCATCCTTTGATCCATCCTCTGCGTCCCCACTCGAGCAAGTTCACAGAGCCGCTGCGCTCCATCCTGATCCATCTCAGAGATATAAATACAAGAGATTCATTTTGTAGGATGACCAATATCATCTGATCACGGCTTCTGCCGGTGGCGAGGCATTACAGATCCCAGTTTATCGCCACTTGTCAGGGATTCTAACAATACCTTATTGTAGGGCGTCTTTCCCGAACTTGTCTTTTTCATCTATACCAAGTATGCTGCATATTCCCTCAAAACTTCTGCTTATCGTATGTATATAAATCTTCTGTTTGTTATTCTCATTCCACCAGTTGTCCCTACTCCAACCATGGTTATCCGGTCGTTTGCGCTCTCCTTTTTATCAACGACGTCGTTGCTCGTATTAAAGGTTCTCAATTCAGCTTGAGTCGAAATATACCTTTATTGTCATAACTACCTTTTCGTCGGCTACCCTTCATTTTGCAGTGACTCTCTCAGTTGCTGCACTATTCACTTCGACCTTGGGTGATACTCAAAGGCCAGTAGTGATGTCTTTATCTAGCAATGAAATTCCTTGGCCGCCGAACTCTTAGGACATGTGGGTCGTACATAAGCCCTGCAGACATGATAACCGCCGAAACCCAATTTCTCATTGATGCTACCCAAGCCTCTGACACTCCGAACGTAGTGTCCGGACGTTCCTCAGCGCCTATAAGTGCATATTTCCATGTCATCCGTCAGAACCTCAACAGACTGTAATCAATCAGGCTCTTCGGCAGGGAGGTTTACACAGTCGGGTCTGCAAGATTCCTTACCGACTTTCGTACTTATCTCACTTCTGTTACAGATTCACGTCGTGTTCGACTGCTGGTTTACTAGCGTACTCGACATACCCTTGGACATACACCTCTGCTCGTACAGATGATCGCGTTGTTGTTTCATTCTCTTCCCTTCCCGGTGGTTCTATTCAGAACTATAACTTTGGCCACACTATCTCGCATGAAGTCGGACACTGGGCCGGTCTTTACCATACATTCGAAGGAGGATGCTTGGGATCAGTCGACTATGCTTCTGATACTCATGCGGAGGCGTCTCCTGCATATGGATGTCCATCAGGGCTTCCGTTGGTATGTATCGTTCTATTGGCTAACGATTATAATAGATAATTACATGGACCATTCATATGAAAGCTGTGTGGAAGAATTTACTGGGGGCCAGGCGGTGGCAAAAACTGAGGATATGATGAATAATAGACAGAGAAGGCCACTTCTAAGCTCACAGCATCGTTGTATCCTCAGATAATGTATCAGCTCGTGCTTATCATATCTTGACATGTTTGATTGTGTTTACGGGCAGCACAGAAATACACAGACAAAAAGCTGAGGATCAATTTAGTGTCACTAGTTACAGGGAAAACGAACATAAGCCTATACAAGCATCAGAAGAGTTTACATGGGCGGTACCAGACGACTCACCTTTGCAATCAAGCGTCCGGAGAAGAGAAAATTGATGAGAGCTGGTCGTTGTATCCAGCAAACCAGTCAACGCTACCGTCACCACTACTGAACAATGGCTCGAAGCAATCGTTGTCGGCAAAATAGTAGCATACTACATAGCTGCCGGTGTTTGCCTGGTTGTTACTACGCCCGAAAACAATCAGCAACAAAGGAAAATGCCTCGGATGTCGCTTACGAGCTTACGACGTTATCGTTGAATCCGGACCATCCATCACTGGCGGTACTTTTGAGGCACTTGCCGATAGGGACGTCGCACTTCCCATCACAATTAACGTAGTAAGCATTAACGCAGAGTTGGATGTCAACAGTGATGCGATGGAGGCAAAGACGGCGAAAGACAGGGCGTCAAACTTCAACGTGCGTTGGGCCATCGTATGAGAATGAGAGCTAGGGCGATAGGGAATGCGTCAGTTCGGGAGCATCTGAAAAGATACATATGTGGGCTTAGCTAACTTACGCGATAGCGCTAGAACGTTAACCGTCAACGGAACGAGAGTAGTAGGGTCTATAAATTGGGTAGAATGGACATGTTGCTACCGAAGGCTCGTGATCATCTGAGAATCAGGTGATGGTCACCGGTGTAAACGTCATTACTTGGTTAGAATAGAAATGGTCGGAAGCTGAGATTCCGACGTACAATGAGACGAGGAAGTCTACTCTCAGAAGTGGTAATCCTCGGGAGACGTCAATAGAAGCACATTCGTTAGGCGGCATTCAAAATTACGGCAAGGGTGCACCATCGGATTCGCAGGATGCATGGAACATGGACCCCTGGTAGATTTGGTTTGCTAATAGAAGTGAGTTCACATGATGTCGTAAGGCATGATTTTACAGATAATGACTCACTACCATTCATTAGATCCAGTGGCATTAATATGGATAGAGCTGCAGTCAAAGTAAGCACACTTACGTCGTAGAAACCAGGCCAAGCCTGATCCTATAACGCACTATCTCCTTTCACTGAGATGACTACTTGGTATCCTGGTTGGCTCCTACCCATCCAAGGTGTCCAATCCTGCACCCTCTAGTCGAAAGGATGAAAGACGAATCCGGAAGACAAAGTAGCACAACTTCGTAGTCACTTCACGATTCGCAGTTGTAAAATCTCATTCGGCATAGCTGATGCTCCAGGGTTCAGAGATGCTTACGGTCAAGCCCGTATTCGACGTCTACTGTGACAGAGAGAATGAGAAAGCTTGTCTCATTTAGCTGAGTAACTGACGTTTGTCCAAGTTAAGACAAAGAAACCGATATAAAAGTGATACAAGTATACTGGTTGTCTGCACCATCTCCAGCTAACACTGAATTCCCTCATCGTTGTAAGCCCGTCAGGACGACCGTTTTGCTCTGCGGATACACGATGCCTTGGGGACGAATTTGTACGTTCTCTAATATCCTGCGATAAAAATGGTTACACGTAGCACGAATGAGCAGCCTCGAAATCTTACCTTCATCTGGTTTCGTACGAACGAGCTGTCCTTCGTCAAAAGTATCCCCCAACTCCTCTCTAGCATCATGAAACAGTAGTGGGAACTTGTTGACGCATATAATCGAGGCGCTTGGAGAGCAGAGACGCGCATTCATATGGATTTTATGAGGACAGTGTAACCGTGCGGTGTAGCTATCATAATCATTGGACAAATACGTCCTCGCACGACCTACAACATCTGGAAACGCGAGTCAGTGTCGCAATGTGATAAGACTAATGGGGACATACAGGAGAGTATCCCTCATGGATATTGCCTTGGCAATCCAGAGATTCGGATGCAGTAGAGTACATTGTCCTCGCTCAGTTACAAAAAGTAACAAGAAAGGACCGGAGGATGCATGGGTGGTTCCTTACCAGTCTTCTTCGGGTGCAAGCCCGTACACGGGTAGCTGAAAAAGGCGGTCTCTGTTAGAAGAAATACATATTCTGTCCTTGTTTGACAGGCGGACGAGGTTGTCACGACGCCGTGACGGTTGTCTATCCGTTACCTTTCTGTCTTTCCTTCCTTCCTTCCACCACCATCCCGGTGCTCCGCCCCTAGCAGCAGCACCCTCTATCACCTAGCCATCGCTATCAGATGGCGCAACGGTTATCTTCCACTCGCTGATGAGGAACCACTGATCTCGAGGAAGCCAGCGGCGACATTATCAAGCTCAGCGCTCTGTTAAATGTACCTTCAGTTCTTCTTGGTCTTGGAAGTGAGTTTGGAATGCTGTTCTCATTCTGAAAATAAATAAAACAGAACTTTGTAGACATGCCCCGATATTCGGACCGCGCTTCCCTTCGTCGACTACGATACATGCGCGTGAGGCACAAGCATGAACAGCGACCCTCTATCCAGCCAGCTGGGTACCGTGACGAGGACTTTGGGAATGGGAGCATAGATGACTGGCGGGGGTAGATGACTGGCGGGGGCAGATGCCATGGGAGGTTGTGCTGAGGGTACGAATGTCCCATCATCGCTGTCGTCGACCCCGATGGGCCACCCGATAGTGTATCTACGAATGTACTGTTGGTTTGTTCATCGCGAACGGTGCTGCGATGGAGGGTCTTGTCGGCCTTCGACACAAGGGAGTCAAACCAGCGGTCAAACCCGGCAGGATCTTTGGGTATGTCCACACGTGGAAGCGCCACTGGCTTGCAGTAATGCTCTTCGCTATCGACCCTCTTCCGCTCCAGGAGATATGTTATCCAAGCCTCGAACTCTTCGGGGACATCATGGCATGGGACATGTTCGTGTTTGTACGACCGACGCTCTGGTTGTTGGTGCATGTACCCGGTGGGATCTTTGCTCCGGAGTCCATGTCGTTGCCGGTGAGCCTCTTCATTATCGGCCTCCTCCTCTTCCAGACCAAAGGGATCGAACCGGACACGATCACTGCGGCGCGGGATGTTCTCGCATAACTTCTCCGAATGCTGACTAGGATGTGAGGCCATCCGTGCCATGAAACTGTCGGGAGTGTCCTGAATCGGATCAGCAACACCATTCGGATCCGGGAGGGACTGCGACTGGTCGAAGATGTTATGAAAACATGTCGCGTGGAGTGGCTCATACACAGCGTAGTTTGCCTGCTCTTATTGAGTCCCACGTTCCTTTCAACGATGGAATGATGTGCTCACCGACGGTCTTCCCATGTAGTCGACTTCCATATCTACTACTGGAGTGGCTTGGAGTCTCGTCCACCTCGAAAGCAAGATGTCAGGTTGGGTGGCGACGGTAGATAACAAATGACCAGCCCTGAACGCCTCCCTCTTTGCTCTGTTTTCGGATAGTTGGAAAACAAGGGTACGACTGCCTCTTCCTGCTACCAGTGCCCTTGTCTGCAACTGACAAAAAGGCCATTACATGTGTACCCTAGCTCCATCTCAACGGCTCCGGCGTGGTACCACTGTCCAATGCCAAAACGAAAGCATACAGATTTCTCGTTTGGAGTTCTCTTTTCGTTCCAACTCCAAGTCTCGTTGCTGCCTCCGATTGCTTGGGATCTCGACACGAATGAGATCTTTATCTGAGCTTATAATAAAATACGGTTGTTCATTCCATGTACTTTGTCTTAAGTGTCGCTGTGTGGCCTAGGTGTCCACTAAGAATTCCGGGTTCGAGCCCTGGTGGTAGCCTTGTTTGTGGGAGTCAGCTGTTTTCCTCGAACGGCGCAGTCTAGGGAGTGCATTTTTGCGGCATTTGATCGCTGTGTTATGCTCGACATGTCTAACGTCCTAAAGTTCGATCTTGGATTTGGATGTAAAATGTGTTGGGAGATCTCGTCGTGATGCAATATCGATTTATTCATTGTGTATATATAAAGCCACACTGCGCAGAAATGGGGACAATTTTGGTCAACCGAGGCCAGTTAAATGGACGAATGATAAATCAAGTCTACTCTACTGATGTTGAACCCTAAATCGTGGTGTCGAGAAACAGGTCACTGTTGACCTCCAAAACTTTGAGGAATGAATCGAACGCCCACAGAAAAAGTGTTTAGCTCATTCAAAGCCTACGAGCGGGGGGTATGTAGGACGAATACAACAAGAGGACGGCTTGTCGTCTTCCAAGCTCCGAGTTCAAGGAGGGAATCCTTCAGAGCAAGTTGGAAAGTGAAAGAGAAGAGTCTGCATGCAGGGCTTACCTGGCATTTGTGGTCGATATTTATGGTCGATTGCACCGCAGAACAGAACTTTTCGATGGCCGCCTTTGAATCTCCAACAGCGCTGGTTGGGAACGCGCTTAATAGCGATGATATTGTCAGGGTGCTCGCACTTATCGGCATCAGGAGCCACCCGTTCGCGTTGAGCGTATCTTCCACTTGTTGATCTAGTTGCTAAGAGCGATGGAGACAACGGCGAAATACCAGCTCGGAGTCGACAGGTGAAACCAACGGCATAGTGGTGCAAGTCGCTAGAAGACTGGGTCAACTGAACCTAGTTCGATTCCTTGGTGCTGTTTCCGCCCTCTTTCACTTTCTAAAGTTTTAAATATGAGGTAGACTGGAGCACGTAGAAGCTTGTGCCAGCTTTGAAGTCGTCGTCATGCCACCCAGCTGGCTTAGTGGAGGATCGCCCTTCATGCTCGTGCCCCACGCGCATATATTGTAGTCGACCAAGGGAAGCACAGTTTGAATACTGAGGCATATCTACAAAACTTCTTTTTTATTTCCTTTCACGTAAATACAAACGCGGTGGGTTCACTTCACCACAGAAGAACGTCAAATCTGTTATCGATCTATGATGGGAGAGAAACAAAGATAAGTTGTCTGCTGTAAACGAGCATGATCTGAATGTTACTCGTTTAAGGTGAGGGAAGCATCGCACAATGACGCCATCGATTTCTTTATAATTATGTTCTAGTGTCAATGATTCAAGGGGCGATGCGCAAGCTGAGCGGACGAGCCAGTCAATGAAGGATGCAGATCCCTGAGAGATGTTCATGACATTAAGGGATGGCCTTGCGAAAATATTGAGATCCGGTTTTCGTACCTTGGAGCAGGATTTGCTGTGAAGCAGGAATAACCTCCCGGTACCGAGGCTTTGTCGGTCATACCTGTTAGAAAGACGTTTAACGTCGTCATCCACTTTCGCCGAGCATGTGGAAAGACATCTAGAGGACAAGAAATGCGCGCGCGGTACGATGACCATCTCAGAACCATCCATTTCACTGGCTGGCGGACTTGAAAGATCACCAGAAAGAGGCTTGTATGTCCAGATGGTGGAGGGCAGAGTGATTTTCTCATCCGGGAGAGGAAGGGGAGAAAGCGGTCATGTCTCCTGCGCCTGGCGGGCGATGAAGTAAGTCGCATCATTAGGTACGGGTTACGGTCCTGAGCTGTATGAATAGGAAGGGGATGCTTTTCATTGGCGTAAGCTGCTGAAGACATTTCCATACGAATGGCTTCTGCTCTGACAACGGTGCAGAATAAGCTCGTACACGAAGCATGGCTGATATCCTACGTGTCCGAGCAGAGTGGCTCGCATCACCACCACTCGATGTTGATCCACTAGATAAAGGAAACAAAAATTGCGCATTGGAGAGCTCCAACTGATCATTCTACATCGTAAGCGACGGACGAGACCGCAAAGCGAAAAAGCAAGCTCGCTCCAAAATGTCCACCACCATGGCGTAGGAAAGACGTCAATCTGTCCGGTTTTAAAAATGAAATACACTGAATTGAAAATGCGGGATGCTAGTTGTAGGAGGAGATAGCCATGCCTTGTTTTCCAACAGTCCGAACACAAAACAAAGAGGGAGGCGTTCAGGACTGGTTATTTGTCATCCACCGTCGCCACACAACCTGACATCTTGCTTTCGAGGTGGACGAGACTCCAAGCCACTCCAGTAGTAGATATGGAAGTCGACTACATGGGAAGACCGTCGGTGAGCACATCATTCCATCGTTGAAAGGAACGTGGGACTCAATAAGAGCAGGCAAACTACGCTGTGTATGAGCCACTCCACGCGACATGTTTTCATAACATCTTCGACCAGTCGCAGTCCCTCCCGGATCCGAATGGTGTTGCTGATCCGATTCAGGACACTCCCGACAGTTTCATGGCACGGATGGCCTCACATCCTAGTCAGCATTCGGAGAAGTTATGCGAGAACATCCCGCGCCGCAGTGATCGTGTCCGGTTCGATCCCTTTGGTCTGGAAGAGGAGGAGGCCGATAATGAAGAGGCTCACCGGCAACGACATGGACTCCGGAGCAAAGATCCCACCGGGTACATGCACCAACAACCAGAGCGTCGGTCGTACAAACACGAACATGTCCCATGCCATGATGTCCCCGAAGAGTTCGAGGCTTGGATAACATATCTCCTGGAGCGGAAGAGGGTCGATAGCGAAGAGCATTACTGCAAGCCAGTGGCGCTTCCACGTGTGGACATACCCAAAGATCCTGCCGGGTTTGACCGCTGGTTTGACTCCCTTGTGTCGAAGGCCGACAAGACCCTCCATCGCAGCACCGTTCGCGATGAACAAACCAACAGTACATTCGTAGATACACTATCGGGTGGCCCATCGGGGTCGACGACAGCGATGATGGGACATTCGTACCCTCAGCACAACCTCCCATGGCATCTGCCCCCGCCAGTCATCTACCCCCGCCAGTCATCTATGCTCCCATTCCCAAAGTCCTCGTCACGGTACCCAGCTGGCTGGATAGAGGGTCGCTGTTCATGCTTGTGCCTCACGCGCATGTATCGTAGTCGACGAAGGGAAGCGCGGTCCGAATATCGGGGCATGTCTACAAAGTTCTGTTTTATTTATTTTCAGAATGAGAACAGCATTCCAAACTCACTTCCAAGACCAAGAAGAACTGAAGGTACATTTAACAGAGCGCTGAGCTTGATAATGTCGCCGCTGGCTTCCTCGAGATCAGTGGTTCCTCATCAGCGAGTGGAAGATAACCGTTGCGCCATCTGATAGCGATGGCTAGGTGATAGAGGGTGCTGCTGCTAGGGGCGGAGCACCGGGATGGTGGTGGAAGGAAGGAAGGAAAGACAGAAAGGTAACGGATAGACAACCGTCACGGCGTCGTGACAACCTCGTCCGCCTGTCAAACAAGGACAGAATATGTATTTCTTCTAACAGAGACCGCCTTTTTCAGCTACCCGTGTACGGGCTTGCACCCGAAGAAGACTGGTAAGGAACCACCCATGCATCCTCCGGTCCTTTCTTGTTACTTTTTGTAACTGAGCGAGGACAATGTACTCTACTGCATCCGAATCTCTGGATTGCCAAGGCAATATCCATGAGGGATACTCTCCTGTATGTCCCCATTAGTCTTATCACATTGCGACACTGACTCGCGTTTCCAGATGTTGTAGGTCGTGCGAGGACGTATTTGTCCAATGATTATGATAGCTACACCGCACGGTTACACTGTCCTCATAAAATCCATATGAATGCGCGTCTCTGCTCTCCAAGCGCCTCGATTATATGCGTCAACAAGTTCCCACTACTGTTTCATGATGCTAGAGAGGAGTTGGGGGATACTTTTGACGAAGGACAGCTCGTTCGTACGAAACCAGATGAAGGTAAGATTTCGAGGCTGCTCATTCGTGCTACGTGTAACCATTTTTATCGCAGGATATTAGAGAACGTACAAATTCGTCCCCAAGGCATCGTGTATCCGCAGAGCAAAACGGTCGTCCTGACGGGCTTACAACGATGAGGGAATTCAGTGTTAGCTGGAGATGGTGCAGACAACCAGTATACTTGTATCACTTTTATATCGGTTTCTTTGTCTTAACTTGGACAAACGTCAGTTACTCAGCTAAATGAGACAAGCTTTCTCATTCTCTCTGTCACAGTAGACGTCGAATACGGGCTTGACCGTAAGCATCTCTGAACCCTGGAGCATCAGCTATGCCGAATGAGATTTTACAACTGCGAATCGTGAAGTGACTACGAAGTTGTGCTACTTTGTCTTCCGGATTCGTCTTTCATCCTTTCGACTAGAGGGTGCAGGATTGGACACCTTGGATGGGTAGGAGCCAACCAGGATACCAAGTAGTCATCTCAGTGAAAGGAGATAGTGCGTTATAGGATCAGGCTTGGCCTGGTTTCTACGACGTAAGTGTGCTTACTTTGACTGCAGCTCTATCCATATTAATGCCACTGGATCTAGTGAATGGTAGTGAGTCATTATCTGTAAAATCATGCCTTACGACATCATGTGAACTCACTTCTATTAGCAAACCAAATCTATCAGGGGTCCATGTTCCATGCATCCTGCGAATCCGATGGTGCACCCTTGCCGTAATTTTGAATGCCGCCTAACGAATGTGCTTCTATTGACGTCTCCCGAGGATTATCACTTCTGAGAGTAGACTTCCTCGTCTCATTGTACGTCGGAATCTCAGCTTCCGTCCATTTCTATTCTAACCAAGTAATGGGGTTTACACCGGTGACCATCACCTGATTCTCAGGTGATCACGAGCCTTCGGTAGCAACATGTCCATTCTACCCAATTTATCGACCCTACTACTCTCGTTCCGTTGACGGTTAACGTTCTAGCGCTATCGCGTAAGTTAGCTAAGCCCACATATGTATGTTTTCAGATGCTCCCGAACTGACGCATTCCCTATCGCCCTAGCTCTCATTCTCATACGATGGCCCAACGCACGTTGAAGTTTGGCGCTCTGTCTTTCGCCGTCTTTGCCTCCATCGCATCACTGTTGACATCCAACTCTGCGTTAATGCTTACTACGTTAATTGTGATGGGAAGTGCGACGTCCCTATCGGCAAGTGCCTCAAAAGTACCGCCAGTGATGGATGGTCCGGATTCAACGATAACGTCGTAAGCTCGTAAGTGAGATCCGAGGCATTTTCCTTTGTTGCTGATTGTTTTCGGGCGTAGTAACAACCAGGCAAACACCGGCAGCTATGGAGTGTGCTACTATTTTGCCGACAACGATTGCTTCGAGCCATTGTTCAGTAGTGGTGACACTAGCGTTGACTGGTTTGCTGGATACAACGACCAGCTCTCATCAATTTTCTCTTCTCCGGACGCTTGATTGCAAAGGTGAGTCGTCTGGTACCGCCCATGTAAACTCTTCTGATGCTTGTATAGGCTTATGTTCGTTTTTCCTGTAACTAGTGGCACTAAATTGATCCTCAGCTTTTTGTCTGTGTATTTCTGTGTTGCCCGTAAACACAATCGAACATGTCAAGATATGATAAGCGCGAGCTGATACATTATCTGAGGATACAACGATGCTGTGAGCTTAGAAGTGGCCTTCTCTGTCTATTATTCATCATATCCTCAGTTTTTGCCACCGCCTGGCCCCCAGTAAATTCTTCCACACAGCTTTCATATGAATAGTCCATGTAATTATCTATTATAATCGTTAGCCAATAGAACGATACATACCAACGGAAGCCCTGATGGACATCCATATGCAGGAGACGCCTCCGCATGAGTATCAGAAGCATAGTCGACTGATCCCAAGCATCTTCCTTCGAATGTATGGTAAAGACCGGCCCAGTGTCCGACTTGATGCGAGATAGTGTGGCGAAAGTTATAGTTCTGAATAGAACCACCGGGAAGGGAAGAGAATGAAACAACAACGCGATCATCTGTACGAGCAGAGGTGTATGTCCAAGGGTATGTCGAGTACGCTAGTAAACCAGCAGTGAACTCGACGTGAATCTGTAACAGACGTGAGATAAGTACGAAAGTCGGTAAGGAATCTTGCAGACCCGACTGTGTAAACCTCCCTGCCGAAGAGCCTGATTGATTACAGTCTGTTGAGGTTCTGACGGATGACATGGAACTATGCACTTATAGGCGCTCAGGAACGTCCGGACACTACGTTCGGAGTGTCAGAGGCTTGGGTAGAATCAATGAGAAATTGGGTTTCGGCGGTTATCATGTCTGCAGGGTTTATGTAAGACCCACATGTCCTAAGAGTTCGGCGGCCAAGGAATTTCATTGCTAGATAAAGACATCACTACTGGCCTTTGAGTATCACCCAAGGTCGAAGTGAATAGTGCAGCAACTGAGAGAGTCACTGCAAAATGAAGGGTAGCGGACGAAAGGGTAGTTATGACAATAAAGGTATATTTCGACTCAAGCTGAATTGAGAACCTTTAATACGAGCAACGACGTCGTTGATAAAAAGGAGAGCGCAAACGACCGGATAACCATGGTTGGAGTAGGGACAACTGGTGGAATGAGAATAAGAAACAGAAGATTGATATACATACGATAAGCAGAAGTTTTGAGGGAATATGCAGCATACTTGGTATAGATGAAAAAGACAAAAGTTCGGGAAAGACGCCCTACAATAAAGTATTGTTAGAATCCCTGACAAGTGGCGATAAACTCGCATCTGTAATGCCGAGCTCGCCACCAGCAGAAGCCGTGATCAGATGATATTTTTTATTCTGCGAGTGGTCCAGGTTATTGGTCATCCATATCTCTGAGATGGATTAGGATGGAGCGCAGCGGCTCTGTGAACTTGCTCGAGTGGGGACGCAGAGGATGGATCAAAGGATGACGCTTTTTTGGCGCCTCAGAATGGTACACCGTAGCTAAAATATGGAATAAAAACAGAAACACTCCTCGCTGGGTATGGCAAGAAAAACGGGGGAAAAATGATGAAGAGACATAAATACGGAAGCACAGACTGCCGCAAGAAATATGAAGCATTGGAATGAATTGCGCCAAGGAGGTCCAGAGGTGGTCGTTTTAGCTTAATGTCATTCGCATTAGGTGTTCTCGTGTATTTGATTATTTGTTGTTGTACTTTATTTAAGGGACATTTGTTGCGCCGTTGTTGATGATCGCAGATGGAACGTTGGAATCTGGATCGGCAAGCATGTTTTCAGGAAACCGAATAATGAAAATGCATTTGGCGCGATCTGGCAGTAAGGTGGTCGCGAGGACAACATTCTCTACGAAATTCTTTATGTTGCACGTGATCCTGTTGATTCCATTTGGATTTCGGACCGCCGCGGCGACAGTTTTTTTCCTCCACCATCATAGGACTAGCTTATTGTTATTTCTCGACGGCTTATTTTCTTCTTTAATGAGGTTCTAAAAGGATGATAACGCCAGGGTAGAGAGATAGATATAACTTCTTGGGCAATCTAGCTCGCTTATGTGTGCCATCCTCGCCTGCTCTCCACATTAGATGAAGAAGTTTCCGATAAATGGGAAACGTATTTCTGCCTTAGCTTTGAATGTATTTTCTCTCGGTGCTTTAAAGCATGGTTGGTGTACGCTTGCTCCGCGTTTCGTGTTGCTAATATGTTCGCAGTAGAATAATAAGCTCTAGAGCTTTCGGTGCATCACTAGAGTTCGGGATCTTACACGTCGATAGTCGCCTCATCCAGCTATGAAGTCCTCTACTCGATGGCTAACGTCACAGTGTACATCGCAGATAGAATACGATTACCTGCTGCGCCGGAAATGACGCGAACATTATGTTCAGGTGGATCATCCAGCTATTCCATATCAAGTGCTGAAACTTCCTGGTAGCGTTGTGATGAAGGATCGACTGGTGCCGGTGATCGTTGGTGTCCTCGTAGATCAGATTTCGTTGGATATGGGTGATCTCTCTCCTAGACAGTGAGATACATGTCAGTCTCTGTACAGACCTCATCCTCACTGGCGGCAAAGGCGAATAGGCGAATATCTCTTCAAGTTGGGCTTGTCTTACGATTTATCCGCCCTATGGCCTTGTCAGTTGTCAGCTCGTCTCTTTAACCATGCTTTGATAACTAATGTTACAGATTAGACCACTTGCACGGCCGCAGTCCTTTAGGAAACGGCGTACGCTCATGAAGTAAGATGATAGGCTAAGTCATCATGAATCATCTACGACGTGAGTCTTATCGCCCTACATTGGAGTTGTAACTAAATATTGATAAGTATGCTGGAATCCAAGAAGATCGCTGTGATACATTGAAGCTCAGTCCTATACCAATGGACCCTCGAGGAGCTGGACCAAAGGCCATTTTTGTTCTGTGAGTCACGTTCGCCATCCGCACGCATTTAGCTGAAAAGTTCTCATGGCCGGAAGCACAAACCGTGACATGATTGTGCCCACGTATCGCTTTGTCGGACATTTGTTCTTACTACGAATCCCCCGAGAAATGTCCGACTACCATGTTATTGAACGGAGGTCTGTGTTCAACGAGCTCAAGGTACCGAATTCATGCCGTTGGTTCTCCGCCTCGGCAAGAGGTCCACGTAAGTGCAAATGTAAGAAGCGCTTTCTTAGTCGCTGACTTTGGTTTTCTCTTTATAGCTGTACTATTTTTAGCTACCTATTGATATCATGCTATCTCTCGGTATCCATCACCGAGGTGACAGCACACCGTCATGGTGAAGCAATTGAAGACCATCTCTATGGCACTTCCCTACAGCTACTCCTTTTGACAAAGGCCAAGCCGCGTAAAAGGAATCGTCATGACTGGCGGATGGATGACTGACTCGGTGAGGTGTCTATAGAACTTCCCGACGACGGATCCATGGTGAATAAGTTTCGGAGACGATACCTCGAGATGCCTATTGTCAGTTACTTCAATTGTTCCCGGACCATCCTGACCTTACCGCATAGTACCGGCGCCATGACTGCTCATCCTTTCCAACAAAACGTTGTCAGTTGTTGCGTCGCGTCATGAATATCTTCGTAATCCTTCCATGAGTTAACGCAAGTTGACGTGATCTGTCCGCAGGAGGTCCCTGCAGGAAGAGCGGCTGGAGAAGATGCTCCCGATTGTTCGGGGAATCATTCGCCGTATGTGACCGTGGTGGTTTCGGTGGCGGTTTCGATGGCTTACGACTACACGGGTAAAGTTATAGAATGAACATCATTGCGATATCCTGACGTTCTGGAAACCGGCCAAAGTCTGTGAATCAGGAAATGCGTCGGCTCGAATACCCTTTTCACTGCTTCCATCCGTCGCTGTTCGTCTGCTCTCAATCGTTCAGAGCATCTATTACATTCAATACCAGGAATCAATCTGACATCTACTGGGCATTTCCTCGACGGTTGTGGAAGATCATGGGTATCCATTCCAAAGATAACAAATTTCTTTCATTTCTTTCCGATTCGGGAATGCGACTATTTCTTCCGACTCGGACATGTCGCGGTGTTATCTGCAGTCCACGAAGTATCATAAAAGCCAACATTCCTGCTCCTTGTATCCTTATCACACCTTTCACCCTTAGCAATGGTATCACAAGAAATCCCGTTCAAGATATCCATTCCGGACGACGAGCTCAAGCTCCTCCAACAAAAGCTCTCCTTGATCAGATTACCAGACGAACTCGAAGGATCTGGGAAGAAATACGGCGTACCGTTGAAGGACATCCAGCGTCTAGTCACCCGGTGGAAAGACGGGTTTGACTGGAAGGCTCAAGAAGCCGCTCTTAACGCCGAGCTCCCGCAGTTCACTCGCGATATCGACGTGGACGGTTTTGGAGTGTTGAACATCCACTATGTGCATAAGAAGAGCGAGGTAGAGGGTGCTCTACCGCTGCTTTTTGTTCATGGGTGTGCGCGCCTTCCAGTTCTATGTACGCATGCGGTAGCTGATATACCATTGCAGGGCCAGGGAGTTTCATCGAAGTACGGAAGATTCTGCCACTGCTGACGGCGTCGTCACCGGATCATCCCAGCTTCCACGTCGTCGCGCTGAGCTTGCCAGGATATGGATTTTCGGAGGACAGCAAGAAGCAAGGTTTCAGGCTCGCCCAATACGCCGAAGTACGGCTCTTCACTAGCATAGAACAACACAGCTCACGCGAAGCAACTTTCTAGGTCGCCGAAAAGCTCATGGTCTCTCTTGGATATAAGGAATACGGTATGTGATCATCACGCTGTTTGAGGGGAAGAACCTTTACTGATTGTATTTCCAGTCACGCAAGGAGGAGACTGGGGAGGCCTCGTGAGTTGTCGCCTCTCTTTCAAGCTATATCGCTGTGACTGATATCCATCCCAAAGATTACACGGAAGATAGCCAGCCTCTATGGAGGAGAGCATAGCAAGGCGCTCCATACGAATACTCCTACGTAAGTAACCAGTCCTCTTCGCTGGTCCAATTTTGCTGACGCTTTTTACAGGGGACGCCGTCCGACGATCTTCGAGCCTATCCTTTTTCTCCAGCACCTCGTCACCCCATACACCGATACAGAGAAAGCCGGGCTGAAATGGAGCCAGTGGTTCCGCACCAAAGGTGAAGGCTACCTGATCGAACACGCCACGCAGCCCCAAACGATGGGATATTCCCTCGCTGATTCTCCTGTCGGTCTGCTTGCATGGATATTCGAGAAATTGGTGAACTGGACTGACGAGTATCCTTGGGAAGACGATGAAGGTACGCGGTTCGACTCTACGTCTGACGAGATTGATATATTTCTCTCTAGTCCTAACGTGGATATCCATATACTGGTTCTCAAGAGCGGGTCCTACAGCATCCATACGCATATACTACGAGGTATTTGGATCGGCCGATATTGGGATGATGACCGAGAGACTGCCTATACCGCTCGGGATATCATACTTCCCAGCAGAGCATTACTGTGTTCCTCGGCAGTGAGTCACCTTGATGTTGACACTTTTTTTTCGGCGACTGATGTGGTGGTTAGTTGGGCGCGTACGACCGGAAATGTTGTGTTCGAGTCGGAGCATACGAGCGGTGGACATTTCGCTGCGCATGAAAAGCCTCAGGAGTTGGTGGACGATGTGAGGAAGATGTTTGGGAGGGGAGGGCCGGCGTTTAGGGTCGTTCCCGGTAAGACAGGTTACAGGTGAGAGGGATGGGATACGCTTGTCTGTCGTATAACTACGACCTCCAAGCCCTAACCTGACTCTGTTACAGATGTACAATTCACCGGAACAATATCTTCTTTCCTTTGTACTAGTCCTCGTCCATAGACATTAATCTTTCGTATATGGACCATGCAGAAAATTACAATATTACCCTTTATTATTCGTTTGAATATAGTATAGAGCTATGTGGGTTCGGTTGCTTCGGTTCATCTTCACTTGTCTCATTTTGTCACTCATCGTCAGATGTGTAGGTATGTCCTTTGTTGAATCCAATATGCGTATTTTCAATCTAGTTGTTCGTCTTGTCACAGATATAAATTAGTCTTGGTGCACCTTTTCTCATTGGACAACCAAGTTGAATCCCAATTAATTCTTCATAATTCAAAGCGTGGTCCACGTCTGAAAATGTTGTGTTTCTTCGAGATGTCACTAGGCCGGCTTCTGTCATCTGCCAAGTGCGTGTTCGAGCTAGCTTGTACGAGTCTTTTAGTCACAACATAACGTCGTCCGAAAGGATAGATTAATGTTGGTGCACCATTCCAGAAGTCATGCTTAATAAATACGTACGTGTAGCTCATTCCGCTCTTCCATGGTTCTGGTCTTACCGGCGGCGGCGTATGTGCGAGTGCGGGGCCGAGGCATGAAGTACTTTTTGTCATCACATGTACTTGCATTCATTCGTTCGAGCTGACAAGCTACGTACCTCTCTATCACTACTAATCTGATTTCGATGTAATATTTATGGTCAATTTGACGGCCCGTTCGTAAATGTCATATTCAGCATAAATACGACTGCGCGGCTTTATACGAACGGAAGAAACTTAATGTAACGATTTCCCTCTGCGTATTGGTGCAAACCCCAGAGCCGGCCGGTGTTCGCATAGGTATCATTTCAGCCATTTAATACTTGAATGTATTCCAACACTGGCAGTTGATATGTTCTACTTCCATTTCTCCTCTCTGAGCGTAAGTCACCTCTTATGTCTGTGTAATCATTCAGTACTCGATTTGTAATTGACAGCCAATTACTTTGCAGGACCCTCAAACTACATGGTCCCGTATATAAAAGCCATACTTTTCTTCACATCTTTCTATCATCCCAGCATCGGTCTATCCAAATGGTTAAACTCGTTACCAAATTTGCCGCTCTCTCTTTCACCGTCTTTGCCTCCATCGCCTCGGCTGTTGACATCCAACTTTGCATTAATGCTTACTACGATAATTGTGATTGGAAGTACGACGTCCCTATCGGCAAGTGTCTCAACAGTACCGCCAGTGATGGATAGTCCGGATTCAACGATAACGTTGTGAGCTCGTAAGTGACATCCGAGACACTTCTCTTTGTCGCTCATTGATCTTGGGCATAGTTACAACCAGACGAACTCCGGAAGCTGTGGATTATGCTACTACTTTGCCGACGATGATTGCTTCGAGACATTGTTCAGTAGTGGTGACGCTAGCGTTGACTGGTTTGCTGGATACAACGACCAGCTCTCGTCAATTTTCTGTTCTCAGGGTGCTTGATTGCAAAGGTGAGTCGTGTGGTACAATCCATGCAAACTCTGCTCATGCCTGAATAGCCTTATGTGCATTTTCCCTATAAGTAGTTGCAGTACAATTGATCTGCAGCTTGTTGTCAGTGTATTTCTGTGCTGTTATCCGTAAACACAATCAAAACAACATTACAACTGACATATAGGCATGTCAAGGTATGATGAGCATAAGTCGATACATTTTCTGAGGATGTATTTCATCACTCTCAGTGTTCACATATCAGGAACCTGAAGGCTGAGACGTTTTGCTTTTGTCAAAAATCAAAAAAGCTGAAAAAATTTGATTTACCTACCTGGCATGCTCTGGTCTTCCCACTACTATACATCAGGTGTTTGTTCTCTTATCAGTGCCAGAACACCCAATCCTTGGTGTCCTTGGCAGCGAGCTCCCTGAAATCCATCATCCAGCCCACCAGAATGAAAACTCTCAAGGTCTCATCCTGAAAATGCTTCAGTTCTGTGGCATTTTCACATCAGCATCAAAGATATGGACCTCCTGCTCCTTTCTCAGTGTTCTACTATATAATGACCTGCTGGATCAATGCTGCTCCTTTGTTTGTCTTCAGAGTCACTGTTATAATTGCTAAAACATATGATGGGACAGCTATACCAGAGTTAACTGATAGCCAGATCAAAGACCCTTTGCTTGGTCTAGATCTGCAATTCAATAGAGTGATAATAAGTGCATTTACACATAGTGAGAGAAGTGAAATTATCTGCTGGGATGGACCACTAATTGTCCTTAAAAGAATTTACACTGGTGTAGTTCCTGTCATATCATGGGCTATAGTCTTTTCTTTTCACCTCTTTTGACATGCATCTCTATGATCTCTCTGATTAGCTTTGAGAGAAAAATCCCTGAATGACTGAAGGTCATATTTTTGTCTTTATCATCTTGCTTCTGTATTTTCTGATAGGTGTTGGATTCATAGACTGATAATATCTCACTTTTCATCATAAATAACAGAAGTAATTAGATGACATTGAAGTCCAGTCCTAGCACTGTGGTCTTATTTATTATAGAGATCAGTGCAATTCTGAACATCATCCTTTTTGTAGAACTCTCACTTATCAATACTTAGATATGATATTGCTGAATTGTTTGAGGCTGATCAAAATATGTTGTCCTCAGTCTGATTGTTTGTACTATCCAAAATTTATAATGAGATAGCTGGAAATAGAATAAAAGGGGTGGTAATTTCAATAAGAGTATATCTCATCTGTTTTGTCTTCATTTTTTGTTATGACTAAAGGTCTCTTTTAGATAATTATACCAATAATCCTAGTTGATCATGTTGCAGCAGACATATGCACCCAGATGACTTCTGGAGTGAAAGTAGGATGATGTTATAACTGCAATTCAGAACTCAGTCAAGTGAACAGAATCACAGACAGAGTGGTGTGGGCTGGGATATCTTGATCTACAACTTGGAAGAGGACTTAGCCTTAGCAGCTATATATAGTGATGAAATTGAAATTGGAGGGTATCAGAGCAGCAGTTTAAGCAGGATATAATATCTTTGTGTGCCTATTATTAGTATATTTATCTGTGATTACAGTATTTCACCTAGAAAGCATCTTCTTCCACTTAGACAATGGAAATTGATTGCTGATTCTTGACCAATAATGAAATATTTAAACAGGCTGTACATTAGAGTTAACATATCATATATGCAAGGTTCTTTACCATATGGCAACTGTATTATCATGACATTTGGAAGCCAAGGATTTCTCAGAACCATTGTGACAGATCTCTGGATTTTCTCTAATATAGACAGTAAAAGATGATGTTGACAGATGAATTGTCTGCAGCCATGTGCTGAAATATTCTCTAAACCTGCTAGAAAGTGAGATAGAAGTTTATATGAATACCATACTACTCTCTCCTCTATTGAAATGATGATAAAAATCAACCAGCTGCAAAGTTTGTGAACAAGAGCAATAATCAGACTAAACTGAGAAATACAGACTTGACATATTCAGTAGCAGTAACAAGAGCCTCTCCACCAGAGTGTGTAAGATCTCATACATAAAGAAATACTTTTGATATACTTAAGAGCAAGAGACTTTCAGCATATACAGATTGGCAGCACTGAGACTGTGGCAAAGAATGTTTGCAAAATGAAAGAAAAAATAAGTGAATAATGAAATAACAAGAGATGTAATTGTTTATCTTAAACTATTTATTTTGTTATGAGTGTACTTTCTTGCATAGAATATATGAAAAAGATGTTTCATGGCATTATAAGTCTGAAGAAGAGTGTAAGAATGGAAGCTAGATGCAGAAGGCAATAGTTATATTCTTATTTCTCAGTTATTCAGAAAAAAAAAACAAGGAAAAGAGATTTAGAGCTCATAATTTATTATCAAACAGTAGTCATGCAATTTTTCTTATTGTCTTCAAGCTTAAATGGACTCTTAAATCACATCGGTCCAAGATATGGAGTTTCACTACATGAAAATAAACTATCATCAAGATTTCTAACTCAGATGGATTAAAATAATGGGAGTTGTTTTTATATAGCCTCTCTGACTACTGGAGTATATGCTACTTACCCTGTTCTATATCAGGAGAGACTCAAACCATATTATATTATTAGGTGTATTATATGTGGCTTCAATATCACCAGTAGAGAGTGTCCAACATATTATAAAATGATATTATGGTGAGTCCTTATGCTTGTCTTTAAGATTTAACTGATGTGATGCTCTGAATTTACAGGCTTTAATAATAATTTTTGACTTCAGTCCTTAAGTGGGCTTTCAGTAAACTAACTGTTATAAGTTCAATGCATATACTTTCATCATAAACTTTTCATGGCACACAAGCTTTCTCTCTAATAGCTATGTATTATAGGCATAGCCAGGCATAATGATACCTGATCATATAGGATATATGTCATTTTCAGTATACATGCAGTACCCTAATGCAGTCTGCAGAGCCTACTGTGATGCATATACAAGGCTTGCTGTGGCTAGATGCCTAAGCTATTCACAGCTAGAAAAAAAAGGACAGCAAGTATCTAAAATCATGATATCCTTTAGGCTGGACATCCCATCAGTGGCCTGGAACAGCAGAAACTTGACAAATTCCTCAAAGAGAATTTGTCCAGCAGGTGAATTTGACCATCCAAGTCACTAATGGCATTTCTATTTTTCTTTGTCAAAAAGAAGGACAGAAAGCTTTGACCAGTTCAAGATTACCACAAACTGAACAAAATGATGATCAAGAATGAGTACCCACTTGCCTTATCTCAAAATTAATGGACAAGCTGCAAGATGCTCAATACTACTCCAAGTTGGACATGAGATGGAGATACAACAACATATGGATCAAAGAGGGTGATAAATGGAAGGCAGCTTTTCAGACCAACTGCAGACTCTTTGAACTGACAGTCATGTTCTTTGGTTTAACCAACTCTCTGGCCACCTTCCAGTGGATGATAAACAATATCTTCAAAGATCTTATTGCCACAGAAAAGGTGAATATTTACTTGGATAATATTCTCATCATGTTTAAGGACTGAGACAAGCACTGAAGACTGGTTTGACAAGTTCTTAATCTTATAAGGAAGCACAAATTGTTCTTCAAGGCTGAAAAGTGCAAGTTCAAGGTATTGGAAACAGAATACCTCAGAGTTATCATCAGTGAAGGGAGCATATGCATGGATCTAGTAAAGGTAGTCAGGGTAATAAAATAGCCAACATGGACAAAAAAGAAGGAGCTGCAGTCATTTTTAGAATTCACCAACTTCTACTGGTGGTTCATTCAGGACTATAGCAAGATTGTTCAACTGATGACTCAACTCACAGGGAATGCCCCATGTGTTTGGAGACCCTCCCAACAGGCTGTATTTGAGGATCTCAAAAGATGACTAGTGGAGGACATCACCCTGGCAATACCAACACAAGACAGGAGATTCAGAGTGAAAGTGGATTCAAGTAAGAGAACAATTGTCACCATACTCTCTCAAAAACAGGATGAAAGATAGCAATCAGTGGCCTTCCTCTCAAAGACACTGACTGTTACCAAACAAAATTATGAGATATATAACAAGAAGCTTCTAGCCATCATACTGGCCCTGGTGGAATGGCATCATTATCTGATCAGGGTGGTCCAGACATTCAAAATCTGGACTGATCATCAAAACCTCTGTTATTTCTGACTTTCACAGAAACTCAATCAACAGCAGGCACATTGAGTCATGAAACTCTCCAAGTACAATTACATTCTTTATCATAAAGCAGAAGCAGTAAACAAGAAAGCAGATCTCTTGAGTCAGCAGGCAGATCATGACCAAGAGGGAGAAGAAAATGATGAGATAGTACTTCTCAAACTGGAGCATTTTTAGGCAATGATAATGCTGACAGAGGAGGACATCCATGAGCAGATTAAGAGCAAAATATGCAATATGGGTCAATGGGATCAATGGATTGCATCATCACTCAACCACAAGTGAGGAATGACAAAGGAGGGTGGACTAATCTGGTATGATAGACAGATCTACATCCTACATGACCACTAACTTTGCAGAGAAATCATTGTCACATGTCATGATTATATGACAGCTGGACACTCAGATATTGCTAAAACCAAAGAGCTCATTTTATGAGAATATTGGTGGCTGAATATGAGACAGGACATGGAGAAGTATATAAAGGAATGTGAAATATGCCAGCAAATAAAGGCATTGATCCAACCATGCATGGTGCCACTCCACCTGAATGAGGTCTCACAAGCATCTTGGACCCATATCTCTGTTGATATGATTACCAGTCTCCTGGATTGCAATGGCTATGATGCAATCATTGTTATCATCAATCAATTCTCAAAAGCTATTATCCTGATTGCATGCTTGACAGAATTATCATTGGAGGGATGGGCAAAGATTCTTCACAACAAAGTCTATGCAAAATATAATATACTGCAAGTTGTTATCTTTGACCAAGATTCCCAATTTGTGTCAAAGTTCCTTGATGACCTATACTGACTCCTAAACATCCACAGCAACATCTCCATAGCATACCACCCTCAGACTGATGGCCAGATAGAGTGGATGAACCAGGAGATAGAAAAATATCTCTATATATTTATCAACTATCAACAAGACAACTGGATCAAATAGCTCATGTTGGACATATTCTAGCATAGCAACTATATACACTCTGCTACAGGAAGAACACCCTTCTTTATTAATTATGGCTGACACCCTAACATCATGTACACAGAATGACAGTCCACCATGATGCCTGCCTCCTCAGATTTTGCTATGACCATAGCCAAAATCTATGACAAAACTCACATTGCTCTCAAAAAAACCACTGCATCTATGAAGGCACAATATGATAAACATCACTGCCCCATGCATCAATACTCCATCAACAACAAGGTCTGGCTCAATATATCCAACCTCCATCTCCCATGCCTCAAACAGAAGTTAGCTGACAAGCAGACAGATCCATTCACAATCATTGCTAAAGTCAGCCTATCAGCTTATAAACTCTGCCTCCCTGTTGGTTGGCACATCCACAATGTCTTTAATGAAACCCTTCTCATGCTATATGTTGCTTCTGCCTTTTCTAATCAAGAATGACTCCCCACACCTAAACTGATGCTAGTTGATGATGAAGAATATTATGAAGTCAACTAAGTCTTCCATTATTGTCTCTGGAAAGTTCACACCTATGGTGGTGGATGGTGGACAACAGTCAATTATTTGGTTAGTTGAAAGGGCTATAGTCCTGAATCTAACCAGTGGGTCAATGAATGACATATGAATGCTGCAGATGCCATACATGACTATGAACTCTCTCTAAATTGATTCATCAGGATGATGGTCTTAAAGAGGAGATAATGTTACAATTTTTTCTTTTTTTTTCTTGATTAACCCCTATTTTGCTTAGTCAGAGCACTTAGCACCAGTGCTTAGGATTGTG